GCCCCCCCCCCCCCCCCCCCCCCCCCCCCCCCCCCCCCCCCCCCCCCCCCCCCCCCCCCCCCCCCCCCCCCCCCCCCGCGGCCCCCAACGTCGGGGGTCGCGTTATACTATACCAGCGAATTAGGCGCAGACGCGCGACTTGCTTCAAGAGCGAAAGAGCGAGATATACCTAGACGGCGTAGAAAAAGAGGGAAGGAAGAAAAGAAGGAAAAAGAAAAAGAGAAGAAAAAAAGGGGGGGAGGGTACCGGTAAGCAATCCTCGTTCGTGGCTGGTCACGCGCGAGCTCTGTGGCTAGATTAGTAGAGTCTGAAACGTATCCGTATTCTCAAAGTAGGCACCGAGCTAACAGATAACAGCCACTTCTTGTGTGTCTCATGCAGCCACCTAGAGGACGGTAGACGGTTCGATTAAAGTGCTTGGCTAGATCGATGCGGTATGTGACACCGGTGGCTGGCCTTGGCCTTGATATCTCTGTGCTACTTCGCTCACCGGTCGGCCGTGGCTTGACCTAGGCAGCTAGTTAAGGTAAATGTAGCTTAGCTCTTCGCTTCCGTCTGCCTATACGAGGAGAGGAGGAGGAGGAGGATGAGATGTCGATTAACGATGACAAACAAGGCAGACTGGGAAACCAGGTGGCCGGGTTAGGCTTGGGGAGGTCAGCTGGGCTGCCCGTGCTATAAGGCTGTGTGTATGACAACTCTAAGTTTAAGCTCGAGGGTCGGGCCGGGATCACGACTTAAACTTTTACTACCGGGGTCGTGGACAACGGCGTGAGCGGGTATCTTTTCTAATATGGTCATGTTTTGCGATTGGATTCTGGAACGGGGTAAAGTTGAGCAACAAGAATGGGTATAACTTATAAGGCACTTTAGGTAGTTGGTAATACACGATACCTAACTCAAGCACCCCCTTTATCTCCTTCTAACCAGTCGCTTTGACCTTCTGCGCTATTGGGGTGATGCTCAGCACGTACGCATAAATTGAGATAAAAAGCTAAAGCTAAAGCATAGAGCATAGAGTGCGGTGACGAGTTAAACTTTGTAATACGTTAGCATGACCTTTACAGTACGGCCGTCTTTTCTCACCTTTGTATCTACCTGTGTCTATGATTGAGAAGGGGGACATCGTACTTAGACTAGATCACTTACCTAGTTGACTTCATCTCGCGTTACTACCCCTATCTCTCCTGGATATGACTGTAACGGGCCTGGAGGAATACCCCTTAATTAGATCAACCTACGTATGATACTCGGTATTTGCAATATCACCATCGTGTATTCTTATTGCTAAAAGGATTTCGCAATGGGTTCGCACAACTTTTTTTTATATTGAGATGATCCATATCTACGGAAAGCGGTATTTGAAAGTCCAGCGCTAATCCATCGAATCGAGCCTCGGGCCTCAACTTTGGGTGCTGCCTGGCTTTCTTGCTTGTTCACATCTGGAGAGAAGATAATAATCTGCCAGTTAACTTTGGTGGCGTGTTGCCTACACCGAAAATCCAGCTGACCAAAAAAGATTTGCCATCGAAGAAATCAAAGAGAATAACAAAAAAACGCGTCGGGTACTTCCTTGAAAGGAGTAGCCGCCAAGGTATCTTCCAAACTTATCCCCCTCCTCCTTATTTCGCGCGCGCGAATGGGTATCTCCCACCCCTCGTCGATTCATTACTCTTCAAACTCGGAAACCAGAAAAACAACCGAAGGGGATTAGCGTGTCGCAATGCTTATTTGTATGTGTTTTCCACGCCAAATGGAACGGCAACCCAAGAATCTCCGATCCATAGCCAAGCTATTGCCTCCTACTCCAGGATTCCTGTCGCCTTGAAGCGGTTTCCGTAAGAGGCCGAATAGTTGCTGATTTCGGGAAATTCCGACTATGATTGCACGTTGACCCTCGTCCTTCAAATTAGGTAATAAATACTAAATCTTCCCCTACTCGTCTGGTTTTGGTCCTGGCTACGAAAGAAAAATGGAATGGCATGTTCTAATGGTATCATCGAAATACGAAAGGCGCTTAAAAGCCAAATATTAACGAATGATCGGCTTTGTTTTGCCGAGCAGTACTGAAGTTAAGAGCGTGCCCGAAGCAACTCCAGGCGTATAGATGCAGGCGAATTCATAATGCGGATATCCGTTTGTATCGTAGCCAAGTCGTCATCTAAAGCGCTGCTCCTAACGGCGACTGGGGGGAGTTCCAAGACCGCTGCCGTTTTCCATGTTACCTGTCAGCTCCGCAACGCGAGCCTTAATACGAGCCACACGAGACTCAATTGCTGCTACATGTTAGCTGTTGGGTTACTACACACAGGAATAGGCTGCTTACTCTCTTCGCCACTGCCACTGGTGTCATCGCCATCGTCCGTAGTCTTACTGTATGCACCTCGGCTCTGCTCTTCACTTTGTCGATTGACACGCTCGGCTGCGTTCTTTCTGATGGCTGCCCATCGGTCCTGCATGGGAACTGTTGGCGATGGCGCTCCCGCTTCGTCGTCGTCGTCATCGTCGTCATCCAGCGCAGGGTGGCGATTAGAATGTCTAGCAATGGGCGGCGGCGCGGCAGAATCCACACTTTGGCCATCATCGGGAACAAAAGCAGGTTGGTCAAGGAGAGGTCCCTGATCGAAGCGGGAAAACTCATTGCGGGCTTCTGTGGCGTCCGTAGTATCAACACGAGATAGATTTTCGTCGATTGACGGCTCATACCCTTGACTGGGACGTACCGGCGTTACTGGAGATTGCGTCGGTGTTTTATCTTCCTGGCGCTCGGCGGGAGATTTGAGGTCTGGAGATGCAATTGGTTCTGATACAGGTGTCTGCGCCGCTACCGGAGTTTGTACCCTCTGGGCCTGAGAGTGAGCCGCTAACATACTGTTCACATCTGCGGCAGCGTTCTCGGGCAGCTTAGATTGGCGATTCTTATTCCTGCCAAACAGCTTTTTGAAGCCGCTCGATTTGGGCTTTTTGTCCTCTTTATGAAGTTTCTTGTGCTTCTTGCCGTCAGGACTGTTTGGCTCAGGGGAAAACATAGTCTCGCGAGCTGCTTCTACGCTCTTCCCGTCACGTGGAGTAGGAGGCAAAGGCGTGTCTCGACCTGTCGGTTCTGATCGCTGAGCAGGGTGAATTGGTTGCGGAGTCGCAAGTTTCTCTGAAACTGGTGCCGGCTTGCGTGTTACTGGGGTTTTTGGCTCTGGCTCAGGTTCAGGTTCAGGTTGCGGCTGCACCGCGACAGGAGACGATGGCTGCTGCTCCTGGATATCCGCTGGGGGGCTACCGCCATTTGTAGTAGTTTCAGTTGTCCCAGGTGGATAGGTAGGCATCTGAAGTGAGGTCTGTGATACGCCTCGTCCCGCGAATGAGTTGCCGAGATAGGCTGCACGAATGGTTTCCTTATCATACTTGCTAGCCCACTTCATGGCCGGCGATGCCGCATTTATAACACCCGGTTGCAGAGTAAGGATGCTTTGAGTTTTCTCTCTCATCACCTCAGTATCTGTACGCCCACGTCGTTCTAATTTAGGTCCAGGTTGCTGCTCCTGGAGCTGCTTGGCTTGCAACTTTTGCGCAGCCGCCTGAATCTTGGCCTGTTGATCAGGTCCGATGCTAGTTTTGCTCATGCCCGCACCACCGCCAGGGTTCACACGGTCATTCTTGTCGCCACCTGACTTGGCGGCTGACTTGCTTCGAGAGACTCCTTTGCCACGTCTCGTCCAGCTGAACAGACCTTTCTTCTCCGCAATATATGCGCCGGCATCAGGTTCCGGGGCTGCTCCTTTGACCATCTCCTCCATCACAAGCCACCGGCCATGACGGATAATTGTCTCAATGATAGAACATCTTCCGAATGCGGATTTGCGTTCTGCTGTCTCTTCGGGCGCCAAGCTGCTCATCCATACCCACCAGAACGCCTCGTCCAGGTCGAACCGACTAATACTAGCTAATTCACCAGGCTCTAGTTGATAGTCGCTCTCCAATCGTGGACGATGTGATTGGGAGCTACGCTGTCTAACAGTAGTTTCAATAGGCGGTAGAATCTTATCCGGAGGCAGTAAGAGATTCGAGGGGCTGTTTGGCGCATCATCGACAAATCCGGAAGATAGGAAGTCTGCCCAGGAAGGGGTAGTTGGCCTGCCAAGGTTTGCGCCCGATGCGGGGGTAGTTCGTAATCCACGAGGATTTCGGGCTTGACTGAGCTTAAGAGAATCGTCTTCTTCCTCGTCTTCCTCTAGAGCGCTACCAAAGCCGATATCTTCAAATCGCGACCACGACGCATCTCGTAAACCAGTAGAATGCTTTGAATTGGACACTTGAGATTGATTCGCAAGAGATATCGCCTTAAGAACTCTGCGGCACTCCTCGGTTAACGCCTTCACAGGATCCTCATACTCGGAAAACTCTCGAAGAGCTTGGTCCTCATCGCGGTATTGGAAGTGATTAGCACGACGCAAGAGCGCAAACGGTGTTGGAGACACGGTCTCAACAATCATGACCACCCTGTATGTTGACGACATCAACAACGATGGGGCCTGTGGGGGATACTCGGTTTCCTGCAGCAACTTTTGCAGGGACATGGGGAGCATGGAGATACCTGCACGGGCCTGTTGGGGTGATAAAGATCTAAGATAGGCAAAGAACATATGGCTCGTCGCATCCGCGGCGCTAGGATTTGTTAGCGAACGGATCCAAAAATCAGAGATTGGGCGCGTGTACAAACCTTAGCCATGCCTTATATCCTCCATCGAAGCCGTTGCCGGTGTCCTTGTGTTCGAACGCCCACCAAGCTGCCATGCGAGACAGTTTACGGCCACCGAAACCATTTGATTTGCCATGAGCCGCGATGGCCGAGAGTAAATCAAAGTAATCGAATATGATTTGTGACCGTGCCTGGTTTTCCACACTTAGCGGAATGAAGGTCGAGAACGAATCGCGTGCCATATTCGAGTCTAAATCATAAGTCCATCCTTAGCAAGGCGTTCCACGAATATGCCGAATTAATAAGTTATACCTTGCTCTCCGACTCTGAACAGCTCGTAGGCATCCCAGCCCACAACACCACCTGGCAATCTGCTCCATACCCATTTTAGGACACCCGAAATGACCTAAGTTTGTTAATAAGAATTCCCCCGATTAGCGCATCTAACTCTAGTAAAGACATACCATAGGCTCGGTCATCCGTAACTCCTGCACGAGGGCCTCGCCTCGTAGGTTGTGCTCGTCATCGAAAAAGTGGCGGATGAAGGTGCGCACGGCGCTGGGATCGGAAGTTGGTCGGAATGGGAGAAGGAGAAAGGGAAGATCGAGAGCTACGCGTCGCGGACGGGTCAGCCTGTATTAGTCAAAGTGAGAGATGGATTTCTTCTGTTATTCATACCTCTAGCCTTGAGCTCTTCTGTGGAACGCCTGACTAATTCCTGAACCTCCTCGGGTTCTACCGTCGTTCGCGTATACGCATCTTCCCAGCGCGGCTTGTTGGATAATTGACCCGTTAAATCTGCCAAGTTGCCATTCTTCTTGGATTTGGCGCCATCCTTGCCCCTTATTCGAGAGAAGAGGCTCGGCATGGTGATTGGTAGGTTTGAGATCCCCTTCTAGATAGAAAGAAAAAAGGATTCAGTTCACAATACCACGTATTTCCAAGTTCGAAAACGTTGGATATAAGCAAAGTGGATATTTTGATAGTCGAATTATGACGCGGGCTAACGCATAAAATGTTTGTAGAGGAAGACTTGTCTAAGATGCGCCAGCAGAGTGGGGGTTGGGTATCAAGTAATATTATCGAATGATATTGCCAACGGAGCTCGACCTATTCGAACCAGGTATGTTTTTGAGATGGATGTTCTTTACCGGTGAGAAGAAAAAAAAAAAAAAAAAGACCCCAGCTCCAGGGTATGAATCAAGAAGAGGGTTACCACACCTCGATTGACAAGAGAATGAAAAAAAAAAGAAAAGAAAAAAGTAAGGAAAGACCAAACGATTAGAATTGAAGTGTTCACGAATATGCGTGAAACAGCAAAACGAAGGGTATCAAGATGCACGCATGGTAGAGTTCAAAAAAGTTCCAATCGCCGAGGGAAGAAAAAAAAATTATTATTAAAGGGGCGCTCCAAACTTCGACGAGGTTCCCATAAATGACAGATCAAGGAAGTCGTCCTCGCTACTTCCCCCAAATCTAACCTTTGAAGCTAGTACACCCGCACCTCCAAGTCTGGTCAATGTACATTAGTGCACCAAAGCGCACCTGCTTTGACTACCTAACCTTCTTTAGGCCTAGCGGAATTGAAAGAGATTATTTTAGGTCTTTTGGTGGCAGCCTATCAGGTAGGCGCCGCGAAGGTAAAGAGCAGTGATTGGATAACCTGCTGCCTGTCCGGCATGCGTGGAGAAGGTGCAGCCAGGTGCAGCAGGGTCGCGTTGGCTAACGTGGTTTAACCGTTTAAGGCACCGTTGGATTTTTTGGGTTACCTTATAACAAGAACACATTAAATCATTAAATGGACATTATGTAACTGCATACGTACCTACTATGTACGTGTATATAAAAGTATTAAAAGTATTCAGAAGTTACTTTCCCGCCCGAGCGCGGCTGAAAATACTTGACAAGTTCGCATCCTCACCCAAGAACTCTAATTTAATTACAGGACGGGAAGTGGTAACCAGTAGTTAATGAGGCGGCACTAGGCGGCACTAAACGGCACCGGGTTAGACTTTATAGTACAATACCAAGTACATGTATTTCTCCCCGTTTCTCCCCCCAAAAGTTATCGTCATTGGTGAGATGTAGCAACCCGAACCTAGACCACTCTTTCAACCTCACATCTCACATGGGACTTATATCCATGTTACGAATCTACGGTACAGATGCTTTAAGTGGGCTTGTCCACATCGAAACCACATACTTTGTAAGTCCCGCAAAAGAACGCTCATTATAATTGGTGGAGTTGCACCAGTACATTTCTCTTCCGCCTGGATGACCTGCGAACTTCCATGTTTGCCTCTCACTGACTAGCACGAAAACCGAGACGGTGGTTTCTTTGGCTGGACCGGGTCAGTTACCAAGTTGTTGGTAAATTAGCTGCCAACTCAGACTTAAATCCTCTAACACGCTGAGTTGAACTGACATATTGCCAAATATTTTCTTGACGATAGCTTCACATCTAGCATGTCTTTTAGTCTTTTAGAGAAAACTGATATATGCACGGCCGCTATGGACATCTATTAATTGACGGCGTGAAACGGAATACTACCTGAGCTGATTTTAATCGGCAGGTCGATTTGTTTTCTGCAACGTTAGATTCGACCTAAACGGGGTTGAGCATTATCGGAACACTATCGGCAGTTCTATCTCAAGTAGCACCTCAGATACCACCATTGTCCGAATTCAATCAACGTATGGTTACCCAGACCTTCCCTTTCGCCGTTTGAAGCTATATTTAATCTGGATCTCGTCCTGCCTGTAGCCGTTTTCGTGTCGTGTAACATGTCGTTAATACGACAGGAATATGAACATCCAAGAAGAAAAAAAAGAAGAAGAAAAAACCAGATTTCCTAGTTTGCTATCTCAGCTGTCATTCTAACCATCATCTTGATCAATAAGATAAATAAAGAATCATTTAGAACGGATGCCAAGACATTAGCCATTCCGCCCCTATTTCCCTTGCCCAGATCATTCTTTAAAAAGGGCGTCAACCTTGCATAAGCACAACTCATCACTCGGAATCTAAAGCCAATTAATTCACAAAAGCTATTGGGCCGGACTGGACTGATCGCTTTTAATAGGCCAGGGTTAAGATGAGTTGGCAAAGTGTGGTGAGGTTACCCCTAACGGGAGAGGCCTGATTCGGAAGAGTTAGCTGCGAGCCATTGGTGCAGAAAGGCTCATACTATTGGACTAAAAGGCGTGTCTTACATGGACCGCGACTTTTCGCGTCCAATTACATCGTGTTAGGTCTCAAGGGGTTTCTTCGTGCGAGGTATTGCCTTGGATGCTACGTACATAGTATATCGCAATCTCCCTTCCCTCGAGATGTCCCTCCTTCTAGTTATACGAATTTTCTAACAAGTAGAGACTGATAATATAGCCTATAGGCCCTAGAAAACGCCACTAACCAGATTTGTGCTGTACCTGTCGATAAACAATTTACTTTGAGCAGCTGAGCCAAGTTCCGATGTACAACATAATCAGTGTGCAGGTCGCAGGTGTGTGTGGCTCGCCTTGCATAGAATCTAGGGGACGAAGGGACCTGCATGACTAGCGTGGGATCTCAGGGCTTATGCATGCGTTCAATGTTTATCTGGCTGTCTAGATATTTGGATATTGTACACGAGCAAGTCCGCAGCCACGATTATCCCAGGACGTATATTGACGCAACAAACCTTGTAACAATCGCAAAGAACATAACAAGAGTCTGCTTATCTAAACTTAAACTGATTACTAGCATTGATATTCTAGGGAGGCATATGATTTATCTGTATATTTCTATAGAACCTTTCTTCCAACTATCCCTTAGGTAGTTAGCAAGCAAATAGCACAAACAGAGAGTACTGACTTCCCTTATGTACAACGACGGCATGTAACGCTCTACGGTGGGGTAACCAGGCCTCTATTCCGGTTCCCGAGACAATTCTTCAACGTCTCTGCCGTGCCTCGATCAAACTTATGCCGCCGATGATGACATACCTCACTATGTATTCGTTTGAACGAACCCTTGCGAGATGACCTTCACCAAGTTATGAGGCATCATGACGAAACGTCGCAGATCCTATTTATGCGCCAAGACGTTGCTGTGCCATGGTCATCATAACTCAATCTCAACTTCTTTTTTTTTTCTTCTAGATCGCTTAACCATGAGCAGAGTGGCATTTAACTGATCCGGCATGATCACCACAAATTCATCGATAATATTAATGTTTGGATAATTATCTGCAAATTCCACCACGTGGCTGTTTAGACAGTTTATTCCGGCATCACATGGACTTCGTTTTAAGAAGCGATCCTTCATTTCGCTTTTATGACGAGGTTAACTATCTAGGTACCTACGCAATAATTATATATTCTCGGGTCAGACAGTGTTCTATCATCATCCTTCGTCAAACCTATTTGGTGATCGTACAGTGCGTATTACACATCATCTTAGCTGACGAGCCGTACTGCTTCAACAAGAAGTACAAATTTATTACTCGCGATGGTCTCGAGTGCCATGTAGTCGATAGGGCCATATTGCCTGTTGAAATACTGTAGGTGGGAAAAATCAATGGCATCGATCATAACGACATAGACCTTTTCATATGATGATTCTAGTCTAGAGATATTCTCGTTAACAACGTAGACCATTAAATACATTGTCCGTTGAGCTACACAATTTGCAATTTGTACGAACTAGGTATCTACCTCCTAACCTATTACTCACACATAGTACTCTTTACCAAAGGGCAGTTTTTCGTTGATCATTGCAATCTCGATATGCTATGAACATACGCCAATCCAGCCACTTATAAACCACATTAAACGCCGACCATTAACCCTATGCGACCAGAACATGAGGTCTCCCAATACCCTGTATCCCTTAACATATTACACACAATTGACGAGTAGAGCTTATTTCGATTCAGCGTCGTCTGCTGTGTCTTTGTCATCCTTATCGTCCTTGTCATCTTTGTCATCTTTGCCATCTATTCCCTCTTTTCCCTCTTCACCCTCCTCCTGCAAGATTTTGCTCTCCTCCTCGCCCTTCTCTACGTCCACCTCTCCCACAACTACAATAGGAGACTCAACTTCCTCTTCCTTCTTTACTTCCTCCTCCTTCTTTACCCCCTCCTGCTCCTCCAGCTTCTCCGTCTTCTTCGCGGCGGGGTTGAGATTCCAATCGATCACGCCGTCCTCGCCGTACCTCTTGGCGAGCCACTCGTTAGCCAGCTTGAAGTGCCCGCAGTTGAAGAACCCCCTCGACGCGCTCAGCGGGCTCGGGTGCGCGCTCCTGAGCACCAGGTGGCGCTGGGTGTCGACCTTGGTGACGCGCTGCGCCGCGGGCTTGCCCCAGGCCATGAAGACGACGCCGCGCGTGCGCTTCTGCGCCACCAGGTCGATCACCTTCTGCGTGAAGCGCTCCCAGCCCTTCTTCGCGTGCGAGTTGGCCTCATGCGCGCGCACCGTCAGGCACGTATTCAGCATGAGCACCCCGCGCTCCGCCCAGGGCGTCAGCAGGCCCCCGCCGTTGGGCGGCGGCACGAAGTCCGGGTAGTCGTTCTTCAGCGCGATGTACATGTTCTTGAGGGAAGGGGGAGCGGGCGTCGGAGGCCGGACCGAGAAGGCCAGGCCGTGCGCTTGGTTGTAGTTGTGGTAAGGGTCTTGGCCTAGGATTACGCACTTGACCGTGTGGAAGGGCGTGTGGCGGGACCTGAAAAGGGGGGGTATATTAGTTTACCTTTCTGTATCACGATGAACACTAAGTGAGACATGGACATACCATGAATAGACATCTTCCCTAGGGGGGAACACTTTCTTGTTCGCCTTGACCTCGCTCTCGAGGAACTTTTTAAGATTGATAAACTCTTCCGATAAGATCTCATCCTTGAGGTGGGCCAGCCAGCTGGGATCCAAGGTTTGGATCTCAAGTTGGAGGTGGCGCTTCTGCTCCGGCGACAAGCTCGCGACCCACTTCTCCTTGTTGAACTTGAGGGGCGATGGATCGGGGCCCGCATCAGGTTTCGCGGGGGACGAGGCGGGCGAGCTCTTGGGAGCGCTGAAGAATGACGTTATGCTCGCGTTCACCTTGGGCTTCTTATTGGCGTCCCCGGATGAGAGCCCTTCGCTTTTACGCTTTACGGATGACATTGTGTAAGCAACTGCGGGTTTGAATGAGATGAGAGTTTGAAAGTATAAGTGTAATGGGTGTAAACGGGGTCGAGACCGAGTTGGTAGGCAGCCTATATCCCAAGGCGGAAGGTGTCTTAAATGGTGTAGAAGCGGCACCGTGAATGATAGTTTTTTCTTTTTCTTTTTCCTTCCCTTTCTCGAAATAAATCTGATGTTCAATTCCTAGGCGGATAAATAAATTACAAACATCGAAACAACTCTTGACGATTTAGTCAAATTGGATGGACTTGCAAGCGGACAATAAAATGAACAATTAAATTGTGGAAAAGTAGACGGTGGAAAAAGGACCAAGGTTCTATAGTTAAATGGGTATTTTCCAAGCCTCGACGCGTCTCCAAGACGCGAAAACCCCTTTTAGCACTTAACGCGACTTTTTTTCTACGGATCCGTATACGCGTAAAGTGGCTTGTGTAACAGTACCATTAATTGAACAACGAAATTTTAATATTTGAACAACATTTCTATTTCCGTACTAGCTAAGCCACCCATACACAAATATTACACAATTTAACTCCACACTTGAATAACTTTATATAAAAGGTAAATATCTAATAAGTAATTATATCATTAGAAAGCCCTAATTGAAGCGAAACTAACAATGTAATTTTTGTACTTTGCATCGTTAAATTGAATTATAAAATAAAAGTATACTGGAAGTTAGGTAATTCTGTATGTGGCGTAATACCCCTCCCTTAGCCCTTCCTTCAGCCCCTCCAGCTCTTAGCCTTCTTGAACCTGTATATGCCTATATATTCGAATAACTTTTAATATAAACCATGCACCTAATTAAAAATTATATCATTTAAAAGATCTAGTTGAAGCGAAACTAATGATATAATATATATACTTTTTACATTTTAATTGATTAAGAAATAATTAAATACAGTAAAATTTGTGGTTGAAAAGGGTGTGGCTTAGTCAAGAAGACGGGTGGCTAAACTAGTGTCAGAAGTGGGACTGTTGTTCAAATATTAAAATTTCGTTGTTCAATTAATGGTACTGCTTGTGTAATTATGATGAGCAAGGTTCTGCAGTATTGTACTAGGTAGTACCAGGTATAGTACCTCAGCTGAAAGATAATAAAAGAATTAGAGGTCCAAGCACCACCATCTACGGCCTTCATAATTCATTATCATCTTATTAATCCATCTAGAAAGCTCATCAAGAACCTCATGTTGATTTATGATAATCTATCGCATCTATCGCATCTTTTGTTTCTTTTCTCTCTTTTTCTCCCCCCTTAACCTCCACAACGTAGTATACAAATCATCATTAGGGTTAGCTATTGAGCCATTCCGATCTATGCAATCGTCTCTTAATGAACATCGCGTGCGTAATTAAACCAAACCGTCCAACCATCCCTTCTTTTTAGTTCCGGTTCCTTTTGGTCTCTAAGAAAGGTATCATAACTCTAATCAACGCCTGCTAATGCAAATCCACAAATGAGGGGAGTTGGGTGATATCACATGTCATGCCTCGTTAGCCCGACCTCCGTGCTGCTTCTGAGCTTTGCGTTCGTTTATACTCCTGAACGCTCTCTTGCCAACCTCGTAGCTGCTGATCATGATGGCGCAAGACGGCGCTACTTTGAGCGTACGAGGAAGCCACCCCTTCCACAGCCCTGCTAGTCCTTCCGTCGCATAGATGTGAGAGAGAAACCGTAGCATGTGCTGAGCTTCCGGCTCTGCGGCTTTCTCCACTGCAGGCAGAGCCTTATTGGACGTATCTTGGTAAACCTGCCGTCGGGTTTTACCTACATCAAACGGCATGGTCACCGTCGACGCAAACGCACCCGAAAGACAACCGGCAGTGAAACTGTCCATGAAAGTTGCCGTATGACTCTCTCTGCTCTGTGACCGACTTCTTGCCCGCGCTCTTGAGCCATCGCCGTCTCGGGCCGTGTGTCGACCGTGTCGCTCTTCTCGCGCATCGGTAAGCTTACCCCTGATCGTCTCGTACCCAAACCAATACATAGCCGAGAAAGGGACGTCTCGCCAAAGAGTTAGTGTTAGGCCTCTCCAAAGCGAGCTGTAGCCCTTATCGGCCACCATCTCTCGGAGTCCCTTGAATGTATTCGCTAAATGACCAGCGGCAGTCGAGCCTGGCGACGCTTGCAGTCGGGTTCTGAACAGATCGATAGGGCTGACTGCAGCAACGGCGACGACTCGCGCGGATGCGCCGGCTACTACGGGCGCATACTCCTCCCTGGTCATTCTGCTGACAGGACTTGATTTACTATGTCGTAGCCAATCGTAACCGGTAAAATAGATAATGTTCGCGGGTACAGTCATAGCTAACGTCGGCGATAGACCTCTCCATAGCGTCGTGAGGCCTTCGTGGCGAGCGATCTTCCTCATGCCGTCGAAGGTGGAGTTAAATCGTCTCTTCTGTACTTCCTCCACGGCGCATTCCCCAGAAGCGGCTATGCTCTCGATCGGACCGGCGACGCAGACTTCGGCATTGTTATTCATGAAGAACACTTCTCGGCAACACGCTGTAACCCCAAGATTCGACGGTCGAAAAGCATTGTGTGACGAAATTGCAAGTTTCTGGAAGTCCGCAATGGGCTGCGACAAACCTTGCGATTGCAGTCGGACACGGACGACATCTAGAGGAGTAACTGCGCACATCATTGTTAGGCAATATTCTTTAATGATACATGATACAGGTGTAGCTTATGCATAGCTCTATACCTAAGCTATTTGTAACTAGGGTAGCGTAGGGAAAAGCTTACCTAGGAGCGACGTAAGAAGACTACCAGTAATAGCAGAAAGCATTTTCTGCCCGACCGAGATATCCATCCCATCATTCCCGTCGTCTTGAGAGGAAACCATGGTTTGTCCGAGAAAAGCGTCTTCGCCCCCTTCTAATCGATCGTGGTTATGGCCAACGAAGCTGTGTGCAGATGCCATTTTTATATGCGCTAGCCCCGGTTATACCGGGGGCGCCGTTTTATAACAGCTCGATATCGAGTGAAGAAAAAGAGAAAGAAAAAGAAAAGAAAGGCTTCTCTCGATGTTATTCGTAGTGAATGGTTATACAAAGGTATTGTGTTTGCTTAGGGAATTCCCATAGGTGTTTTAGTATAAAATGTAGTTAATAAGTGGCCAAATTAGAGGGAGGCGAAGAATATCAAAAATGAGGCGTCATTAATACCTAAGAAGAAAATGTTAAATGTATGTAGAAAAAAAAAAAGAAAAAAAGAATTTGCCGGTCCCAGGCCGAGCGCCGAGCTGCTACGGCTACATAGTACAAACCGATACAGTGGAAATCGAGAACCGCTGCGGTTAAAGGTAACGCACGGTCCGTTATCGCCTTATCCATGATGTCAGGACCAATCGGATCGTCTTAAGCTTAGGTACCTAGGGCCATTAATTGCCCCACTACGTACGTACATAGGACCATACAAGGTTAGGTAGGTGGTAGGTAGTTGAACCCCTCCACAACTTTAGGTGGGTAGATCTTTTAGGTGGGTACCTAAGCTAAGGTAGATAAGGTACTATGTACAGGTATGACTCTTGTTCGGCGATAAGATGTAAGATGGACTTAGATAATGCATCCCACAGCTCTGACCCGTCACGCCGGAGCACCAGAGCGGAGCATCTTATTGTGTACAACTTTTGACTTCACCCGACGATCCACGAATCACCGTAAAGTCCTCATCCTCATTAGATACATACACAAGATATATAAACCCTTCCTTAATGTACACACAATACACAATACGCAATACACAACAATACATACGATACACCGAATTTCACCCCTAATTACCATTCTTTTATTTTTAAACTAACTAAACACTGTACAATACATTAAATTCATATCCATAGAACTGTGACCATAAGTCTGCCCAGGATGGACCAACCGAATCAGCAAATACAATCTGAGCTAGAGAGCTTTAGAGAACAGTGGCGGGCCGAAGTCTCGGCTAGATCAAGAAACGCTGCTAGCTCTCATCATCATCAGCAGCAGCAGCAGCAACAGCAACAGCAACAGCAACAGCAACAGCAACAGCAGAGGACAACCTCAACTCAAGGGGGATCCTCTTCCACTACTTCCACTATAACTACTAATAGACCTCCTCCGAGGAGAAATGAATTTACGCATAGAAAGTCAGCTTCAAAGAATAGCCATCAACTAGAAGATGAGGAAGAATACTATCAGGCCCAGCACTTTGATGAGCTAGATAGTAGTAAATCCCTAACAGGGCAGAAGCCCGGCCGTCACGATGGTGACTCTACTAAGGATAGAGACCAAGAACCCCAGACCGCATTAGACTTCTACGAGAAAGCTGTCGAGAGAGAAGCCAGCGGCAAACTGGGAGATAGTCTGCAGCTCTATCGAAAGGCCTTCCGCATGGATGACAATGTCGATCAGTCGTATCGTAACAAGCACTTCCCCGGCCGCTGGTCAAAGCCAGGCCAGATCAATCCGTCTAACGCGTCCGTGGCCGTCCCTAACACCGCCCATCACTCCCTAGATGGTGGAGCACCTGCATTATCCCTGCCAGACCTTATCACCAGCTTTTCCAGCCTCAAAATTGAGGGAGCACCACCAGAATGCGAGGGCGTGGCAGCACCTCCGTGTCCTATTTCTGAGTTACCTGACGAGATCCTCGTCCATATTCTACGAGACGTCGCCATCGCCGATGTGGGTGATTTCGTACGCCTGGCTCGGGTCTGTAAGCGGTTGGCTTATTTAGTAGCCACCGAAGACCAAATCTGGAGGCGGGTTTGTCTAGGCTCCGAATTTGGCTTCGGAGGGATGCACTACCACTGGCAAAAAGGCATTAGCTGGGAGCCCTTGGATGTAGCACAGGAGCTCGCCGATTCCGACGACATTTTCACTCTAGAGGAATTAGCCCGTCAGCGACAAGAGGAGAGCCGAGCAACTACCAATCTGTTACTTCGTGGACTCTATGCATCATCCTGGCTGACAATGTTCCGACGACGCCCAAGAGTGCGGTTTAACGGGTGCTATATCAGCACAGTTAACTATATCCGCCCTGGGCAAGCATCGGCACATCAGGTCACATGGAATAGCCCTGTCCACATCGTGACTTACTACCGATATTTACGGCTTTTCCGTGACGGTACCGCCATCAGCCTGCTGACTACTGATGAGCCCACCCACGTTGTACACCACTTGACACGTGATAACGTGACTTTGCATCGCGGCGGCTCTGGGCCTCATTATCTACCCTCCGCTGTCATGAGGGCAGCGCTGAAAGGGCGTTGGCGCTTGTCTTCGGCGGCAGATAAAAAAGACGATGAAAACACCAGCAGCGTCGGTAATGTAGGGGTGAGCCTAGTTGATAGAGAAGGTGATCTGTACGTCGAGACAGAGGGCGTAGGGAAGTATATGTACCGTATGGAATTGACATTCTGGGGTACGGGCAAGACGTCTAATGTACACAAAAATAATAATAACCGACTTACGTGGAAGGGCTTCTGGAGCTACAATAGGCAGACAGATGACTGGGCTGAGTTCCCGCTTAAAAACGGCAAGCCTTTCTTCTTCAGCCGAGTAAGGAGTTATGGGACGGGTGAATAGGGGTTAAGGGTTAGGTACCTAGGTAGATGTTTACTTATGAGCATCAAAATTCTATACGCTTCAGCTTTAGGGTTTGTTTGGCCTTTTTGTCGTATAGTAGAGGTATAAATGACCCTGGCGTTGATATGGGTTAAATAGGGGTGTTGAATTATAGAGCATTCGCATGTAGCATAGGAGGTAGACGATTATCAGAGTGTGTATGCTGAACGAGCTGGTTCATTCAACTTCAATCTGACTTCTACCTAAGAAGTCTTCAACGTAACAAGCTACCTATCTGGTCCCTAGTCAACTTATGGGCCTTGGGAACGCAACCTAAGTCATCCCTCGCAAATCCTCTCAGAGCGGACACAACCGGGCCAAATCCGAATCACACTGAAGCTCCATCCCTCCATCAATTCCTCACAAGTATGCTGTGGTCCTTACGAACGCCATACTCTCATGTACACACTTCTAGAACCTTGATAACCAGTGGTAGTTCCTTCAGAAAACCCCGCGCTGCTCAAAGTATCCAACCTCGTCGTAGTTTGTCACTGCCTTGACACGATTCGACGAGCGTCGGCGAGTTTGTCCCTGAGAAGCTACAGCGGAGGTGGCCTCCTCGGCCTCCTTGTAGTCCTCATCGTCAACCTCTGCATTAGAGGCACGACGGGGCACTGCACAATAGTAAGTATCGTGCTAGTAATGGATTGGGGCATTGTGCTTAAAGCAAAGGTATGGGTTAACTTACTCTTGCGGGGGCGTCCTCGGAGTCCGCTGCCCTGCGACTGGGCAGGTCTCTTACGAGGAGGCGGAGTGATCACCCTCTCACCTACGAACACGACATCCGAGTCGGGTGAAGCATCCCGCTGGGGGGCCGCGCTAGCTTCTTCGGTCTGGGCAACATCGACTTTCTGTTCTGCTGCCATGCCAGCATTGGCGTTGAGGCTCAAAAACACGGCGGCTCGAATCTTCTCAGACTTCTCGTCGAGAAGGTGTTTGATGGTCGCCATCACATCGTCCTTGAGAATCTCGACCATATTTTCGGCATGGCCCTCCGTTTTTATGTTTTCCCAGTTCCAGTATTCAATAGCGCCCTTCACTCGGGCGGTCGCCTCCGGGCCGACGTCCTTCATAACCTCCAACAACGCAGAGAGAACTGCGGCCATATTCAAGGAAGCTCTGAAGATAAGACTAGTAACAGACAATTCCGTTGCAGATACGCGAGAGCGGGATGCTGAAAAGGTGATCTTATTTTCCAAGGGTGAGAGACCCAGAAAGCTTCAAAGTATATCTCACCAGGGTGATACTTTGGAAATGAAACTTAGTCGAGTCAATTCCAAGTGCATATGAAAAGGTAAACGAGAAGCAAATATTACATAGTGTGTAAGGGGTGCGAGTGGGAGTGAAAGGGGAAGTGGAAGTGGAAGTGGAAGTGTGAGTGTGAGTGGAAGAGGGAGTGGGAGAGGAGGGAGACCATGAATTGGGAAGTGGAAGATTCTTACCTGGAACAAAATCGTGAACAGAAGGTATTGTAAGATGCAACGATGTACGAAAAGGCTGCGTGTCGTGAGGCTAAAAGAGTAGCAACAACAAGTAGAAGTTGTCTTGCTACAACTGAATTTAGAGAATCAAAAGCGCAGAAGAAAAAGTTAGATGCATGCGTAAAGCATACCAAAACACAAGTGGCTTATGATACCTAAAGGCGAAGGGGGCGAGGATGAAGGCCAAGCTCGCAAGATGTTGTTGTGTGAGGAGAAGGTGTAGGAAATGGGACAGGGTGGGAAAGTTCAGAAGGAAAAAAACAATAAAAGGTTGTGGGGACATCCAAAACTGAATGCCTGGAAGGAAGTGACAGTTATCTAGGAAGGTGTCGCGAAACTAAGGCTTTTGAAAGATACATTCGAGATGTACGTATAGTAGGAGAGTAGATACATTGGCATGTGCATGTGGCACTATATCTAGTCCAGTCGGCGAAGTCTTGTTGATCAAGCAGTTCCAAGGCTAGAAAGACTACAATGACGAAACTAGTTCATGTTCGGTATACTCGATACTATATAGAGTCCTACTGGCGTGATATGTTGTCCTACTGGTTTGGTATATATATCTACAGGAGGTGAGGTTGAGGTAGTTCATGGTAGGCAACAAGAATGGAAACAAGAGACGGGATTACCAAAGATAGACGAGCAGGCGGTGTCAAATAATTAACATCCAGTCACTACAGTTGTCCAGGCTTGGATGATATATAAAGCCCTCTAAGGCCTGCCTTAGGTCGAAAAGGTCGAAAGCGTGATCAGCTTTGATCAGCTTTGATTATAGAGACAGACGACGACGATAGTATTGTGAGGATCTAGAGTGAGGATTCCTATTAGAGAACAGGCTATTAGATCCGTTGACTGTCCATGGGAAGGGACGAAAACCCCTGACGACAAACAGCATCTTCAAATGGACTTCGTATCAATCTCATTAAACGCCGTCCGGAAAGGGATAGGTAATAACTCATGTTGGGGATATGTGGGTATGACAGACTATAATAGGGGCCTAGTAGCTATAACCAGGACCCTCTTAAGAGGGTAGACGGCTAGGTATTCCTGGATCAACCTATATTCTCTATGTGCGATATTAACACTTCCTCCGTATACGACATCTATCAAGGCCATAAGCCCTAAACTGACAATTTGTCCCTTAAGAAAACAAGCAACTACGGCAGATATCGTATAGAATTACCTTTTACGGCATTATGTTACTATTGAGATTGTCGGTGGCGGTCTAACGTCGTCAACTTGACAGACCTTGAAATTTAATTTAGTATGGGTAAATAGTGAGATACTATAGGCAAAAGGTAATCTAGGATGGAGTTCATTGTTGTATGTAGAAAGTTCTAGCATCTTCTGAAAAAGCTTTATGAATTTCGACAGTACCTTAGATATTTGCGAAATACATCGGCTTGACACAAGCATGCGTAAGTAATATTGAAATTCTGATCGGATTCAAACATAACAGTATAAAATACAAACTCAGAATTAAACCGTTAGTTAACTTTTGGAGAGATTTGTTGTCCTGCTCTGGACTGCTTGGATAAGATGTTGTACAAATTTGTCCGACGAAACAATATAACCTCATTCAGATAGGTATCTCCTAACAATCATAAGGACAGGAAAATTAACTATTACATGCTGTCGTCGAAGAAACTTAGCCGACCAGTTAGTACAGGATGAGATAAGTGGTTGGGGATTTGCTGGGTATCTATCACACACAATATAGTGATATGGTAGCGTTTTGTATTAACAACTGCGGACGAAGCGTCATTTGAACTCGAAGTTTTCTTTCCCTGAGGAAAGAGACCAAGAATGTAACAATGCCAATAGATGTAAGTATAAAGGCTTGTATAATGAATTTAAATCTATGAATACTTCTGAAGACGGTTTTCTAGGCCACTTTACATCTTGATAGGTATTGCGTTAATTGATTTTTGGTGTTTGGGCGTCTGAGTATAAACGAGCTGGATCATACAGCTAGATTATACATTTACCTGAGTAGCCTTTTCATATCCTAGAAATATGTAAGTGTTTGGATAAACAGCATTTACATGTTGACGACCTTTTTAAACGTAATATGACGTGCGCCTAATCCTCTTCAACTGTATTAATAGTTTCACAATGAACTCTACAATGTTCTTACGAACTGGTTAAATCTCTTGACGTAAAGAAAATGAGACAGACGACGTGATTCAGGGCAAAGTTCTATGTGTGACTTCTTCCAGAAAAGGCATTTATTTCTTACGTTCAATTTGTAACTTCCGTTGCTACCAACCTTTAGTATTAGGTGGTTTAAGTAGGTACGTAAGTCGTACGAATTCGTTGGCAATATGTTAAGAGTAGCGAGATCTCTATGTATGAGACCTAAGATGTGGTTAAGAGCACGATAGAAAAGTGTAAAATATAGCAGACATATATTCCGGTCTATTCGTCCTTAAATCTACCTAATTGCTAAAACCCTTACATTTCCTCCCAATCCAGATTCCATAGTTGTGGTGGTTGCTACCTATCATTAGATTACAATATAGATCTATACCTGGTATGGTGGAGTTAAAAAGATCCATGATATCGGTTCCGGGAGGAACTTCATCATCCATCTCAAAATACCTATCATTTATTGGGAATAATAAAGCACTATTGATTGGCAAAGATGTATCACCGTCGAAAAAGAGACCTTCTGACACCTGTTTGTTGTTAATGGCGGGCGTGCTAGGGATTGAAAGAAGATACATGGCACTTACTCGTGCTGACTCGATATCTGAAGAGTCTAGCATATGCGTAACACTGTCCTCCTGAGGTGGCTGAGGCCCGGTTCTACTAAGATCATCCTGTAGGCGGGAGGACAGGTATAGCAAGCGATTGTCAGAGGGGAAAGCTAAACTGGCGTTCCCAACTGAGCTGGACACTATTAGCAATTTATTAGTATTGTAGAAGTGGTCACAAAATGCTAACTAGTCCGATTCCCTGGGATATTTAGCAAAGTACCCGGTTTGTATGATAGAGGCTAAGGAAGATATATCTTTACAGCGAATGGCTTTTTATTCCCAAGAGCTCCATCCGTTCTAGCCGTGGCTGATATATGGCCAATATATAGCTCGGGTAATGGCCGTCGACTCTTTAGTATTAGTTAGCCCAGATTCTGTCTAGATATGTTATGCTCGAATAAGAATTTACATTTTCAGCGACTTGAGCTAGGACTGGAGGTTGAGCTTTTGGTGACGAAGTGCTCGTTAGTGCACTATGCACTATGATCGACCTTAGCAAACTATATACCCCTGAGTAACTTCTTACAGTAATAACGTACCACTTACCGTTTTATCTTTGGGGCACCTTTCTACGACTGAAATGGCACCGCGCTTTTCGGCGCTTCGCGGGAGCATTAGCACAGAGTAGCGCGACAACGACAACACAACAGAACTACTTACGATGCAGTAATCACAAGGGCCAGGGTACCCTGTAAATTAACTTGAGCCTCAAGTTTCCCATGATATGGCAGTGATTATGGGTTTCCGTGTGTAAGAAGCTTACCGCTACATCGCACTTTTCGCGCTTTTTAAGAGCCGCAGCTTTTCAACATCTCCATTCTGATCTCACAACCTCGGCCTTAGTTTAATGTAAATAGAAAAATAGTATGCTACGAAAATAAAAATAAGAAAGGGAGAGTTAAAAGGCGGAATACATATTTCTGCTGAGCCTCGAACGAGACTAACGGTATCGAGAAGTTTGGCTCCGAACGCTAAGACCTGTATCGGGGACCAGCTTATGACATTTCCCGAAGTCGTTAATCTGTACAAATTAGATTACGGCAAGATGTTAGCTCGGAAATTGTATTTTCATATAGAATCCTTACCCATCTATGCCTACGGCGTTATACCTGTAGACGACTAACGTAGCTGCATAGTAGTAATTGTTCACCGGTGTACTCGGGATGTTTCTGCGCACCCTGAAGTTTCTAGAGAGAGGTAAGGTTTCGGCTACGATCCTTATATGTGTTCGCATTTAGGCAAACTTCCTAGCCGTGTGTCTGCAAGATATAGTCCTGATATAGATACGAGAAGCCCATGACCATCGAGGCGTGTTTACTTAGGTCAAGTTCGGGTTGGAGAATAACGGAACGCACGACGGATAGCCATAGCTGAGAAGGCGGCAAGATAAACATCCCTTTCATCTGATGCCTCGTTGACACATGACGACTCGACACATGTAACTGCCCTTGCAAGAAGCCTCACTCGACAGAGCACTCAGCCATCAAGCCGAGACCGACATACAGGTACCTACTTACACCCCCTCGAATGACTGTGGTTAGCCTGCACACCTAGGAACCGCCTATCAGGGGTTAGTCGTGAGGTATACGCTTGATAACCAGGAGAAGTGGTCATGGCTGTTTTCGGTATATTCTGTGACTGCGCTTGAGTTCGCCAAGACTTTCTGACTGTCGACGAAATTGACTGAGACCGCCGCTGTCATTGCTGTGTACTAAGTTTCATCAACTTGCCTACAATATAAGTTCTCAATATATTCTTCTCGGCTCATTTCTTATACTATAACAGGTTTTTGATAAGATCTCTGTGTCATGCGAAGGAAGACGGATAATTTGGGCGTAAGGATGAAGCTAAATACCTATTCCATCGACCGCTGCTGACTTCCCGTACTGCTCTGAACTGTTGTGGTCTTTGAGTCTATGTTCGCAATTAAACTGGAAATATCGTCTGGAACTTAAGCGCCGTATTATGCTAAAGCGTTGATTTTGCGTGGGTCTTCAACGCTTTATGAGACCACCTGGCACCAGCGGGTTTTAGCGCTGGTGTCCATTAGTTATCTGTAACCGAAACCGTCGTAGATACTTTCTCCTTGTCGGTTCCCTTTTACGTCGGCATACGTCAGGTAGGTATTTCCTAACCTAGGCACTGTTGGACTAAAGGATTTTGCGAGGTAGCAGTCTCGAGAAGTAGAACTAAATTTCTAAGCGTTGGGAATACCTAATCACTGCCCCGAATAATGCTGTATACCTTCCTGTTTTATAGGAACTTTGATGGAAAAGACAGGTACTAGTATGTAAAAACTATGGGGTTACCTACCACAGGATGAGGCCTAACCGCCTCTATACCTAGCTGCCTGGGTCTAGCTTACGTGCGCGATATGAAGCCAAGCTTAAAGCGGTAAGGAGGGATCTCCAGGTACGTGGGTACGTGGCACGAGCCAAGGGAACCAACTTACGTTAGCCGCTGTTACGTGGAGACTTGCACTCGATCATCTCGGCTCGGTTGGTGTGCCGAATTCAATATTTGTCCGATGAATTCGTATAGAAAAATAAGGAAACGGGCGAAAGACGTGGAGGAAGACGTCGGTAGCGTTTAGAGGGACATGATGTCCTTTCATTGGCAATTTTGATTCATTTGAATTCCCCAGCCGGATACCAACGGAGCCGGGAGACTTATGAGGAATAATGTCCAATGACCAGGTTCAAAGAGAGGGAGCAATAAATAATATAAACCACATATAGTCGTAGGTTAATAAGGGGGGTTCTTTAGAATGCGATCATTACTCGGTTCTTTCGGTCAGGTAACGTCTGATGGTGTACTATGTAAATCAGAAAGGGTTTCCCATGTTACCTTACTCTAGATCTTATTCGCCTTTGATATTATGAGTTCAATTTATTCGGGTGTGCCGTGATGCATACATAGTACCTACCAGGTAAGGGGGTACCAGGTATATAAATGTATATTTGAAGGATTGGAAAACTTCATATACTTATTAAGTCATTGGTAAAAATTCCCCTGAAATATGTAGTGTATGTTGGTATAGGTACTTACCTAGGTTACGTAGTTAATTGGAATTAGCTCGATCTCCATCTCCGATACGAATAAAAAAAATGTCGCGATTTTATTTTATCAAAATATTGTATCAATCAAAATACAAGTCGGGATTAGAGTAGAGGTAGGTGCACCTTTTCTTTCTTTCGTCCTTGGCCAGTTTTAGACGACTAAAAAAGACCCTCTAAATGAGAGTTTGGTTACACCATAAGGGAATTCGGGACGGCAGGCGCGTTGTGTACAAGGTACCTAGGTACCTGTAAAGTTAAGAAAGTTATTGAAAGTTACGGCTCGCTTCCCAGATACCTACCCCTAACCTAGCAGAAAGCCTAGCTCTAGAGCACCTGTTCGCAGTTTTTAGCGGCAGCACTAGGGCAATGGTAGCCACTTGTAGCTTAGGTCGGGACCTACCTAGGTAGGTAACCTCCACTTAGAGGGGGAACCCCTGGCCCGCCCGTAAGGTACACTCTACAACTCCTGTACTACATGGAGGTTAGGCGAGACGTAACCTGCAACAGCTTGGGGCTGGGGGTCCAGGACACAATTGGGACCTTTTTGGTTACTCTCAAAGTTCGCAAGTACTAGAAAATCTTCGTCGACGAACTTCCTCTCCCTCAGCTCGTTTTCTCTCTTTAGCAGGTTCTCCCCTACTACTTGGGTTAATAAGATGCTTCACTTCACAAACTTCCTTCTCCTTTAGCGACGACATCTCTTAGGATCCATCATCTACTAATCCCTTTTTTTTTCTTTATTTAGTTCAGCTTGAGATTGTTTCAGTCGTCGCTCAGCCTTCATCTTTAACCTCGATTTCTTACCTCAGACTTCTTACTCGTCTTTCTACTTTATTTCTTATTTCTTATTTCTTATTTCTTATTCTTTGCTTATTTTTTGTTTTTATTTTTTATTTTCCTCAATCGTCATCCAGCGACACCAATTGACTAGTACATCGCCATCACTCTCTTTGGTGTGAGGAATCGTAGTGGTAATGCTTAATTCGCCGAACCTCTTTGTATCCAACAATGCCAAGTCCCTCGTAATCCCCTTTGAACTCGGCTCGAATACTCCTTGATACCCCGCGGTCCATCCTCTCTCCCTCTCGCTAACAGCTAGACCACATCCTCGACGCATCTAACCGCGACCAATTCTCCGAGTCGTAACTATTCCAATTAATATTTCGGCATCCTGCAGTATTGTTGTCTTATCGCTTGTCGTCTGGTGGCATCATTATACGTCGTACACGTCGTACACGTAATAGTTTTCCGTAGGCGAGACTCGGTTGTACAAGACCTGTCAAGTGTCGCGGTAGGATCTGCAGGGTCTACTATATCCTCTAAGCCATTTGCCCAAGGGTTTGGTTACCTAGTTCGTGTCACTAGACGGCCTGGTGAAGATTCAAGGTGAGAGGAGGGGGCACGATTCTTGATCCCCAAAGATGGCCTTGCCGTTGTCTCTTCATCACGACGAAGATCGTTCCGTTCTTCTTTCCGACTCCGAGGATGACGACCTACTCCCGGCTTCTCATAGGATACGCGAGCCCGCTAGGTCCTTGTCCAGGGATCGAAGGGAGGCTACTCGCCAAAACGCTAAGGATGCCGCCGCCAACATTCCAATCCACCCCATACCTGCCATGCAGCCAGCCTTCTCCGAGTCTCTCATAGAGGTTACCAATAGTCCCGCCTTCTCGAAGCCGAAGCTAAGATTTGCCACAGCAAGGGAGCGTAGAAACTACCTGCTGGACGGGGAGAAAGGAGAAGGACTACATTACGATTTATGGAGATATCGACCAGGCCAGAAATACCACGAGCTCTGGAAGCTCTTGGCTCAGATATCGTTTGGTGTATACCTGCTGCTTAATGGGATCGCGAATAGTAACGAACAGGTGATTAACATCCTTCAAGGCCACATCGACGAGGTAGACGAATTTCTCGAGACGATTTTGGAAGACGTCAGCCTTGCGATACACGATATTCAAGAGCGCATCGACCATTTAAAGTTGCCAGTGCAGAACATCAGGACGTTCGAGCAGATGTTAGAGGACCGTAGTTTTCGTTTACAGGTAGTTACTGGAAACGAGAAGATCGAACATATAATCTCTCGGACGACCACATCCCTCGAAGCGATGGTTGAGGATATTGGCGAGGGATTAGGCGCCACAAAGGAGTTTGCAGCATATCTTGGCGACCAGCAGGATGGAATATGGCAACAGCTGCGCCCAGACGTCGGGGAAATCTTCGACGCCATGAGAGGGAATGCCCAGGGCTGGTATAAGGCCTTTCTTGAATTACAGCGTACTACGTCAAATTTGCGCGGGCTGCTCAACAGGCTCGATCAGATAGTGGCGGAAATGAATTATCGCGCGGGTGAGGTGAGCCGGAGAACAAGGGTAAGAAAAATCAGTAACTTGGTGATCTATAAACAGACTGACTCTTTAGCAGGCAAGTATCGTCCCGTTTTCTAGTCCGACAAGCCAGCCCCTACCGAAGAGCGGCTCGCGAAACTCGTCGATGCGATCGTCTGATAGATGGCTACCGAAATACGAGCTTTCAAAGACCACATCTCAAAGATCCATAGCAGGTTCGACCGAAACCAGGGAGACGCTCATGATTGTCCAGTACAATGCTCCGATAGAACCAATGTCACCCGTGGAGTTAGAGGCGGATACCGTCCCAAGAATGGCCATAACTATCGAAGAGGGTCTAGAACCTGCCGACGAGGAGGAGGAGGAAAAGGAGAAGAAGGAGGAGCCGCCGGCAGATGAAGGCCTCTACATCCTGCAGCCACGGACGTATACTCCACAGCCACCCGCACCGATCCCTTCACCAAGAATACATAATTCCTCATACGAAGATATTCCAATCCAAGACCTTCAAGACCTTCAAATCGACGACCCTTTAATCGAAAACCACCCGATCGAAGAGCCTCCAATACATGATACCCCAGCCGCCATGCCGGAGGAACAGCCGAAGAGAACATCGCTGCGACAGAGGCTGTCTCTAAAAGGAAGCAACTTGCCCGAAGCTATACAGGTACCTTCTCGCAACGCGCCTGAGTTCCAAAGACCTGTATTTTTGGATACCCAGTACCAGTCCCCCGGATATCTACCTTCGCGTGCCTATCAAGGCCCGGATTCTGCCTACGGCTCCGATAACGAGACTCGACAGCCAATTCGTTCCGTGACGGAATATGGGGATATGATGCCACCACCAATTTTCTCGGGCACCGCATTGCCATCTCCTCGTTCAGAGAGGCAGCATTACTTCCCAGTGCGAGCAAGTCCCCACTCGCCTCTGCAGCAGAGGCCATGGACAGCAGGCACGCACATCCATGAAGGTCACCTGCGAAATCAACCTTCGGCCATGGGAATGAGCATGCTGAGCCACGTAACAACACCCCAACCGGAAACTCAGAAGGCGGTAAAGAAGAAGCGTAGTGCGTTTGGATGGCTCAAGAAAGCCTTCTCACTCGATGATGAAGAACGTGCTGAATTTGAGGCAAGAAAAGCACAGCAAACTCCTAATCCATACTATGAAAGTCGAAGTCCCAAGTATCTAGATGGCAAGCGTGTCCCAGACTATAGGCGTCGTTGATAACGTACCTGAAAAAGGGAGGCCGGGGCGCTGCGGCGCTGCGGGAGACTTTATTATTCTTCGACTCGGCGATCGTCAGCGTGGAGATTTTTCGATGGGGACCTTAAAGCCTAATAAGTGGCCATTGCTTGATCTGCGATCTGATCGACAGGGACCAAAGAAAGCTTAAAACAGGAAACGCCGCAGTTCGTGCAGAACGACAAAGTGCGACAACCCTTCTTTTTACTGATCCACTCACACATCGTCAGCGAATTCGCGCGATTAGACGAGTCTACGAACATATAGCCATATACGATATGTTCATGCTGCTCTTAAGATATTGACATATCTAATACTATATATTCCGTCTTGCATTTATTTTAAGATGAGCTAGAGCTTAGCAGATTTGTGAGGTCAAGTAAAAACAAACCGGAGATTCAGGTTGGGGGTGTGTCAATACAGGGATACACCTTGGAGCGCATCATAACCCTGAAGCGTTGGTTTTTTTCGGGGGTTTTTTTCGGGACGGAGACTACCCGCGTCTTTCCCGGCGCTGCATCGCACGGCGTTATTAGGTAGTGTATATACGTACAAGTTATATGCGCACAAGTGTATGATATGAGCGACAAAGCTTTTACTTGGTAATGGCATAGCGATGCATTTCAGGTGCGCGGAGTTTGAAGGGGTGGGAAATACGGGCGGCTTCTCTGTTTCAATCTTGCTACTGAAATAATCGTAGTTATAAGATCATTTCCAATTTATTTTATACAGGGACATGTATTCTTGTTGGATGGCGAATATTGTCTTTGGTTTACGGGACGCGGTGTAACTCGTAGGTGGTTTAGCTCGGTTCTTTTGCCTCTCGATATATAATGATTGTGAGATATTTCCATGGATCTATACCTTATTATTTTTTTTATGTCTCTTGCTAGTCTCGTTATTTTACGTATTACAAGGCAGCATCAATAACTCGATAGGTATATTGCTCGGTGACAACAAGTATATATATACCTAGGTACCTAATATGAGTTACCTTATTTAATAGATATATGTTGAAGGTCTGCCGCTATTACGATTACTAAATGAAACCACCTTCTAAGACCCTTGCGGGTTCCCTTTTTTTTTAACCCCGTAAACCCGGCGCCTTGTCTGCACTAACGTAGCTTCCGGCCTCTCTACCTATTTAGGAAATCAGGGGTAGTTGAGCTTCTCTTCTTTCTTTTCATTTCATATGCACACGTGCCTTTTTTTACTTTTAGATATTTTCCCGGGCCTATCCCATCGTTAACATTTATACAATACCATTTATCGAAGTTCTTTTTTTTTGTTGGATTGACTAGCTATATATCACTTCCAGTACTTTTTCTAGGTATATATATATACAAGGCACTTATGCTTTCAATCATAAAGGTGTAAACAAAGAATGTCTTCGGTCGCGGTCTCCAGCCATCGGCTGAGTTCCTTTAAGTTTGGCACAGGGAGCTGGGACCCGGATCACCGCTTCGAGACGTCATGGCTATTCCCGCCGTATGTGCTATTTGCACTACGTTTATTAATGGTAAGTGTCTTTTTCCTTTTCTTTTTTTCTATGTTCATGTATGAGTATGAGTACCTATATTAGGTTTATATATCCAAAGTGCGCCACCGTCGTAATCGATCATCGATGCATACTGTAGGTACCGTATCCGGGCACCCGGTGCCGCGGCGGCGGGTTGCATATTGTTTGTTACGTATGGCCAAGCTTAATACTTCCGACTGTGTGGCAAACGGTGACACGAATCTCAAGCTCGTTCCCACTTTTCTTCTCCTTCTCCTTCTTTTCCGTCTTGTATGTAATACAGATCAATGAAATCGGTACTGACCACGCGTAGTCTCTTTATGCTTTCACAACCCTGCTCTTCAACATCGGCTACCAATGCGCCAACCTCGACTTAGGCGGGTGTGAGGCCTCGCGCGCCGAGTTCTCATTCTTTACGGTGCTAACATACTGGGGTCTGGCCTTCTACATGCTCGTAGCCTCCATCCACACCTTCACTTACGCGCGGTACTCCCTCCCGCTTCTCGACCGCTTCCCGCGGCCGCTGCAGGCCCTGCACGCGCTGTACTACAGCACCGTGACGACCTTCCCCTTCTTAGTCACCATCGTGTACTGGGGCGTGCTGTACACCTATGGATCCGCCTGGTTCCCCACCGTCTACGGTGCCTGGTCCAACGTCAGCCAGCACGCACTGAACAGCCTCTTCGCGCTCTTCGAGATCTTCCTGACCCGCGCCGACACGCAGCCCTGGATCCACGCGCTCTGGCTCATCGTCCTGATGGCCCTGTACCTCGCCCTCGCGTACGTGACGAGAGCTACCAAGGGATTCTACGTCTACCCGTTCCTCGACCCGGGCAAGACCGGGTCGCTGGTCGCCGCGTACGTCTTTGGCATCGGCGCCGCTACGCTTGTGATCTTTGCTATTTCCAAGGGCGCTGTTTGGCTGCGTCGCTGGCTTACGGAGGAGAAGCTCGGGCGGCGGGGCAAGTTTGCTAAGTTTCCGCCCGGAAACCTTCAGGAGCTCGAGTTGGGCGAAATTAACGGGGCCGGAATTAAGTAATCCTAAAGTGAAGGGAATGGAAGGGCGTGGACTTTGTTGGTGGATTGGTTGTTTTACCATGATAGGCTGCATGGATACGTTTTTGGATGTCTGAGCGAGCGCACTGGTGATCAACTTGAGTAGGTACCTAACGTATAGAATGCTATTTGATAGCGCAGATACCCAAGGAGTAGTTGTATGGTAGAAATTATCATTGGAGGGGTTGTGATCTCATGTTAAGGCTTCTATTATATCTGTAAATAGAATAATACCTGTGAAGAAAACGACTAGAGGGACGGAAATCTAATAGTCTCAGTACTTAACTGGTCTATCTTGATAATAATAAATAGCTATTTGCTTGAAAACAACTAATTGAGGAACCTAGCTGATAGATTTGATTTACCATTATATCATCACTGATGATTGAAGGTTAATAACTTCTCAATAGCCACGTAGTCGTATCGTACGTATGTTATGACGATGCTCTATCCTCCCTGTCTAGATCCATAATGCCATTTCGTATACGTTACAATGCTAGCCATCCTAATCTCCTTATTCTATCAGCTATCTACTTCAGCTACTCTTCCCACAATAATAGAGAGCGAATAAGCCCTGCTATGAGGATGTGCCGAGTTGAATGCAAGCCTCTAGCGTAACATATACCTGGATAATTCAATCAATTAGCCCTCTTCCACTGCTTCAGAACCCATCGCTCTTTAAACGAATTCTTCCAGGCTTATATGACTTTGGGGAAACCTACTTCACCAAATAACATGATGCTGCTTCTCCTCTTCGTCCACGTCCTGCCAGGCCTTATTTAGCGTCAGACCCAGCACTCGAATCGTAAACAGGTGGGTTCTAACGGCTTCTTCAGCATGGTATAGGTCCCTTGGAATAGCGAGGCTGAGTTCCTGCTCGCTCAGCCACTTGAGTGTAATACCTATGCTCTCCTGCAGTACTTTTTATACTTACCCTCCCGAGTTAACTTGGCCTTGAATAATGCGTCGGCAAAGCTCCACACAACAGAAGCGTCGCAAATATCGCGAACTACGCGTATTTAATTGTCAGGAGAAGTGGCTCGGTCGTAGGCAACGGATGTGTCGAGCTAGAGAGCACATAGTATTGGCCATCGGTGGTGTCCTTCCACAGGTATTCGGAAGCAGCCGTCTTTTTTCTGTAAGATCAAGTTGTCACCGATCAGCCAGGTAATTTCGTTTAGTTGCTCAAGCGAATCGCGAATATGACCTAGCATCATGGAGATGACTAGACGCGAGCTTGTGGGCTGTAGGTAACAGAGGTTTATTGTGTGTTGATTATGGGGAGTAAATCCAAGTCTCTTCACACCGCAACGTGTAAATAATAACACCAGCTCATGTAACCAATGGGGCGCCACGGCAACGGAGAGGACGCTCATTCATATTGTCTCAACCATAACGGCGATTTCCATCGCAGCTTTTTGGTCGTTGGTGATAGATCCAATTCCTATTTTCAATGAGACATGTGTAGTCCGAACTATGTGAATATGTCTATACCCGTTTGGTAACACCATGTACCTACCTATATAACTGTACCTAATATCTCCTAGGTGTATATGTGGAGAGTCGTGATGTAGTCTAGTAGAAAAATAAGCCCAAGGCAGCGTGACCATTTTGGCATGTTCCAAACCAAACTATAGCTTCATCTTTGCGATCACTGTCAGGTACTGGGTATGAGGCACTGAAGACAGAGGAGACGTTTGTATGTATAGCTCTGATTTCCGGAGCTCTTGTGGGACAGTGAAGTTGCTTCCGCAGGTAGGTACCTTTTATTCCACCTGGTGATAACCACGACCCTTCCCATCAGCAATTCATGGTGTTTACCCGGTAGGAGAAAGCTAGAAGCTCTAGCTGGTGCCATCTACGCAATTATGACCTCTATAACAAGGTATTACCAAAATTAAGGTAGTAGACGCCCGAAAAAGGAGACTATCATTGCTCTATATCGTTTTTATGGTAGGCTTGTTAGACAACAGCTAAATTGGTTGATATGAAATCTATCGTGGAAAAGGGGGGGTATCCATACTTAATTCAGTGGCCTAGATTTAATCCAAACTGCAGGTACTTTCAAAGGATCTAAAAAGGGAAAGCACGGTGAAGTGAAAATATATAATACGTATAGTTTTACAGCTGTTGACGCAAAGTTGATGAATGTAGGTCGTAAGATTAGAGTTCCTCACGGAACGACGGAGCTGCTTCTCTACTTCTTGGTTCCACATTCGAATGGGTTGCTTTACCGACTAGAGTCAAATTCCAAGTGTTCTAGCTTCTAGCTGGATCGAGTACGCCTGTTTTGGAAGTGAATTTTTCGTGTTAACGTACCATGATGTCCGACCGAAGCCTGAACGAGAGCATGCATGCAATCTCAACAGATGAGGAAGGTGGATACTGTAAATGGTGGAGTTCTTAGTCTATAGCAAACGTACGTACCTCTTAGCTACAGGGTTTGAAGCCAATGTATATGAATGTGCTGTCAATATTGTTGTGACTTAGAGTATCCTTAGAGAGTGTAGAGGCCATTGCTATCTAAGTACCAACACCTAAAAGGGGGGGCTCTCCAAGGATACCTTACGTTGTGCGTTGTCGAATTATGAACTGACTTATATCAAGGAAGGAATTTAGGAGCCTTTAATGTTCTAATAAATCGGATCGAAAACCGTCTACTCCACGTCAAGGTAATGATTAAAGCTAGAGGGTAAACGAATTTGTCAACAAATCGGTACGGCCGAAATATCGTAGTTGCATAAGGTATAGTACACAATATTTCCACTCTTGGCATCATGTCGGGTCTTTGGCAATAGAAGGTGTCGGCACATGTGCTGACAATGTTCGATACAGAGACGCGTAAGCCCATTTAAAGGGGAAAATTCAATTGGGTCTTGGTCTTGCTGTCACTAAATATCATCAACCGCCCAAGACTAATACGAGTTTGAGAATATTTACTGTGCAACTATACGTATCTCCTACCCATTGTAGGGACCTAGATTACTACCTTAGGTTGGGAGGTAGTTACTAAAGTGACTTCATGAGGAAGATCGGATGTTCCGAATAGTAGTCACGAAGCTAAAGTACCTTGGGTAAGTATCGCTGACCTTACTCATGGAGGCAGGTAGTATACTAGTAAGCTTCATGTCGGCGGCCTTATGTTCAATGTTGATCTCGCTAAAGCGAAAACGGATGGTACGAGCAATTTACGGGTTTTGTCAGATACAAACCACTGAGCCAAAAGTGTATTTGTTAATAGCACAATTGCTATTACAGTCTATCTGACATGAGTGGTATTACCACTCACAGTTTTCTATCACGAAAACGCCACACGAGACTACGCAAGCGGGTCGGGAGAAACTCCTGCCGTGGCAGTAGAGCATCTTTTTTTTAAATTAGAGGAGTTTTTGCTTAGAAACTTTCGAGTTTCACTTTGATCAGGTATATTATATTAATGTGTGAGATTGAGTCATTGCGCTGTTGTTTCTGGTTTGCAAGATAGGGTTTAGAGATTAGAACTACAAGAATAGGGAAATGTGTGTTAGGAGTTGAGAGAGCTAACCTTAAAGACAAACAAAGTATATGAAAAAAAAAAAAATGAAAAATGAAAAACAAGCAAAGGATCACAAATTTCTAATGTTTCGCTTTGTGACAACTGCTTACCTATATCTATAAAAAGGGCCAAGAAGTTCGTCCGTTATTGTTAGGTAATCCGGCGCCGGTTGGAGTCGTTCGGTGTCGCACTGCCGATATAAAATCTTTGCCGGCATCCCGGTTGTATTGCCTTAGGTCTAGGTACTTTATTATTATTGTGTAACTTGAAATCGTCTTTTACCGCAAATAACGATGGCATCTTCTAATAAAACTAAACGAAATGAAGTTCTGCATTTTGCCTATGGCTCTAACCTTTCCTCGGTCCAAATGCTCAAAAGATGTCCTAGGTCTACGCCCCTTGGCCTTGCATATCTGTCCGGCTGGAAGTGGATTATTAATGAGCGGGGTTATGCCAATCTCGTGCGGGACGAGGATAAGGCTCCAAGCGAGGGGCTGGGGGGGGGGGGGGGGGGAGACAGAAAAAACAAGGGGCGTCTACGGCATTCTCTATCGTTTGCACCCGGATGACGAAACATCATTGGATAACGATGAAGGCGTCCCATGGGCTTATGAACGGCGATTTCTTGAAGTCGAAATAATTGGAGACTCGAAAAATACATCTCTAGTGAATTTCAACAGCACAGGAGAATTTGTGTTGAATGCCCCCGAAAAATGTCATCGGAATACCGTTGAAGCCTTTGCATACGTCGACTTCAAACGAACCAAACCAGGTTGTCCAAGGAACGAATACATATACCGCATGAACAGTGGAATCATGGATGCTACGATGAAGTGGCAACTACCCGAGCAATATGTCCATTCCGTTATAAGGCAATTTATCCCCGCCTAGATCAAGAAGGAAATTTCACAATAAGAGCATCGGAACCATTTAAAGTATGCTGGATGGCAAAGCCTTGATAAGTTAAACCCGAATATAATCCCTAAAAACAAAACAAATGGACCCAAAATGCTTCCGTGATTCCCAGTGTTATGTACACATAAGCGCCTATATATGCAATCCCTTCCTAGCTTGAAAGATTCTCATACTTGATGGTAGGCACAACAACTACAACAGCCAACCCATCCATTTCCACCTTTTTCGGACGTGCTGATATATACTCCTGGGGTACATATAAAATGTGCAGATAACGCCTCAGGTAAAAGCAGTCTGGAATAGATCGAAGTCCCGGCTCCAGGTTCTAACTCGTTCTCCGAGCAGCATACGATCCACTCTTGTTTCTTCCTTGAAGTGCAGCGAGGAGGCCCGAGTGCTGCTACTGCGAGTAATTCGCTTAGAGGGTGTAGAAGAAGTCTATGGCAAGATTAGTATGCGACATGCGTAAGAGACGAGTGAAGTAAGATGAGCGGTAGTACCTGGGTGCCTGTCACCGATCTCTTGCATGCTCTTCTTCCTTAATTCGTTGGCCGCCTCGGTGTATTGGTCGGCTACCTTCTTCTTGTTCAAGTAGCCGAGATAGAATCGGAGGGCAATGGTGCAAACCAGCATCATTATAGTCATTCCCAGAGCCGCGGAGTTACCAACGCTGTCTATAGTTTGGGAACTTATTAGTATAAATCCGTTGGAGAATATTCCAGCTAACAGTGAACTTACAGTAAGGAGGATCCTGATAAGCCTGGTTTCCGGAGATGGCGAATATGTGAGGGAACACGTTGAAGAACGCCAAAACCGAACCCCTTTGAGTGTGTTGTTAGCTAATACGAATCAAAAAACTGAGCCAGCTATTTCTTCTCATACCTTCGTGTGTAACCAATGAAAGACATGGCGGCCCATGACATTTGCAAGACGGTGGACGGGTAAATAGAGAACGCAATGAAGCATGTAGCGGCGAATCGAACTTGTTGGTTCTTAACCCAGATCAAGATTGCATAACCAATTATGGCCGGAATAAGGGAAACTGCCATGACAATACTTCGGGCGTTGGTCTTATCCGCAACTCTGCTGAAGAAGAGGATTCCGACACAGCCGCACACATATACGATGATAGTGAATAGTTGAGCGTTGACACTGGTGTATCCGAAACCTTGGATGATGTCCGGAAGGAAGTTCGACAGCGACGACTGGCAGAAAGAGCCTCCACAGCTGGTGAGGATGAAAAGCCAAAACTGACCATCGAGTAGCACTGCCCAGATCTCCTTGAATTTGACCGAGCCTTCGTGTGTGTTGTGTGATTTTTCGCTCCTCTTGACGATGTGCTGCTTCTCCTCTTCGGTGAATCCATACTTGAGGTCCTTAGGGCTGCTGGGCATCAAGAAGAAGACGACAACAGAGAACACAATAGGCGCAATACCTTCGATAAGGAAGATCCATCGCCACGCCCTCCATCCGTTGACGCCCTCCAAACCGTTATCAATGGCATAAGCGATTAAGCCGTTGAAGGCGCCGGCAATAGTGGACATGGAAGCAAGAATAGCGCCTCGGGTTGCGAACTCATGGTACTGGTACCAGAAAGAGAGATCTATAGAGTGTTTCTAAGTTAGAATACCAGCCGCATATTAGGGTGAGGCAGTCGAGGGAGTAAGGGAGTGAGGACGTACAGAATACACCACCCTGGACGAAGGCCTCAGCCGCACCGATGAGAAATCGAAGAAGCAATAGTTGACCACTGTTTGAGATCAAGACGGTCATAACAGTTAAGAAACCCCACTATTGAAAGGCAAGACAAGAGTCCCCCGTTAGCCCCATGCCGGATCAGAAGGAATAAACGGGAATCTGCGTTTGTCCTACCACTAGCATCGCTCCACTGAACTGTCTGTTCGGGTGGATCTTCTTAATCAAAAGCGTTCCCGGGAGCTGGAAAATAATAGTTGCAACTAGGAACACCGTTGCCGCATTCGAAAAATCTCCCGGGGAGAGGCTAAGCTCGTCCATGAGACCAGCTACCTTAGCGTTTCCGAGATCAGATTTGCCCTATAAGGCTGTTAGTATAAAAATTGACAAGGGCCCAGGCAATCCTGGCTATTAGCAACTAAAAAAACGGTTGCCCAACTGACCATCGTAGCGAAGAAGTAGACACTCGATAATAACGGTAGAATAAAGATATCGAGTTTCAATTTCACTTTGCGAGCAAGTTTCGGATCGACCTCCTTTTCCACCTCGCCTTCTTTGGGGATATCATCGACGCTAGTCGTACTCCGTAATAATATGTTTTCGCGGTATTCCGTTGGCTCAGCCATAATCTTGTCCGTGGAAGTGTTGTAGGTCGCCATCTTGACTAGGATGGTATAAGTGTTTTTCAAGGTTGTTGGGGATGAGATAGGAGATAGAGTCCAGATGTAAACTCGATTGCCCACAAGTCGGAGGTCTTATAAGTATACCAATAATGTCCCGAAAATAAGACTTATCCTATTGAGCGTAAGTCGCGTTTCGAGGCCCCAGTGCTGGGCACTACAGGGGGGGATGCTGTCTCCAAAGCAGGTGCTGGCTGGCAGGCTGGATTTACGACGAACATAAACTATCTCTATAATCGACGATCATGTCCGTTTTGGTACAAGACAACACCAAAAAGACGTTGACGCGCATCATCTACCTATCTCAACTCAACTTCAACGGCCACTCTCCCCCTGTCTCAGGGGTTGTTGGAGTGAAACCCCTCAAACATCACGAGCGAAGTTTTTGCGAAAACAGCCACATTCTGATTTGTTACCAATGGTCGCATTGCGTCCGCGTCATTGTGCAGTGAAAAAGTTGTCGTACAATCCGGAAGCCAAGAGCTCCAACCGGGCTGCGGATTTGGATTCAGCCTGCGTTCCGCTATTGGTTGACTGGGGTATATTGACCGGAGCGAATTTCGCTCCTACATGCTGGTTCGGCCTTCAGTGATCTACAGTAACTCGAGCGGGTTTCGCTCCACCTCAATCTTACCTGGTTTTTCGTTGAACCACGAAGGGGGTTACGAACGGGAACACGAACAGAACGGGTAACATGTTGAATCTACCGGTCGAGTACAAAATCGAGGCAGCGCGCTCGAAGCCGAAACGGAATATAGGGGGAACAGGATAGGCCACTTAACATTAGATACACCTGCAAATCTATTTCACGATATAAACCCTGGCCTCAACTGCCGTTTAATATACAACAGTAATTACCGTGACATATGTACACATTAACCTATCACATACTACGCACACTTACATTTAAACTCACACACCCACATCCATACAAGATGGATAAGCTATTGAGTGCTTCGGTGGTACCCCCACGTTTCCGCAACAGTGCGCTTCTTACTGGACATGTTCCTCACAAGTCACTCGCCTCAGAACCGCGCGTGTCTTACGCCCTGTATGTACCCGAAAAGATTTACAACCAGCGCCACCCCGACGTGGGTGAGCCGGGGCCCAATAAGCTTCCTCTATTGGTCGCCGTCCACGGAACTAGGCGTGACGTTTTTAACGTTTACGATTTGGTCCCGTTTGCCGAGTCTACCCCGTGCGCCATCCTTCTGCCGCTGTTCCCTATCGGCTTAGACGGGCCCAACGACGTCGACTCCTACAAGCTGCTCAAGTCCAAGACCCTTCGTCCCGACCTTGCTCTGCTGTCCATTCTGGACGAGGTGGCAATCAAATGGCCGGCCATCGAGACTAACAAGATCTTCCTAATGGGGTTTAGTGGTGGTGGCCAGTTCTCCCACCGGTTCTTGTACCTATATCCCGAGAGGCTCGCTGCCGTAAGCATTGGCGCTCCGGGTCGCACCACGTCCCTCGACGAGGAGAAGAGCTGGCCGTCGGGAATCAAGGATGCAGAGGAGATCTTCGGACGGACTATCAACAAAGAACTTATCAAGAAGGTCCCCATCCATCTTATAGTTGGTGATCAGGACACCAGCCTCCACGGCGATGGCGAGTTTTGGGCCTGGGTAAAGCAATACACAGGTAAAGCAGGAGGCGAGGATACACCCGTGAACAACGAGCATGGCGTGCAAATGATCGAACAAGGAAGACTGAAGACTACGCACGAACTACAAGATTCGTGGAAGGCCCTGGGTATCGAGTCGCAGTTCGATATTGTTCCTGGCGTGGCCCACAACGCTCGTGGCGTTCGCAGCCTTGTGTTGCAATACCTCCAACCACTTATTCGGAAGCAGGATGGAAAATGATTGGACATGTCGAAATTTTAGCTCTCTCTAATCCTGCCTTAGCTAGCGGTAGCACTTATTTTTTTTAGCATTGTTCGTGGGACCTTTGGTAGGGGGATCGAACTCCACGATCAACGATATATTAGGTTAGGTACCTGGTACATGCATACCTATCTATTAACCTACTACGGTGAAGCCTGAAAGCACATTGGTTAGACGATCCTGGTTCATGCGTGTTTGGTTTGAGGTGGATGGTGTTTGCAGCATTGTACCAATGGAATTTCATGCATTTCAAGAAACATAGGATAGTCCGATGCGTGGAAAATATATGAATCCAATGTTTTATTATACCTATGAACAAGATCTAGACTATATAGATGAGTATTTAAACAAGTTGAGGCATAATTACCTATATACTTATAATACTCGAAGAAGCACATTTTTATATCATACCACGCTTTGTGGTCCTATGGGATACGTAGTTCTTATAGAAATCAATATCCAAATTACATTAAGCACATCTAAGCCCAGGGCCTCTCAAGTACGAAAATGCAACTGTAGCTCTAGACTTCTTGGCGTTGCAGTGAATTGACTTCGCAAGCCGAGAATCAGCTTTCCCTCTTTATCAACACGCCTAAAAAGGCAAGTTCAAACCTCTTCACAAACACTAACAACGCGCAATCCCTTCGTTCCCAATGCTTCCAGACACACATAGACCGTGCGTGCCAAAACGACGCAAACTCTTGGGTAGCCCTTGGCGTATTTGGTCGCGTGGTCCGCCGCTCGGGGACCTATCGGTTTAGATGATCCGCTTACCTGGTCTACGAGACTCCAAACGACCGGGGGAGCGATGTGACGAGATAGCTGGTGGACTTTGCCTATAATATATTTGTACTATTATTTATACGCTTTGGAGATAGGTAACCGATGATCGGTAGCGCGGTCAGGACAGGGTATTAGAAGCGATACACTCTCAGAGGATTGAGATAGTGATACTATGGTGGGAACAAATAGGTTATTGATAACAAATCTATACCTCCTATACAAATCTTCAACTACTAACCTAGGAACTTTTGCCGCCCGCGGAATTCAACAAACCATAGGTAAACAGGTTTTTTCCCCCAAAATGCGCAGCGCCGTTTTAAGAATGAAAAAAAAAAAGTGATATAACCATCTCATAATAAAAATATATAAACGAAACATCTAAACCCCCAAAGCCGTGTCTATCTTACGGCGGCGAATATGATATTTGATATCAACTTAGCTGTTTTGGTACTTATTCCGGACTTTAGAATCAGCTATAGATTGTGCTAATGATTTTAGTGTAACTAACGCGGCTAGCACCGTGACACAATGTGCGGGGGAAGAAACTAACCGTGATTTACGGGGTATTACATAGTACAAGAACCTGATCGCTACACCCCTTGTAATTCGGAAGACTAGCGGGAGCTATCATGCAAAGACAGGTACCTTAGGTACGAGAGCAATCAAGTCAGAATCAATAAGGACTTATAAAGGGTACCTAATAGTAATAGCGCAAATGCTACCAAGTATATTCCGGCTCAACTAAAATACCTAAAATACTTTACTCTAGTGAGGACATAAGAAGACTATCTAATTTGTTTAGGTACCTTTTATATGGAGAATTTTACTTGAACATAATTATATTAGTATGGAATAAGAGAATATATTAACTAGAAGCTGTTGGGCCGTCGTGGTGACGGAGACTCAACTGCTACTTCTCTTACCTTTAGTTCTTCCTCTTTCGCTTTAGCTTCTCTTTTCAAGTCCTCGCTCGTTAGGAGAATCGCCTTAACTTTTGGTTCGAAAGCATGCAAGAGACCCAGGGCAGCTTGGATCTCTTTTATTGCGCCTTCTTTAGTACTGGGAATCCTGGCATCGGCATCATTAAGTTGGCGAATTGCGTACGGCACCCATTCGAGAGCCGAGTCCAGAATTTTCTCCTGCTCTGAGGACAGGACAGTCCATGCTTCAATTTCGCAGACATAATCAACAAGAACCTCGGCTTCTTCCCGGAACAATGCCGCCTCATCCTCGTCTTCGATGTCAAATTTAAGAAAGCTTGGTAATTCCATTTCTGAAGAACGTCAAGGCTTAAAAGTTCGTTATTTAATAGGTATCAGATTATGGAATTTTTGAAGAAGAGAGTTACCGAACTTTGGGTCAAATAGGTTCAGAAAGAAGATTATCAACTCGAAAATATATAGTACGTCAAAATAGCCCATGCGTGCTCCATGTCATGTCTAAAGCTTAGTCTCTGAGAAGATATGGTTGAATATTAATAGCAAGTACTAATTGGAATTACATGATTGTATTTAGTCGTTAGTCAATGGAAACTCTTGTATTACGCAGAGATGTAACAATATTTTTGGGAAGTTCATCAATACCAATTGCTATGTTTTTCAGCGGTATTGCATTGAATACCTTGATTTGAATGTCATTGATGACCGGGTACTAAACATTGAAGTATCAATTAGAAAGAGAAATGAATATATCATTATGCATTGTCAAGAATTAATCCTATTAAGCGCTTTTGACTGTCTAGGGTTAACCCCTGAGAAGTCACTAAGAAGGTACATAAACTCTTCCATAACTTCCTCACAAGAGCTTTCAAACGCTTCCCCTGAATCGATAACGCGGCTAGATACCTAAGATAGCTCCCACCTGTATTGCCACCTGTATTGTATTGCCTGACAAGTTCCGCATTCATATCGTATCACGCCTTGGCGTACAATACGTTGGCACAGCTGTCCCTTATTAGGGTTACGCGTTAATAATCAACTATCTAACTTGGCCTTGACTCAGATAATGATTCGAACCACTTCATCATCGCCTTTAAAGTACCTAACCCACGATGCACGGTCCCTGCTTATTTCTCACCGAGCCGATTAACTCCCTGTTCGAGTTTCCGATGGAGAATATGCCGCTATTCTCTCTAGAACTGACCCTGGGGAAACGGCCCCAGTTTATACGGGAGTCAGGGGGTAGTGCGAAAATCGGCTGCTAACTGTCCTGGCCATGACAGCTTACCTGCGCCACGAAGCAAATAAATTATATATAATGCATCCCTATTGCTCCTTTCAAAAACGGATTAGTCGATGCCCGGGGCAGTATCGTAAATGCGCCCAATATTATTGACAAGATTCTTAGATGTTCGGTGACCGATATAACTACGACCCGTAAGTATTGTTGGGAGTGGAATGATGTTCCTTTTTAGTACGCGACCAGTACAGGCCAGACATCGATGAAATGGTGAGACGCGCATATTTGATTTGTTTGAAGTCTTCTAGACTGCTAGATTACTAGTATTAGGAGCAGATTCCCGGCTTGCGGCTCCGCAGTCGATCCCTTTAGCTCGCATCATTTGCAATAGAATTCGATGCCCACTTCTACTTTTAGCATTAACGGCACATATCCAGTCATAGCACTCCAAGTTCCAAGCCAGGGTAGTTCGGATTGCGAAAATTAGCCGTACTAATTAACTACCGTAGCGGCGGGGGCGGCATAGCTCTCATACGAACTGTTCTATATGGGGCGTTTGGATATCTTAAGATATTTTCTTATTAGGCGGTGGCTTAGGTATTTGAGATATAACTACGAAAAAACCACGGAATATTGATATACACAAGACCAACCCCAAGAGATTTAACAAACTTAATACGAAGTAAATGCGTAACTATGGAGATCATTCCTATCCCAGTAGAACTTAGATAAATACCAACACTTATTGACATCATATGACGTTAATCATGGCATTATCATGACGCTGTCTCTGCTACACACTATAAACAAGACAACCCGCCAAACAGTAGGCAGAACTATCAATCCAAGACACTTACACCTACCTACTAGACAATAAACAAAAAAATAAACTGTATGAATATTTTTTAAAGTGTTTTGTAAAAGAAATTCTATAAATTCCTAATTCAGGAGTCGAGTCGAGTCGATAACGAGTAACGAAAATAACGAAAACTAAAGTCGGCGACCGTGAAATTTCCTAAAATGGCAACTCCACTACGCTCCCTTACAGCCGCCGGTCTAGGCCGTATCCGCGCAGGCCAACCCCCTGGCACATACCTATCCCGGCCTGCTGCGCCCCCTCTCACTAAGACCTCATCCCGATCCTTCGCCGCAACAGCCGCCGCAGCAACCGCATCGCCACGATCGCAAAAAGCACAGCCCAAGATCCTCCTCGAGGACCGGGACTCCGGCTTCGGCTTCGTGCGGCACAACCCGGCGCCGCCGAAGCCGCGCACCCGCTCGGTGACCGAGATCCGCGGGCCGTACTACACGGCCATGGGCCAGCGGTACCTGTCGGACGTGCTGGAGACGATGGGCACGCACGTCGACGGGCTCAAGTTCGCCGGCGGCTCCTTCAGCCTGTTCGCGGAGAAGCCCCTGCGGCAGCTGATCGAGCTCGCGCACGAGCACGGCGTGTACGTCAGCACGGGCGGGTGGATCGAGCACGTGCTCGCGTCCTCGGGCGGCGACGTGCCGGGCGCCGTCGACAAGTACCTCGCGAAGTGCAAGGACGTCGGGTTCGACGTCGTCGAGCTGAGCGCCGGGTTCCTGTCGCTGCCGCCGGACGACTGGGTGCGGCTCGCGGAGCGCGTGCGGAGCGCGGGGCTGGAGCCCAAGCCCGAGCTCGGGATCCAGTTCGGCGCGGGGGGGGACACGTCCGCGGCGGATCTGCAGAGCATCGGCACGAGCGACCCGAGCAAGGTGATTAACATGGCGAAGCGGTTCGTGAAGGACGTCGGCGTCGAGCGCCTTATGATTGAGAGCGAGGGGATCACGGAGAATGTGCAGAGTTGGCGCACGGACGTTATTCAGGCCATCTTGCGAGAATTGCCCCTCGAGAACGTCATGTTTGAGGCTGCTGATCCGTCGGTTTTCAACTGGTGAGTTCTATGGCCTGCCGATTTTGAATATCCAATGGATAAATTTCAGAAAGCATGCTGACAGGTACAACTTTCTTACAACTACCTAGGTACATTCGAGAGTTTGGTGTCGACGTCAACCTCTTCGTCGACCACTCCCAGATCGTCCAGCTGGCTGGATTGAGAGCGGGAATCTGGGGTAAGAGTGATACCTTTGGCAAGGTTACTACTTATCGTCCCTAGACGATAAGGGGTCTGGATCTTTTTGAACAAGACTGTTTACAAAAGACTCGCTTATGATCGGTTCATGCGGGTTTGCACTCAAGTGAGCGCAGCCGTTTACCTTCATTTCACGTTCATAACGTGTATGCTACCTGACATGTACATATTACGGCACTCCGGTGTCATTGGGGGCTGGAGTAGTAAATAGATTCTACATGTTGTGGAACATATCGCTCGGGATATTATGACATAGAATTTCAATAATTTGTGAGTAAACATTTGTGAACCTGCAGATCTATAACCAGGTCTTAGTTTAGGTACCTACCTCCTGCATACCCGTCAGACCCCCTCAGGCATGGCGTTACTGTGCATATTAAGATGTGACGACATGACGTCCATATCGTTCGATACTATATGCCACACGAGACTCTTCTTAATAGGTTACTCCATCAAAATGAGGCGAAATTCAGGTGACGACACCAAGAGCGTGGCATTCGATGTCAAGGTACCTATTAAAAAGTGGCATTTCTTGAAACCAAAGCAAGACATTTTTCCAAGTTTATGTGTATCATAACCAGCAGGATACACTTTCATGATCTGTTTAGAGCCAATCGGAAGCCGTTCTTCCAACCTCACGGCTCGGAGATCTCAATCATGCATCTACTCTCGACTACACCCGTCCACCGACCCAGAGTAGCAGCATGCGAGTGTTTGAGATGCTGGCGGAAGTGATCCGCTCGATAAAACTGCTTTGCTGAGTTGCATTCCCCAAATCTGTGAACCTCTTTCACGTGAGCGAAGCGCTCTTCCCAGTCTTGCTCGTTAGCATACATTGGCACACCTTCCCCGTTCCGAGGAAACTCTTCTCCGCAATAACCGCACGTATCAGATATTCCTGGCAGGTTGGCACTCTCCTGGAAGGCATTCATATAGCCAATGCTCAACATATTTGAACAGGACCAAGCATGTCGTCGAACGTGGAGGCTACTCTCATGCCTCTCTGTTTCGTTCTTCGTTTTAAAACGAGCACCGCAGAAATTGCACTGATACCGTTTCTCTGCTTGGTGAGCACTATTGGATTAGGTACCTGTTAGCATTCCATACATACCTAGTTTAGACTAGTTAGGTAGATAACTAAATGATTCATATGTAAAAATATGTAGATAGTTCCTGTGTATAATGAGAAACTGCTTGCCTTAGTTCTTCCATGGTGTCGAACCTCTTGGGCTTCTTTGGGCAACACTCGCAGAGGAAGAAACCCTGAGGGCTGTCTTTGGGAGATGCAGGGATGTTCATTGGTCTTCGCTTATTTAATGTTCTTGGTATTTCCAAGAAGCTCTCGTTACTGCTTTTATGGTGCAATGAAGGTCGATGGCTCCTGGATGGGCTCAAATAATCAGGCGGGCTGGTTCCGTAGATTTTCGCCATCTCTGCCAAGCTATCACCACTTCCGTTCCATCTAGTTGAGTGACTAGTGCCATAGGCGAATGAATAGGCAGAAGACATTGGAGAGCCTGGACTAGCTATCGAGAAACCTCGACCTCGTATGTCACGGTTGTCCAACATGCTAGAAGAACTCCCATTTCGCCCGATGAAGTTTGTATCTTGTAAGGGGGATCCTGCCCGCCGCTTCGCGCTAGATCGGGTCCTCAGTGATACTGAAAATCGACTTTGATGTTGCGCTAGATTATGCGGTTGAAAGGTGGGGAATTTCGCATTAAATGATTCATTGCATTCAGAGTCATCGTTCCCTAGAAATGACGAAGGCGATAGGACTGTCTCCCCCGTGGGCTGTGCGATCGAAGTTATATCTCCATCATGGTAAAGGCGCCTTAGATATTCGATAGAACCACTGGTATGATATGTCCACTGCTCACTAAGAGCTTTCTGCGCGAGCCGATAGTATTTGATAAGCCTTAAGTCCATATTGGGAGGCTCCTCCTCGAGCGACCAGGTGGACATCAGAGGATCGAACGAAGCCGACGTTGCATCGAAGAGTTCCAGCGCAATGAAGAGATAAGCCGAGTAAGTTTTCTTTGTCTCTGATGTAACTTGAAGCTCTGGCTGGGTTTCGAGAAATCTGATGGTTCGGCGAACATAGGATTGAATCCAGAGACTATAAAAAGCCGATAGCCACCATCTCTTCTCATGAAGGCGGTTCTCTTTTCTAAATATGACTTTCGACAGCTCTTCTGCAAAGGCCTGTATGTTAGAGCTCAGCTCCTGGAATGGTCGGACACAGCACGTCCCGGGTATACAATCATCGTGTAGTTCATATGTCAAATGACCGCCATCCTGAAGTCGTAATATATCGACACAATTCCTAAAGCATTTTATCGCCAACGGCACAGCTTGTGACTAAAGGTAGAAGTTAGCGTGAACTTAGAATACCAAGATAGTACCAATATGTAGACAAGTCCCAGACCTACTTGGCCATACTCCGTTTCAAAGGTAATAGCAGCTTTGATGACATCAAGAACGTGTTCCACTGATTTGATCAGGAGGATTTCTTTTACTGAAGGGACATCGATTAGACCCCAAGCAATGTGAATCGCGTTTGCTTCGACATCATGCCTAAGCGACAGGGACGTGTTTGTGGTGATAGTCATCGGCGAACATAAAATCTCAAGCACGACTTTTATGTACGTGTCGCTCTCAGGGACGAATGCATGGTCAAGACGATCGGAGGCGTCCTGAAGACACGATCCGACACCAATATCTTCCAGAATATCTGGTTTTCCTTTCATCGGGTTAAGGGTGGAATTCGCGTCGATCACACCATGCACGTTGGACTTTGGACATAGAGAGATACGCGGCATATGATCGAGCAAAGTACCACGCTTACAGCCTACTGCCTGCCATCGTGAGTTATTGGTTCCAGACTTGGGGCAAGCTTTGCACGGTTGGTCGGGATCGCACTTAACATGGTTCAGCACAAATATTGTTTGTTGACTTGTAACGGTCACCTTACCTTCTTACGAAGAAATTTACACCTCCAACAAGCCCCAACTTCCTTTAGCGTGCGAGACAACCCAAGCCAGGAGCCACGTCTCACTGAAATGAGTGCTGGCCGTGAAGCTGTTCGGCTTGGGTCTTGCTCATCCTCTGAAAGGTCAAAAAATTGCGGGCTTGCCAAAGGGTTATTATTCCTTGCGTCTCTCAACGAGCTAGTATATCCTACTGAATTATAAGTATTGTATCATGTTTCATCATATGCTATTTTTGCTTAGCCGAGGTGTAACTCACCGGATGATGTATCCATATCTATGACTGCATCAGTATGTGGGAAAGGAGACCATGAGTTAGGAAAGTCTCCAGGTCGTCTCTCCGAGACGCTTTTAGGATTCCAATGGGGCGAAGATGGAGGGATATGATGGGTAAATGGTGCTACGGAGTGTTGAACTGTCGTCTCCGGCTGCTGAGAATATTGTTCGAGGCTTTTCCCGAAACTCTTCTTTTGAAGACGAACTTTCCGAAGAGGATCATCATAGGAATATTGAAGGTCAAGCTTAGCTGCAAGAGCTTGGATGATAGCCTGCTTGGATGAGTCGCAGTCCTCAATGTCATGGTGATGGGCCGAAGGGTTGTTCGCAAACAACACAAGAGACGCATACTCGTTTAAAATGATTGGGTTATTCATATCTTGGAAGCTTAAGCCCGAGGAAGGGTGGAAAGATCATATCGGGTCTAGACTTACCCAATGCCTCTTCACTACTGGGTTGCCCCCGCTCGATACCACTATCACCCGTACTACCATATCGCAGTGTAGTTCCACATACAGTGTCTGATGTAGCAGAAGAGAGGTCGAATTGATGAGAATTGATGTCCCCAACCAGCATATCGATTTCATTTGAAGCTTCTTCTATGAGATCCATGTGAAAGAGAGGCCAGGGAGTTTCATTTCGGAAGTCTTCAGGATGGAATCCTTCTGGAGGGATAAGACTGTTTGCCATCTTTGGTAAATCAAAGCTCTAAGAGGCTTTCGGTGGGACCCAATCTAAGAGATTGCGTATAAACGATAACATTAACAAAGTACTCTACGCTGCTTCGAATAGAGTATGGCTGTCCGGAGAGACGGCCGAGAGATGTAAAGACATCGAAGAGCGGTCGGCTCATAAGGTGTCATGGTGGGTAGGGCTCCCGTAGGGCTGACAGGGCTGACATGGCGGTCCGCTCTATTCAAGGGTTAGCGTCGGTCAGTAAGACCGTAGGGTCGCAGCTCTTGAACCAATCCAACATTGTCATTATCCGATTTATGTATCCGCCGCAGCCGTTCATAGGGGCGGTCTACCCGTAGGCACGTAGCGGTCTTGAGGTACACGATAGTACACGTTATGAAGCACGAAATACCTGTCCATGCTGGTCATTCGGTCAATTCTTTCTAGACTTCTTGACCGTCAATCACCGACTGTCCACCTTACCAGCCCAAGTAAACGTCAGAGGTTAGGATCCTTTTCTTGTAGCATTACAGAGGTAAGGTATGTAGAACAAGCATGGCCGAAATATAAGGAGGTGACTCGGCTGTAATAAGCCAATTTTCAGTCCCTATAGTAATTATTATTTTCTATGATTTATTCCCATTGCTTCCAGTTATCATGGCGTCGCACTTGGAAGATTCAAGCGCGTTGCGGGGTATCGGAGCATGGATTCAGTCGGTTGACGCACCACAGACGAACGGGCCACAGTCCACTAGGATCTCTTTAAAGGAGCTGGAAGCTGAGCACTCAGGAATTTCTAGAAGGAGCGAAAATGGTCATGATTTAAGAATCAGATCATGGATGCCAAGCTTCGACTTGAATTTCTGGCATGGTCCTAATAATGCCCCGAACGACAGCTTAGACCATTCTTATTTTCAAAATCAAAGCTCAAGTGGTGTTAAGTCCCGGGTATCACCTCGATCGGAGAATACGCAATAAACAGTCGATCGATTCGTCTCCTCGAATTCAGATTTGGGTCAGTAACGACGGCCAATAAAGATTGTTCTTCTATATCTCGTCAATCGATGCATTTGGCAAATACATACCTAGATATAGTTCTCTAACTATTCAATTAGAGATGAAGATTACATTCCAGTATCGAGTTCAGGTCATCCAGGTGATCGTGCACGACAAGGGCAGCTGACGTGGGGGAGTCGGTGTAGATAGAAACCCGGGGAAATTCACGAATTGTTTCGGGGGAGAATCTAGGTTGCCGGTTGGAAATTCCCGTACCTATAGGATCTATAAGGGGCAGAATGGCCTTTCATCTAATTATCAGTCTCATTTTTACACAAGATGTCCAACCCACAGCCGTTAGTCCTGCTTTTTCATCCATGACTTCGGCATCAACTTCCCTGTCACGTTAAGGGCAAACCATAGAGGATGGTGAACAATCAAAGCTAAGGTACCTATCCATCGTCGTACCATTGGTATTGCATATAGGTACCTTATTGTATATCTGATAACAGCATTATCAAACACAGAACTGAAAATGGCTGAATACGGAAGACACCAATCATATATCTATTGAAATGATGTCGGCACAACAGCCTATTAAGACATCAAAAGTGTATTCTTAATAGCACAATTCCTATTACAGCCTATCTGACCATGAGTGGTATTACCACTCACAATAATCATCACATATTCTCAGTTACAGGAAAATCTAGTTCCATCTAGGTAATTCTAGGTGATTAAGAGAGGTTATGGACCTCCTCTTCACACCCAGGATCGCTAGTTCCACGGCCATGTACTTTAAGGGTTAGCGAAAAGTCTGGTGCAGTGCAGCTCGTGTATGAATTCGTATCGGTGATACAGTCGGGCTTCAATGTAGTCGACCCAGAGAACTGGTAGGAAGTTCTAAAGAGAGATATTAGTATCATCAAAGCTTTTCTTCATATACCTACCTCGTAGGCGAGCGTATCGCAGTAGACACAGGATTCACTCACTTGCACGCACTCCCAGGACTTGTGCAAGGCCAAGTTTGATTGATAGCGAAATGCCACCCTGGACTCCCATGCCCCCATCCAGATTGGAAATGCGTGCAGTTCCAACACGTGGGGTCTGGCGTGCTCTCCGTTCCGCATTTGAACCAAACAGATCCATCTTTATCCTGCCACTCACCGTCCTGCTGCTGTACTATGAAGCCGCTACACGCTTGTGACCATCCTACGGGGTTTGTCACGAAGAAAGAGATGGTCGCTATGCTAAGGCGTGGTGGGATATCCCCTGGATGGGTGTCGACTGGAGTGTAATATAAAACGTTAGAGAGCATTCTTATGTTTATGTGCCAACCTATGTACACGGGAGTTGCTAATTTATGGGATAAGAAGCAATAAAGAAGTGAATGCATTAAAGCATAATCGGAATGAAGGGCGCTTACGTTGACCAAAGCTAAATTCTATGATTTTCACAACTTGGCTCGAGCCCTCCTCCACAGAACATCCAGCAGCACTTAACGGTATCGCATCCACAACGACTTTGATGGGAGAGATGTTGGATGCTAACGACAGAGAAGTTAAGAAGAAGGCCGTCATAATGAATTTAAATTGCATCTTGCTTTTCGGAAGTGTTCTTATTTGAGTAACATACTCGGTCGAAGCGCAATCGCTTTAGTCAGAAATAAGTTTTCCATGCTGCACAGATTTTCTTAAAAGCGGGAGAAACATAGAAGTGTTATCAGAAGTGTCATCATGAGGAGCCTGCGTTTTGCCGTCTCGGTATAGAAGCGTGTCCGATTTGACTATCTCCGAATGAATTTACCCAGAGTTGTACTGCAGCTTTTGGCATCAATGCATCGTTAGATATCGTTACCTATTCACCTACGATATGAGGGTATATGTAACATGTATATACTCATCGTAGTAGAGGTTTATTATTATATACAAGACTTGAATTTTCTTTCCCCATGTCTTCTATGCCCTATTGTTGAAGTGATACATTTAAAGGGGGTTGAACCCTGCTGGTGTAAATCTTCAACTACAAACCCTCCCTTAGCTTTACGCTAGCTACACAATCTTGCCATCTCAAGGTCTTCATATAGAGCCCCTCGATGATAGCAATCAGCACCATGCCGCTGCCAAGCCCAATCCAGACACCATTCAACTTCAATCCTGGAGATCCTAGCTCTAGCCATATTGTCACAGGGACCGTAGCTATATAATTGACTATTAGTACCACCCAAGCAGCCACAGACTGGCGCCCGAGCCCACGGAGTATACCATTAGTGCAGCAGATGATGGCATCTATAATTTGGAACACACCAACGGCAAGCATGGTTTTGGAGACGAGGTCACAGACAATACGGTCATCTGAAAAGAATCCGGCAAGTTGGTTGCGAAGAGAGAAAATAATCAAACCGTCAGTGCTACCAACGAGCGCACATACTACGGCGTATAGCACAGCGGCGCGTCGGGCCTTCGCGACGCTACCGGCTCCGATGAGATGGCCGATACGCGTACTTATCGCGACTGATATTGAAAAGGGGATATGCCAAGAGACCACGGATACCGTCATTAAGATCGACTGTGCCGCTAAGTGGTTCGTTCCGAGGTAGGATGTGCTAAAAGTCAAAAGCTCGGAAGCGGCCCATTCTCCTAAGTTGACGGCGGTGCCCGCAAAGGAGAGGCGGACCATAGGTCCCCATTGAGTGAGTGCCTCCCTCGAGAAGCCGCCCCAGCAGTGGTGCGACCATTTCCCGGCTGGTAAAAGGATGTATGCAAGAAGTAGGACAGGGCGAATGTTATTGGTAAGAGCAGCTCCCAACGCAGCACCATTGAGACCCATTCCAAGCTTGAAAGCAAAGAGCCAGCTGAGGAACGCATTGACGGGCGTGCATATAAGGATGGCAACCATAGCCCCTCTAAAATCTCCTTGAGCTTGGAGGAACCGCTTGCCCGCTTCAAAGGACGCGTATCCAGGTAAGCCAACCAGGCTATACCGCAGGAATTCCCCAGCCATGACGGCCAAATGATGCTGCTTCACGAAGAGGGACAGCACCCATGGAGAAACCACCCAGAAAGCACCAATAGGTATGATGGCTAAGACCATGAGGAGCCACATCCGCTGGACATGTAATCCAACCTTTAAAAGGTTGCCAGAACCATAAGCTTGGGCGCACAGCGTATCGAGAGCAGTAGCCATGCCTTCGACTGTAGCGAAGCCCACGATGTTCATCGTGGTCATCCCAACGCTAGCAGCAGCGAGAGCATCTGCACTAAGATGACCCGCAACGAAGGTTGTGATAATACTGTAAGAATATTGTAGGAGATATGTTGCTATGAGTGGAAGAGAGTACTGGACAAGAAGCCATAGTTCCGATCCCCAGCTATCGCCGGTTGCGGATTCTGGCGGTTGCGAATTGGATAATAATGGCGTCGACTCAGTTTGGCCATCGCGAGCCACTTCGTCTTCTCGTACGTCTGAGTCCATGGGTGCTGGGTCCTTGGTCTCCAACTGCCTTAGAAGTGAGTAACAGTTAAAAAGTAATATAAAGTTAGCGAAGAGAAACTATTCTTTTTAAAGCTACAATACGAATACGGCTTTAAACTTGACAGAAGAAAACAAACCAAATAAACTACTAAGGTGGAGTACGAGATATTAGACAGCTATTGGTTGTTAAGTCAAACCATCCATGATACCATCTCTCGGTGTACCGGGAGGCTAACGCAATATGGTGTGCTGTTGTTAACTTCTTTCCATAAGACATCCAATAGAATGAGAGATACAAAAGATATATACATCTAGTTACATGTTATGTAAAGTCGATGTGATGTTATGTACACCTCATCGTGTAATTTTTGGACCAAGAAAGAAGGCTTTTTTTCTTTCTTTTTTTTTTCTCCCGATTTGCGAATCACTTCCAATGCTAAAAAAATACCCCTGCGTTAGGTCCACTCCCAGCCAAAATGGGGTTTATGTTATGCCGCTTCAAAAGCTTCACCGCTACCTATCTCCGGGAGGGATTTCGGATTTAAGGTACTACATATTCTTTTCGCGGTAATAAACCGTGAATTCTAGGCATATTCAACTCTACCTAAGCCGCTAAGTATGAACGAAACATAGTCGAGCGAAAGCTATGCGTCAAGTAAGCTTACTTGAGTTACTCTCTATCATGGATCATATTTATCACATAACTCAAAAGGAAGACACGGCCCGAGACAAGTAGGTATGTTGTTCCGTTTAACAACAGGTCGCCAGAGCCTCGAGAAGCGACGGAGAGTTACTTCTCGCGAAAGTATTTGGCAATGAGCTCCAACGTAATGTTTAGCTGTCAGTTTCCCAATCCTCTGGCTTCGTCAAAGAGCCAAGGTCATTATTGGGAATAACATGATCTGTCATCCATATCTGTTCATCATATGGAGTTATCAAGCATTGCAACTTGCCCGTCATTTGCAAAGCTTTCATCCCGAGGAGAGGATGGAATCTCTCCTTGATAGGGTTTACTAGCCGTATTGCATGCGACAAGATATCGCCCATTCGTTATTTCCCAGTGCTCTCACATGGCAGGGACTCCGAGAACAGCACGAGGAGAGATTCCCTCACTGACTCGCGGAAAGCGTTGCATCACGCAGTTATGACGTTTACATACCATCTACATTTCAACCGATACGGGTATATTTACCTTAACCTCGTATGATCGTTTTGTTAAAACTCGAGATGATAATTAGTCTCCAGAGTGGGAGCGGCCCGCGTGTGTGTATAATGCTAATAAAGCGATTGTCACAAGGCTAAGGGGGCCAAGATATGGAGATGTAACGCTCGCTTTTCAATTTAGCAAAATTCCAAATTCAACATCTCCGCCATATAAGACGACCATGTCCGGAAGAAATGTCAGTTCATTAGCTTTTCCTCGCCCCGGATAGCATCACATGCTTAACCACACCGCAATACCATACTACCGGTCATAATTCGAGCTCAAAGTTCTTCCACGCACCAACAGAAATCAGTTCCAACATCGGCACGCACACTTATCGCCTCGTAATTTCATGGATCCACGCCATCTTCCCAATTTTTTTCATATCGAATTACCATTCCAGCTCTTTCCTGCCACCACCACCGCTGCAAGCACTCTGATGCGTATCGGGTCTGCGCCAGTCGTAAACGCCACCTCGTTCAACAAACGATTTCTTGTCCCAAACAACCTGTTTCATAGCTTCCTTAACACCGACTTTCAAAATCGACTCGCTCTTCGTCATCATGCCCTCACCCTTGTCCAGGAAGCACATGTACTCATCTAGAAGCAGGTAGCTGCTCGCCATGGACTTGTTATCCTCCAGAATATAGCATGGAAGATGCTTGTGCCGGTCACAGAATGTTTTCCATTGCTCATCAGTGACTAGGAAGGACCTCGCGTCTCGCTTCCTCGTTTCGTCGTCATTCTCGCCGGCGACGATGAGACACTGGAATACTTTCCATCGGAATGGTGCCAGTTTCTCGATTTCGGCAGACATATCCTCGTCCCAGTTGTGCGTGTTAACGACGGTATTTAGCTTAAACTTAACTCCGTACTGTCTGCACCACTCCGCGATACGAAACAGCCGAACGACATTGCCTCCGTCGTCGCCACGCCCAATCTTCTTATTGGTTTCCGGATTGAAGGAGTCGTAAGAAACGGCCAGGATGTCCAACCACTGGCAGTTTTCTTGCATCCACTTTTCCCTAATCTTGCTACCGTTGCTCACGATGCTAATGCTCTCGACGCCTAGTTCTTCCTTGCTATAGCGAAGCAGCTCAGTGAGCAATTGAGGGTAAAGGAAGGGTTCTCCGCCCGCAATATTGAGCTTGCGCATGCCAGCTTCCTTGAGCAACCGTAGACCACGTTTCGCCTCGTCGGTAGGGAGGACGTAAGAAGAGGTTTCAGTATGGAAGCAAAAACCACATGTGTAGTTGCATTTTCGAGATGGGAAATAGTTAACGGAAACTGGAGCGTCTGGTTCTTCGAATGGGCTAATGGGTGGCTCTTTGACGGCATCCGGTCCAGATCGTTTCTTGGTTACGATGGATTTGAAAACGGCATAGAGGAAAATTACGAAAAGGCATGAGGCAACCGGAACATTCATCAGAAGACAGGTAATAATAGCCATGTTCACCTGGGCTAGGTAGGTTAGGTACCTGGTAGGTAGGTATGGCCCCCTTATTGCGTCGTCGAAGAGAAAGAAGAAGAAGAAGAAAAGCTGCAAAATAACGTGTGGACCTTGATTTCTTCAGTAAGAGGTGGAGAGTGGGAGGGTTCGAGATGGTTGCATTGGTTGCATTGGTTGCATTGGGAGTACTTAGTATTAGGTATCATTTAATTGGTTTTAATGAACATACAGACACGTGCCTACGGCAATATAACCTCTTGTAATGACTAACGGGTAGGTACCTAACCTACCTAAGGTAAGTGTTGCTTGTGCTTCCCGTTATTCGGAAACAGCCCGTAATGCGCGTTTCAAACATACCTGCCAGGTACCTAACCTAATGTAATGAACATCTATGACGACCATGGAGACTCACCCCGTACCCGCTACTCGCAGCTTTGCAGTCATCTTCGTCCTCGGTACGTATCTACCTATCCTTACACACCTCCAGCTTTACTTCCATCTCGCTTGAGACATTTTGCTAACTACTTACATAAAACCTTAAGGACCTCCCGGTGGCGGAAAAGGGACTCTCTGTGCTCATCTGGCGCAAACACATAACTTGGCACACTACTCTGTTGGCGACGGTCTCCGCAGTTGGATGCGCGAAAACCGTACCACGGAGCTTGCAGTCAGGATACAAGACAAGCTAGACAACCAGGGATTCCTTACCTCACAAGATTTAAATCCGTTTATCTGCTGGGCAATTAAAGATGCTATCAACCAACAAGATAAACAAGATCAGCCAAGACCCCAAGGCATTCTGATAGATGGCTTTCCGAGGTGCATAGAGCAACTAGAATCCTTCAACGTATGGCCGTTCCAGGATGAACTGCCACTTGCCCCAAGCAGCGCCGGTTGGACGAGAGAGAACGCGAAACCGGATGTTGTGCTACGCGTCGACGTTGCCAAGCAAAATGCGAGGATGCGGTATCTAGCCCGGGCACGGGATGGCAACGACAGCGAGGACAAGTTCGAGAGGCGTTTCGCTGAATACGAGGCAGAAACCATACCGGTTGAGGAAGTGTATCGGCAACGCGGTATCTTGATTGATGTGAGTACTATAAAATAATCTAACTTAGAGTTACCTACCTAAACTACACGAAACGAGGGAGCTTATGATGAAATGCAGGTTGATGCGAATGGGACGAAAGAGGAGAACGTTAATAAGATGACAGAGGCGCTTGACAAAAATGCCTTATGGCAGAAGATTGTCCTTGAAGCAAGTATAGAGCCACATTTTATTGTATGACAGGTACAGGTTATGATGGAAGCGTTGCGAATCGCGGGGGGTTTGGCGTTCAACACAAGGCCGATTTGGTCGTAGCACAAACCAGATACCAATACCAAATGGTACATTGTCAGAATCAGATAAAATCCTCACGCGTGCCCCTTGTCATTTCCAGCGTTATATCATTATCCGGCCATCGCTCGGGCTGGTAAGTTAATGAATCAATGAAGCGCTCCGCACTGTGGTGGACGGAATAGTATATCTACACCACAAGGGGTTGCCTCTCTGTTGGCGACAAACTGTTGACAGCTAGCTCGTCCGAAAGGGCTCTCTCGGTTTATTCTATGATAGGTATCTTGGGTAAATATCAAGTACTCCATTCTATAGGTACTATTGTTCTATAGTTGCCTAGCTGTCATATCATTCATTACATCACCCGTTCCTTTCTATATATACTGCTTTCCTCCCTGACAGAACCCGAACAGGACATTCAAACAGCTACGACGCGTCAAGTTACATATTTGTCAGATTTCTACGTGATACGAGTCCAAGGCACTTTAAGTCATGCCCGGCTTGTCGACCTTACGAATCGTCTGATGTCATTTAAATATTATGATTTCACGATCGTAGACGCATTTCACCTGTTTTTGACAGCAGTAGAGAATCCGCTGGTTTGGCGGGGTGTAGGTATAGAGAAGTCTACAAAAAAGTAGAATAAATGATTATATAGGTTAGGTAGTTAAAAAGGGAATAAGATTCATATATATGGCCATGTAGTGTAAATAGAGGTATATAGCAAAACTCCTTTATTGGAAATCGTCTTCCCCATATATTACCCATCATACACCAATCCAGAAGCTCTCTGGGCCACGGCTTGATTGTGTACATCGGCTGGCGTTCCTACGGCGTGGTATACTTCCGTATCTTGCTGGGGTTAAGGGAAGCCCATCTACCAACCCTGCCCGTCACCGTGGCAAGGTCACTCTCACCATCGTATCTTGTGCTCGTACTTCGATGATCAAGGATATGTATGAACGACGCATGTAAATTAAACGGCGAATATGTACACCTAGAAATGTTCCTTCCAGAACCGGAAGCGGACTTCTTTAGAAGTTGCTGCTTTGGCTGCCTTTTGGATATCACGGGCTAGGGTATTATGTTAGTGACGGTCTGTGAGCGAGTAAAATGATTGGAACTTACCGGCTGCAGTAGGTCCACAGAAGTATACACCGACCGTTGTCTGCATGCTACCCTCTAGACCGGTGATGTATGTTCGATCCATAATTCCATCCCGCATTGCTTCAAACATCCTGAAGAAGTTGGGTCGACCGAAGTTCGTTCGAGACTTCAGTTCTGTTAAGGGGTCGTGATCGGCGCCGACACTGTTTAGTATGATGTTCTGCGTCGTGTCCATATTGAGCTTCTGCGTTAGGTAGGTGTGGATCTTCAAGAATTCCACGCCGTTGCTACCGGGGATGAGAGCCGCCTCGTTACTTTGAGCTTCGAGAGACGAGAGAAGAGTCTGGAACCACTCGAAAGAGCCCGTATCCTTACACACCCAGACAAACTCGACACGGCGAAGTCGTCGGGGTGGGTTCGGGCTGTTGCGCAAGTGCCAGATGTTCTTCAGAATGGAGGCCCATGGCGTTACACCGATACCCGTACCAATGAGCACTGCTATTTCGTTCTCGAATACATCCTCGGCGGGTGCACCGTAAGGTCCATCAATTCGGAGCACGGGCATTTGCTGTCCGTTCTGTAAAGCGACTTCGTACATTCCCATGGGGTCAACGCCTTCGTAGAGCTTGGATTGGGCGGCACCAGCACCAACTGCGTCACCCAAAGCCCTGGTGAAATCTCCAACCTGTCGAACGTGAACTGACACATACGGATCGTACGGGCAAGATGTGATAGTAAACGGATGCCATTGAAAGTTGGACACCGAGGGGACTTGGAGGAAAAGCCACTGGCCAGCCTTGTACTTGAAAGAAGGCTTTTCGAACTGAATCTCCACGACATCTATAAACCGTGTTAGCATCCTAGGGGATGTTGCGTCATTTCAAATACTCTTACCATATGGATGGCGAACCACTCGAGTAATCTTGGTGGTACGCTTAGCACGCACTTCTCGGTAAAGACGCTCGACCAAGTAAAAGAATCCTGCAAACAATTCCCATCTCCATCCCTGATAACCAATGCAGTGTTCCCAGAAGATTCCTCCAGCGAATGGAGAGAAGGGGTTGGCGGTGTCACGAACGAAGCAACCAACGGCGTGAGTGTAGAGTCCGAGGAAGAACGGAATGAAAAGGTGATGCGTGTACCAGAAAGTCTCGAATGACTGTTGGCGGATGCGATGATGGGCGGTGGTGTACATCAGCAGCATGCAAAGTAGCATAACATGGCCGGTAACACCACCAGCTTGGGTATAATGAATTTCGACGGCTGTAACTGGCCGAATTTGGGTCTTCTCCACGTTATAGAAACTGTAAACCGTTAGATTCAGCCCACTTTGGATCCAAGAGCTTGAGATATATACTTGACATAGTGAGCAGAGACGTGGATGACGGTGAAAAGCACCATGGCGTAGGCAACTTGGCGATGGAACCAAAGGTTCTCATCCAACGGCAGGAACCTAATCTTGGGTCGTATCCATCGTACAATTGTTCGACAAACCGGTAGTAAAATTAACGTTCCATCCACAGCTAAAACTAAGCCGGCACCTCGCGATAACCACACCGACCATGATAGTGTGTTCAGACCAGCTAATTTAGGATCGTGAGCCTGCTTATACCTAGAGTTGAGTTAGTCCAGTGTGCGATTTGTCGAGGAGCACCAAAAAGACGTACCATCCAAAACCAAAGAAGAACCAGTGAACCCCCCAAAATAAGACATGGAAGACAAGTTTAGGCGCAGTAAACTGCTTCTTCACCAATTCGAGGACGGCCATTATGTCGTACTTCACTCCTACCCGGGACGTAAATTTAAATTAAAAGAAAGTTTGTCGACCTGCGACGCGATTCTGCACTTCAAGACGGTGGCGAGTTGGCAAAGGGCGTACGAAGCGAGTGGACGGATCGATTGATACCCAAAGTTCCAAACACCTTCTAAGTGATCACCCTTCGTAACCTAATTTTTTCCCCTTTCTTTCCAATTATTTTTTTTCCAATTATTAGAAAGGAGTCGTACTATCCAACGTCGCACACCTAGAAGTAAACAAAACCGAACTAAAAAAGAGCGATCTGAACCAGCAGGAAAACGAAGGAAAGGATGGCGAAGTAGGGAAAGTCTCGAGTGAGAGGCGGAGTCTTTCTACGTCCTTATTGTCGCGCGAAGGACTAAGAGAAAAGGGTCAAACGAAGATATGGGTGGACGGGAAGTAAGTCATAAAGGACGGCAGGACTAGGGCGAGGTGGGCAATACTATTAGGCGAGATCCGCTATCCGCGGTCAAAAAGAAAAAAAGAAGACCAGGGTAGCGAGGATGTACGAAGATCCGGAGCTTGTCTGGTGGTCTACCATGAATTGTTGCAGGGGTTGAAGGGGGCTCTCGATATGTCGGATGTCAATAAACCCATGAAACCTTAAGGCTAATCGTCAAAGATGCTAGACTGTTTTCCCTTTAATTCGCAAAGTGGGAATATAGAAATCTGACAGGTGAGGGTCTATCTCCGGGGCTAAACCAGTTCACGCAACCAGGAATCCTCATCAAATAACTATGTCTTTAAGAGAGAGTTTAGAGAGTTAGAGGCAGATCAAGTACTGGAGACTGGAGACGGATAAGCTAGTAAAAGCTTCTCTTATTGGATATACAGCGATTGATCTGGAATAGCTGGATGAGATCAAACAAAAGGGGAACGTTTCGCGAGTCGTCGATGCGGTGTCAGATTTACATCCGATGAACGCTGGATTTGATCGGACGGTTCTTTGCTTTGCTTAGGCACGGATGGTATTCAGCACCAAGACCCTTGCAATCTTGTTAATGGTGGGGGGGCAGAGTTGAGACGGGCAGCGTTTGGAAGTGCTGCTCTTCGGCGTTTCGACAGGGGGGAGTGAACCCTTATTAGCTTGGTATAGAATAATAGAATATATGCGCGTGTGTATGTGAACTCTTTTGGTACGAGGGAAAACTGGTAGAAATATGATAGGAACTATGTTGTCGGAATTTTTGATGGGTTGTTCGGGGGATGGGGGTTTTATCAGATAGAAATATACAAGATGTTCTTCAGTTTACTATGTACGAATTAGGCGCCGCAGGTTTTAAGATCTGTTGTGAAAGCCAATTGATTGAGGTCCAGACGGGCGGTTGTTGAACAGCGCGGATTCGTCCAGACGAGGGGTCGGGACATCGTATGTGGCCAATAGAATAAAGCGAGATCGTGACAACTTCGACCTTATCCTTCGCTATGTACGATCCTTGCTAATTGCCAAGCTCAAAGTGACAGCGTAACGGGTTTAGCCTATCCTGTTGCAGAGAACGTGCCTTTTCCCCTTATTCCACCAAGCTTATTCCCCCTCCTCTCTTTAACCACCCCCCTACCCCCTACCCTGGAATATCAATACACCATCAAGTATTCTGTAGCATGAACAGACATGCACGAACTAAAATGACAGCATGGGACATCCACTAAGCCCTTTCAATACAATGAGAGCACCCAATCAAGCATAACCCCATCTTCAATGTACGCTTTGGTGCTGCCGAAACCCGAGAATCTATTCCGTACATCTTCTGCCAACAGTCGTAGCACAAGGGTATCGCCCACGTTGGTGTCCCTGTTGGCCTTGGCCTTGAATTGCCAGATTCTCCCTCCATACTGAATACCATAGGTACCCTCAAGGAAAAATCGTATGATTGTTAAAAATCAGACCACTTCTAAATAGTATTCCAAAGAGCTGAGTATATAAATTCGCGGTAGCCGTCGTGCCGTCTGAACAGAAACTCCTCGTATGATCCTTCCATGCCTTTTCACATCTTTGCTACCTTTTGGGCTCTTAGGATTCTCTAGGCAGCAGGTGAATGCAACTCATCTACTCTATGATCTATCAAGCTTCATGCCTTGCACCCACTATTTTGTACTGGGTGTTACCTAGATCAACAAGAGAGATTGACCCAGCCATAAGACATTGGAAGCAAGGACTTCAGTACCCAACGGCCTGAGTTCCTATGATAACCCCAAAGTCCTAAGGTAGAAGCTAACCTGAGTTGATGACGAAATTTCGCTGTGAGGTAAGACTCAAAGAGATTCTGCGACGGGTTTCTCATGGTCAAACGAAGCCATCATTTACTATTTGTCTCACTATAGGCCTTAGGGTAATGATCGTACAAAAACTAGTGTTAATTGTGAGGGTTCAAGTTTGAGGCGGCGGCAAATCTGCCAGGAGTGCTGCTCGTGTTGCCCATGCACATCGTGTGAGGTGTTTAGCCTTAGAGCACGGCGTTGATGTCCTTCCTGGAACAGTCCGTGGACACAACCTTGATATTCTGAAACCCCGAAACCCTTAACAGAGCCTCAGAATAATACGCTGCGACCCTTCGAACGTTAGCGTATGGATCCAGATTTCGATTTCGCATAGCACTCTGCGGGGAATGAACCAATAGTATCGTAAAAATATACGGGCCTTTCTATTGAGGCTACGCTTAGCTTAGGATCCTTGTTAGTTCTGCGTCGGCTTCGTGTCGGGAATTCTGCCAATACATCATTCTTAGTTAGTCAACAACGCCGGCTACGATAATTTCGTTCCGAAGCTATTTCATATCATAGTGGAGTTCAAAACTATGGCTCCAATTTCTTAAACAAGCGGCTTCTTAGTTCAAGATTAGTCGATTGGGATAGATGGACCCGAGGATGTTAAGCTGAAATGCCAACGGAGATGAGCACGTGTCTTTCCAGATTCATGCCGCAGATGATAAATCACGCATATAATCTGGGGTTAGGCGGGTATTCTACAAACCGTTTGAGATGAATCAGGCGCCCAGCTTCGGTAAATGTAAAAACGATGTCGACAATGTGACGATGTCAGACCGTCAAATTGAAGATGATGCGTTGACATTTGACATCTTTAATTATGGCCGTAAATATTAACATTCGAGTGCGGGTTATGTAGTCTATGAGAGAGATATGATATCATGAGAATTAGTGAATGATGCAAACAATGAATGTAGTGATGTCTATTTCAAACCTTCACTCCGGTATTTAAACCACCCGAATCACTTGATAAGTAAAGATGTAAGTTTTCAGTCCTGCACACTCAATCACCTAGCAATTGGAATACTATTGGCAGAGCTTGACTTACATTTTTGACTATGGCACCCCGATACAAGAAAGGTCAAACGGTGATATACAAGCCTATCGGAGGTGAGTAGCTCTCACATTGTTGACTGTTGTTTTGCATCTGCTTATATTTGCTCTTACGAAGGACCCGACTCGAACACTCCAGAGACCACTGGAAGAATCAGAAATGTTCTTATCGAACCGGGAATACAGGCGGATAGGAACGTTCAGGCCAGTCCTGATAACCCTCGATATGAGGTGAGTCTTTACTCTTATAGTTTCCCCCAGGCCGCCACGGTGGTAACACACTGAACTACGTGCTAGATCGTGAATGATAATACCGGAAAGGCCACCACAATCTACGAAAGCAATATCCTCGGCTTGGCCGAGTAAGCCAGTTGTGCCAGAGTCGCTGATACACACCAAGGCATAATCTCCTATAATGTCTGAACGGTTGGAACGGTACATGTTGGGTAGCGGCGGTCGGGAGGCCGTAATACGACAATAAGCCGAATCTCGGATTTTCGACCGTGGCGATCAAATTGCGCGTTATTCTCCGCTTAGCGGAGTTGACATGTACACTAGTTAACTAGTAACAGGTTACCTTTAGTTAATGTGTAACTAACTAGTTCTTTTATCAATAAGACTCTGAGTATTGTTCCTAACTTTTGACAGTTTTCTAAACCGAGTCGGCTTGTGTGATTGTGATTTGTATAGTAAAACGATATCGATTCGAAGTAATTGTGGAGGAGATTTGTTAGAATACCGGGTACCTAATTTATATTTCTCGTAAATAATACATACGAGATGAATAATATTGAATTATGTAAAGAATCCCGCCTTAGCACCTCTTCTCAGCCACGCCTGCCACGTTACCCAGCCCCATTGAATTACGTCTCAGGGTTATCTTTGTACAATACTACATAATACTTTAGGTATACACTTAGGCAGGTACAGATTGTATAGTACCTTAGGTACCTATTGGCGCTAAGCTCCACTGGAATAACGTTGCCTCCTTCAGGGCAACCCGAATACTTGGGAAATACAAACTTCATCTTCCCATACCCAGATCTAAACCGCGCTCGCATATATTTTACCACGCGCTTTCTCCTCAGGTCGTTTAATCACTAGGGACGATTCCAACCCTGTATCGTATATTCTGCAGACTAAGGCCCGACGCTGCAATCCCCCCTATTCCCATCAAGATCCCTATTCTCCTAGATTCGACCCTAGCGATACCCATACCCATACCCATACCGCCCATGCGAGCCCAATATGGTAAGAAATATTGTATAACTAGAACTTGAGCAACACCTTCATCCTAATCACCGCGTGTTAAAACTATAGGGTATAAGTAGACGACCGAAGGATAAATCAGGCGCAGCGTCCCGTGCTGGTGGCGCAAAAGCGCAAGATGGCGATGCCAGACCCAAGAAGGCTACCTTCGAGACAACCAAGAAGAAAGAGATAGGCGTTTCCGATCTGACCTTACTTAGCAAAGTATCGAATGAGGCAATCAACGAAAACCTGAAGAAGCGATTCGAAGGCCGCGAGATTTACACCTACATTGGCCATGTCTTGGTTTCAGTTAACCCCTTTAGAGATCTCGGTATCTACACCGACCAGGTCCTCGAATCATACAAGGGCAAGAACCGTTTAGAGGTGCCGCCCCATGTCTTCGCGATCGCCGAGTCAGCATACTACAACATGAAGGCCTACCACGAGAACCAGTGTGTTATTATTTCTGGCGAGTCGGGAGCTGGTAAGACTGAAGCGGCCAAGCGGATCATGCAATACATCGCAAACGTGTCCGGCGGCGAGAGCGGAGAAATCAAACAAATAAAGGACATGGTGCTGGCAACCAACCCACTGCTCGAGTCTTTCGGAAATGCGAAGACGTTAAGGAATAATAACTCGTCTCGGTTCGGAAAGTACCTACAAATACACTTCAACTCCAACGGAGAGCCTGTAGGAGCCGACATCACAAACTATCTACTCGAGAAATCACGAGTCGTGGGCCAAATTACCAACGAGCGAAACTTCCACATATTCTACCAATTTTCCAAAGGAGCGTCTGAAAATTACCGGACAATGTTCGGCGTCCAAAAGCCGGAGACGTATGCGTACCTCAGCCGGTCAAAGTGCTTCGACGTCGATGGCATAGACGATTTGGCTGACTTTCGAGATACCTTGGAAGCCATGAAGATTATTGGTCTTTCTCAGGCCGAGCAGGATGAGGTCTTCCGCATGTTAGCCGCCATTCTCTGGACTGGAAACATCCAGTTCGTCGAAGGAGATGACGGATATGCTGCTGTGGCTGACCAGTCTGTCGTGGACTTCCTCGCATATCTGTTGGAAGTTTCGCCCGCTGCATTGGTCAAGGGCATAACAATTCGAGTCTTAACCCCAAGGAGCGGCGAAGTAATCGAGTCCCCAGCGAATGCCGCCCAAGCAACCGCTACCAGAGATGCACTTGCTGGGGCTATCTACTACAACCTCTTCGATTGGATTGTTGGAAGAATAAACCAGTCACTACAAGCTCGACAGCAAACAAGCAACAATATTGGAATTCTGGATATTTATGGATTTGAAATCTTCGAGAAGAATAGTTTCGAGCAGCTCTGTATCAACTACGTGAACGAAAAGCTGCAGCAGATTTTTATCCAGCTTACACTGAAGGCCGAACAAGAAGAATACGCACGGGAGCAGATCCAATGGACGCCAATCAAATATTTTGATAATAAGGTTGTGTGTGATCTCATCGAGCAGATTCGACCGCCGGGTATCTTCTCTGCCTTGAAGGATGCTACCAAGACAGCCCACGCCGACCCCGCGGCGTGCGATCGTACCTTCATGCAGAGCATTAGCGGCATGTCCAACGCCCATCTCACTCCTCGCTCGGGAAGCTTCATTATTAAGCATTACGCCGGCGATGTTAGTTACACCGTCGAAGGAATCACTGATAAAAACAAGGACCAACTCCTCAAGGGTGTCCAAAACTTGTTCCAGCAGAGTTCTAACCACTTTGTCCATGCGCTGTTCCCTCAGCCCGTAGATCAGGATAACCGCAAGCAGCCCCCAACTGCCGGTGACAGAATCAGAACTTCGGCCAATGCTCTCGTAGAAACTCTGATGAAGTGCCAACCTTCTTATATCCGGACAATCAAGCCGAACGAAAACAAGTCGCCTACGGAGTATAACGTGCCAAATGTCCTACATCAAATCAAGTATCTAGGTCTGCAAGAGAACGTCAGGATTCGACGTGCGGGTTTCGCCTACCGTCAATCATTCGAGAAGTTTGTTGAGCGTTTCTTCTTACTGTCTCCTGCTACGTCCTACGCGGGCGAGTATACTTGGCAAGGAACCGAAGAGGCTGCTGTGAAGCAAATCTTGAAGGATACAAGTATTCCGAAGGAAGAATGGCAACTAGGTGTGACAAAGGCTTTCATCAAGTCCCCAGAGACTTTGTTTGCTCTAGAAACCATGCGAGATCGATATTGGCATAACATGGCGACTCGTATTCAAAGAATGTGGAGGGCGTACCTAGCCTACCGCGCAGAATCGGCGACCCGAATTCAACGTTTCTGGCGGAAGAAGCGGGTTGGTGCTGAATATCTACAACTTCGAGACCAAGGTCACAAAGTTTTGCAAGGGCGTAAGGAACGAAGACGTTATAGTCTGCTGGGTTCTCGACGTTTCTTGGGTGACTATCTGGGAATTAACGCGTCGACTGGGCCGGGATCACACATACGAAGCTCCATAGAACTACCGAGCAACGAGAAGTCCATCTTTTCGTGTCGTGGGGAGGTTCTAGAGGCCAAGTTCGGGCGATCAAGTAAACCAAGCCCTCGCATTCTCATTGTGACTAACAGCAAGTTCTACATCGTAGCGCAGTCATTGGTCAATCATCAAGTCCAAATTGTCATTGAACGTCAAATTCCGCTAGGATCTATCAAGTTTATTGGTACATCGACATGTCGCGACGACTGGTTCTCGTTAGGGATTGGGTCGCCCCAGGAACCTGATCCCTTACTAAACTGCGTCTTAAAGACAGAACTTTTTACACAAATGCAACGAGCGATGCCTGGTGGCTTCAGCCTGAAGATTGGCGACTCAATAGAATACGCCAAGAAGCCAGGAAAGATGCAAATCGTAAAGGTGCTAAAGGACTCGCAACAGGCCGTCGATTTTTACAAGAGCGGGACAGTGCATACACAGACCGGGGAGCCTCCTTCGTCTGTATCGAAACCGACGCCTAAAGGCAAACCCGTGCCACCCCGTCCGATTACTCGAGGCAAGCTCATTAAACCGGGTGGTCCCGGTGGCAGGCCTTCCCGAATCACCAACGCACGTCCGAGCACCACAAAACGTGGTCCAGCAGCGGTTCAGACCCCAAGACCAGTCCCAGTCCCAACTCCCACTGCCTCAGTCACAAGCAGCATTCCAAGCCATACTCGTAACCAAGAATCGACATCGTCCGCACGCGCGCCACCTCCTCCTCCACCGCCACCTGCTGCTCCTCCAGCGAAAGCTAAAATGACCGCCAAAGTTCTGTACGACTTTGCTGGCCATAAAGAGAATGAGCTCTCGATAAAGGCTGGCGAAATCATCGAGATTGTCCAAAAGGAGAACAATGGTACGTAGCCAATTCCTATCAACCAAGAATCTAATCAAGCTCGCGAGCTCACTAACACGTTTTTATTTTAGGCTGGTGGTTAGCAAAGAATTCGCATGGACAAGCGTGGGTACCTGCAGCATACGTCGAAGAACAAGCAGCAGCACCTCCCCCAGCACCAGCAGCTGCTCCGAGGGCTCCGCCGCCGCCTCCAAGCCAAAACGGCACGGCAACGGCAGCACGGAATAAGCCTACGCCGCCACAGCCCCCAGCGAAGCGGCCTGTTACTGGGAAGAAGCCTGCGCCGCCTCCACAACCCCGAGACTCAGGTATGAGTCTTAATGGTACCGGCGGGTCAGACAATAGCCGTAGCAGTACACCGACACCTAGCGTGAAGGGTTCCCTAGCTGATGCATTGTTGGCGAGAAAGAACGCCATGCAAACTAGGAGAGACGATGATGACGATTGGTGAAGTAGAACATCAGAGTAGAGTTGCGTTTGGTGCAGGTGTCGGCTTTGAAATGTTTAGTCTATGCATAGAATAGGCGCACCCAGAATTATAGCGAGACGGGAACGGGGGACAACCTATCCGAGACGGCCACAATAAGTAACGGACCCTATCTCTCCCGCAAGACGAGAAGCGAAAGCAGGACGGGGTTAGATATCAGATGGTAGTTCTACAGCCGCAACGAAGCGTGTAAGGTATTGTACGGAGCGAGCACGATATAGCATGACAGCCTTGCATAGTAGAACAATTCACGTGCTTAGAAAGGTAGATGGGCAAAGAGAGGGCTTGAAATAGTTGGCGAATTATATCTATACATAAACTTTATTCTATCTTCTTTATCCCATCGTGACATATCCAATAAATAATAAAATAAGGTAGTAGGCAGTCGAAAAATGGGGGAGGGAGGCCGTACACAAATCACGTATCCTCATCATCTTTCGTGCGAACTTTCCTCCTACGTATCAATTCCGCAAGAGGAACATCTTCGTCCTCCACGGGTATCAATTCCTCCCCCGTCGACGGTCGTCGCGCCGACCGCTCTAGCTCTAGCTCTACCGCCGGCTCGTCGCCAAACTCGGCGTCCTCGTCTACCCCGTAGTCGCCCAGGTGTTCGCCGTCGGCATTCGCCCAGCCGTACTTATTACTACTACCGCCGTCACTCCCCCCCACCATCGCGACGGCGGTGGCGGTGGCCGAAGCGCGTCCCGGCCCGAATCTTCCATCGTACGCCTCGTCGACGAAATCGTAATCGCGATCGCGATCATCATAATAACCATTATCGTCGTAGTCATCAAGGGGCACTTCCTCCAACTCGCCTAGTATGCGGGCCCGCGACGCCCGCCACCGCCGCAGATCCCGCGCCTGGCGGCGGCGGAACGCCTCCCGCTCGTGCTCGGGGTTCGCCGAGCGGTCGAAGCGCGCGTCCGCCAGGGCCCGGTCCGCTTCGCGCTTGCGCGCGCGCCAGGCCCGCGCGTGGCGCACCTTGTCCGGGTCCGGCGGCGGCCACATGCCCTCGCGGTCGTTGAGCCCGTTTTCTTCGTACGTCCAGCCCACGCCCGCGCCCGCGCCGGTCATGAGGATGATGTCGTTCTCGCTATTACTATTACCACCACCACCACCACCACCACCGCTACCGCTATTGCTAATGTTGTTGTTGCTATTGTTATCTTTGCCCAGAGGAGCGACTCTCGGCTCACCCGCGAACGGGAAGAACCACAGCAGCGGGTTACGCGTGCCCATGCCGGCAGCCATGTTGGCGAAGAAGCCGATGTCGTAAGGGAACTCGACGGGGTCGAGGGTATCGGGGTCGCCGCCGGGGGCGCGCTCGCCGGAGCCCCACCAGGAAGGGGAGTAAGGGTCGTCGGAAGCGGACTCGTAGCGGCGCTCGAGGGCGGACTCGTGGCGCTCGATCTCCCAGCTCTCGATCATGGTGGTGTTGAAGACCCAGCCCTTGAGCGTGGTGGCGAGCAGCAACCCCAGGGCCAGGCTCGTCGCGCCGGCGGTGAAGGCGAGGACCGTGAGCAGCGCGAGCTGCGACAGCGAGGGCCCCAGGTACGCGGGGAGGTGGCGGGTCTCCCAGAGGGCGAGGAAGCGGCGGAGGAGGAAGGCGAGCAGGGTCCAGAGGGAGAGGTTCGTGTACACGAGGAAGCGGAAGAAGTGCGGGAAGGTCTGCAGGGAGACGCAGTTGGAGGTCCAGGGGCAGTGGTGGTCCATCTTGGGAATACACCGACGGCATGTCTTGCAGTGGTGGGCGCGAGGCGGTTTGGGTGCCGCGCATTTCCTACACCAGCGCTGTATCCGTCGGGGATCCAACTCTTCTTCTTCCTCTTCTTCCTCCTCCTCCCCGGGGCCATCGGTACTCTTCCTCTTCCTCTTATTTTTCTTGATGTAATCCGGCGGGAAGACGTAGCGGCCCGGGTCGACGGTGCAGGCCTTGTAGTACGTATACCACAGACATAGCACCAGGCTGTTAAAGGTGTAGATCTCGGCTTTGGTGAGCGGGCCCGGGGCTAGGTCCGGTGCGGTGGCGAACAGCCATTGCGAGGCGTAGGCGAGGAAAGCGATCAGGAGGCAAACGGCGGGAACGGCGAGGCGCTGGAGTACTGGCTCCGTGCTGCCGACGAGGAAGGCCATACCTATTAGGTTGTTTATATTAAGCCATCCAGGTGGAGGTCCGGATCTTTAAATAAATAAATAAAAGGGGGAGGGGAAGGATATTTGCCGCCGGACTTGCTAGGATCCTTGGTTAAGATACATGTACTAAGTAATGGGATGAATCCTAACAGATTTGGGTTTTGAATAAGATGCCGAGGTGACGCGATGTCGCTAGTTTACTTAGGCGCGACGTCACTTATGCAGGAACGGACAGGGATCAAAGCCCTACTACCTTAGGTACGTACAAAGTACCTAAGAAACCTAAGCTTAATAAAGGTTTAAGGCAGTTTTTACAGTATGGCTTTGATGGATATTTAGTAAACCGAAATGACTCTGGCGTAAACGAATTAAATAATAAAGAACCTTGGAAGCTCTTTTCGTTACTTTTGATTGATGGTACAACTATAACAATAACAATTATGACGATATTAGTTTCAAATACGTGTAAATTGAGTGTCCATTGTTAAGTACCAGTTACTGACTTTTTTATTCTATCATGTTGGGAATGTTACCTAACGCTGCTCCTCACTCATCTATAGATACCTCCTATAGTACACTAATTTGAAGGTCCTCAGTTTATAAGGAATCAAAGAGCGTAGCGTCTGCTGTTATGTTGGGACGTCTTATCAGTCTAGGTACCTGTCATCCGGTTGAAAAGAAGGAGGGGGGTGAGGGGGGGTGAGTGTTCTCGATCACCTCCCGAAGCAATTCCCAAAGCTTAATCGCCAGACTCTGGTGCATGATACCATGCTTCTCAACCCGGATCTTCACAGCGGCAACAAGCCTTGACGCCTAGGTAGTCAACCTTATAGCTAGAAGTCGTGTTAGTTCACACTCAGGCACTCCAGCCAGCCTTCCTAGAGTCAGTCAAAGCCTGCTAGGTTAGGTAGGTACCTGTTATAAATTACCATTACACCTTGAGACCATGTTCGAAGGGTCGGTGCGCCGGGGTTCATAACGGTACAATACGTAAACCTACCCTAACCAAACCCAATCTACCCTTACCTAGCCCCTTTTGTTGTTCCTTTTGTTCCTTTAGATGGACGGTTGGTTCTAATTTTCGGCATGGCCACAAAAACGGCCGTATGGGGTTCAGAAGATGGGCTTAGAAAGGTTTAGAGGTAACTTGGAAGTTCATTGTTCAGGACACGATAGTACACTAGGACATCTGGGGGAGTTAATATTTCTACTCGTATCGCACGAAATAGAATACAAGGAAAGGCTTATTCTAGACCTGGAGAATAAATTTTGATGTTTGGGGTATAAAGACAACTGAACTTAGTAGCCGCCTAAAATGTGGAGATGACTTGATTATTTATTTCCTCAAGGGAAACTTCATTGTCTTACTTATCAAAATCTGCCTATGAAGTAGACAGCTTGCAATTGTCATTCCAGTAAGTAGAGAGGATTATCAACGATCCAACGTTAACCCTGAATATTCACAATGTTTACGTCAAATGACTAGATGATACGTTAGCACAAACAATATAATGTAAGGTTGTAAAACAAAGATTGATTGATTCATACCTACACGGAGGATTTCCTCATGCCGACATGTCTTTTTTGTGTATTCTGGTAACATGTCGGCCAAAACCAGCGCAAATGGCTGGATGCGCAATATTATACCCGGATACTTTTTATCCTAGGGTAATCAAATATTGTCGAAGTAATTAGAGTAAGCAATTCCTCCCATTCCTCTTTCTCTTTCCCTCTCTCTCATCGTTCCGCAGTATCATCCTTATGTCCTTCCGGGCTTCGACTTCGACTCCGGCCCCTACCTCGGTGTGATTGTCGGGGTCCCCTATTATTACCCTTACCCGGAGGTGGTCTGACGAAAGCGAAGTCGACGTTGATAACCTGGTCTAGTAGCTTCGTCTGATGTGCTCCATCAATAGCAGCGCGAGCCTCGTCCAAGGTAGCGTATTCGATAAGAGCGTAGCCCTAAACCCAACAGATAGGTTAACATTTGAAATGGATTCTGGTATTGGGAATTGAATTAATATGAGGTGTAGAATGTTTGTTAACTTGCCTTGACGTAACCGCTACGACGATCGAGATTCAAGTGCAGGTTCTTGATCTCGCCAAAATCGGCAAATTTATCGTGCAGCGTCTCCTCGTCGGCTTCCTCGTGTACGTTTGTAACCATAATGATCCAACCCTCAATAGATCGCACGGCTGTAGCTTTGGTGTGCGTTTGCATGTCGCTAACTTTAGCTTGAGTAGCTTGGGGAGAGCCAGGCTCGTCGATTTCCATTTCGACGTCCGCCATGATGAACAACAGTCTTGCGTAATACTAAGAGGAAAAGTGGTCGTTGTCGTTGTCTTACACGAACTTCTAGCCTTAAGAAGTTCGCAATGTTGAACTTGAGGAATTGAACGTCGATAAAGCTGTGGAGTTGGGAGGAACAAAGCAAGGGAAATGCTAAGATTTGATTGATGGAAGCTTATGACGAACTAATTCGTGGTGACGGTCTGTTAGTCTGTTTGGCCTAGACGTGCCACCTGGCAGTACATTGTACAATAGGTACCTAGGCTAGGTACCTAAAGTTATCCCCTGGGGCCTGAATAGGCAACACCGTAACACAGCTGTCACATGTTCTTATACAGTTATACTTCTACTGTCAGTGAGCCATCACCATATCATGTACTTCGTACAGAGGTAGGTAGTAACCTTGCCTTTTAAAAAATAACTTATTACAATGATTCTTCTTCTATGACAAAGCAGCAGCAAGTTATCCGGTAGGGACCCAAACTAGGGTCCGGAACCAATGTGGAATAGCGCATTGCCAAGTAAATACTTAGCCCTAACATGAAAATATCTAAAATTAAGTATAAATGCGTTAAAGCACACGTAAAAACACATACAAAAGGACAGTAGCTTGATAGCGAGATTAAGTACATCCATGGTTTAAAAAATACGCTAGTAGACGGACCCTTAGGTAGTTTGGGTCTCTACCGGATCTATATCTTCTTCCCGCTCCAACGTCATAATATATTTACAGCACTACCGTAAACTCAAAAAAAAAAAAAAAAAAAAAAAAAAACCCTACAGTAACCGCGATGTCGGAGAGCAATTATAAACGCGATTGGCTCCTTGTCCAGATCTACAGCATCATCCCCGGAGACATAGGGCGCGGTTCTTGATTATCCAACCGGATGTCGTGTAATATCATCCCGGTTATCCATCGGTTATCCCTTACAACCCTCCTCTTTTGGATTCTGTATATTGGTAAATGTGCCCAGGTAGGTTATAAGTGAAGCTTTAGGTACCTACTGCTTTGTTGATAGCATCGTTTGCAACTCTCTCTCTCTCTCTCTCGTTCTCTCTCTTATATATCTTTCTATATATGAGGTTATTCTTCGTAATATTGCAAACCCTTAAATAAACAAACAATGCCTGCACATCAAACTCAATCACAAGACATCCCAATGTCCGAAGTAAGCCGTCTTCCTACCTCCCAAGAGCTACAAGACAGTGATAATGCACCAACAACGGAACTTCCCCCGGCCGAGACCATCATCTCGCCAGCTGCTCCGCAGTCCGACCGCAGCAAATCCGCCTACCTCGTCTTAGCCGGCTGCGTGCTGATCCAGGCCCCGATATGGGGGTACTCGCTCGCCTTCGGCATATTCCAAGAGTACTACACGGCGCACGGGCCCGCCGTGCTGCCCGACGGCCCCGGAACCCCCGGCACCATCGCCAGCATCGGCAACTCCCAGACGGGTATCCTGTACCTGATGATGCCCGCGACCTTCATCCTCCTGACGAAGTACCCGTACCTGCGCCGCTGGTGCGGGCCCCTCGGCCTGCTCGTCACTACCGCCTGCCTGCTCGCCTCGTCCTTCGCCACCTCGGCCCGCCAGCTGATCGCCACCCAGGGCGTCCTGCACGCCGTCGGCTGCGGCTTGCTGTTCAGCCCCGCGTCCCTGAGCCTCGACGAGTGGTTCTCCGAGCGTAAAGGCCTCGCGTACGGCGCCATGTGGGCGAGCAAGAGCACCGTCGGCGCCGGCATGCCGTTTCTCACCAGCGCCCTGCTCAGCCGGTTCGGCGTCCGCACCACCTTGCGCGCTTACGCCGCGTCCTCGGCTCTCCTCACCATCCCCCCGTTGTTCCTCATACGGGAGTACCCCGCCGCGACGACGACGTCCGAGGAGCACGCCTTCGATCATCAACAACAACAACCCGGACGTCGGCAGAGACAACGAGGCCGGGTCTCCTTCGCGTTTGCCCGGCACTCCACCTTCTGGATCCTGCAGTGGGGCAACGTCCTGCAGTCCCTCGGCTACCTCATGCCCCCGACGTACCTGGCCTCGTACGCGCACGCCCTCGGCTTCCCCTCCGTTACGGGCCCCATCTTCCTCGCCCTGATCTCCCTGGCCTCCGTGCCCGGCTCGCTCCTCATCGGGCTGCTCAACGACGCCGGGCTCGCGCCCACCACCGTCATCCTGATCTCCTCCCTCGGCAGCGCCGCCTCCGTCTTCCTCCTCTGGGGCCTCGGCGGCCACCAGGTCGCCGTCCTGGTCGTCTTCACCCTCATGTACGGCTTCTTCGCCGGCGGCTTCAGCTCCACCTGGTCCGGCATCCTGCAGGAGATGAAGCGCCGCGACGGCGCCATCGACACCGCCTTGATTTTCGGCATGCTGCTCGGTGGCCGGGGTCTCGGCTTCGTGCTTAGCGGTCCTATCGGTGGGGCTTTGCTCGAGGCCAACCGCTTGAAGGCCCAGGATTTTACGGGCTACGCCACCCAGTACGGTCCTATGGTTATCTATACTGGGTTGACCGCAACTCTCGGTGCTTGGGGCTGGTTCTGGACTATGGGCAAACAAGTCATGAGAGCTTTATAAGTTATAATAGATATATCTAGGAGGTACCCATCCGTAATAGAAGCTTTTAATGGCACGTTTAGTTACTATAATATATGTCGAATAACAGTCACCCTTCGTCAACAGACAACTTGTCCCATAATTTCTTCCATTATGCAATATAGCGGCGCCCTTCATATGGATGCGCGTAACCTAGGTGACCTTTGCAGTAGGCTCGTAATAATACAATGAATGCATTGAATGCAGACTCCCTTTTATACACCTAACCATGCATGAGGCTCGTGATTTAATCAGACCGTAAAACTCCAATGACCATGGACCACCAAATCCCTTCCGATATTTTACCATTCTGGTCACTTAATTAACACAAAGCCCCGGATACTCCCCCTTCCCCCAACTCCTCCTTCAGATATCAAGGACGCCGTTCCATGAATGATCCTTGCTCATTGCACCGTGTATGGTGTACTCGACGAACTCTGCCGTCATCTCCTGCCCGCTCGCCTTCTGTCCTTCAAGAGCATCATAGAGATAGTAGATTTGATCTCTCTTTAGGTCTCTTACTTTTCGGATTCTGTCAATCTCAAACCCCAATCGCTTCCACGTCTTACGGTTGACGGACGGGTCGCACTTGTCGAATTCTACAGCTCTCTTGTTGAAAGCTTCTTTGAGATGTTGTTCTTCGTCCTCCAGAGACCTGATAACCTTGGCCAAAGCCATGGCCGGGTCTTGCGATGGGCGCATTGTAAGCTGATCTTCGTAATCTTGCTTCTCTACACCTCGGTCTGTAACGGGAATTGGCTTCTTTGCGCGGATAGGCTTCTGGCCGGGTCCGCGAGAGTTGATTCGTGAGCAGACAATGCAGTTGCCGCAATCATGATCATGGCAAAGGTTGTCGAGAACACGCTTGGCGTCCTTGGAAAGCTCGTTCTTGGCTGTCTTCGTATTTTGTTTCTCTGTCATCTTTTTCTGTCCAAGTGTGATATCATCTATGAACAAAGCCGAGGTCATATTATCTTCATGATCTGAATCGATATCGAAGCGTGCACTGTCCGAGTTGCGACGTTGGAACTTATCCATCTCTGAAATTTCGCTCTGAATGCTCATACCCGATTTAACACTCAATCGTCCCGTAAGGTCAGTCTCTAAAGTTGGTCGAGATTCCTTTGCTCCTTGCAAGGCTGGTCGGCCAAACGAAACTTTTCGAGTATTAGCCTCCTCGGACTTCGTCTTTCGTGCACCAGAAACGGAATCGGTAGTCTTATTGCGCTGCTGCACATCTTTGGATCCTGTTTCGTTCGCGGCATGCTTGGTTTTCTGTTTCTGAGAGTTCAGGCGAGAAGGTTGAGATTCTTTAAGTATTCCAACAGGCTGGGATTTACCTGTCTCTGTTCGTCCCTTAGATGTTCCAGAGACAGCCTTGTGTGAGCTAACGGACCGCTGTCGAGTATTGGGCACAAACAGCGGTGGTAGACTTGGGCTGGCCGGTTCACTGATATCGTCATCGTCAAAAAATGATTCCTCGTCGCTCGAGTCGCCTTGTCGGTTGTCATTTCGAACTTGACGGAGAGCATCCCGTAGTTTAGGCATTTCGCCTTGTGTGAAAATGCTTGCAAAGTCAGACCCCTGTGTAAGGTCGATCTGCTGCGTATAGTCATCCTGCATGGGAATATCGGTTTGAGACGTGGTGCTTCTAGCTGTTGTCTCACTAACAACCGACTTGCCCTTTGGTTCAGCGATGCGCGTCGTCGTCTTCGCATGCTTCTTCTTGTTTACAGTACTCATGAAGTCCTTGATTTCCTGAGTAATTTGACGAGCCTCGTTAATAGCGTCCGTCCTCCGCTCGAGTTCAGACTGAAGCTTGGCTTCGTGAAGAGCACTCTTCTTCAGCTTGTCTGCCAGAGCTGACTCCTTGTCGGCAATGAGCTCTAACTGCTGCGTCAAGGCTGTCTGCTGCTCCTCGTACATGGCAGCTTCGTCTTTGCTTTCCTTCACAATCTGCTCAAATCGTTCGCTGATTTGGTTGAATTGCTCCTTGTAACGCGCATTTGCGCGACCCAGCCGACGTTTCTCTTGCTCTAAAGCCACTCGTCTGGATGCAAAATCCGCTTCTAGATCAATAATCTGTTGCTGAAGCTCGGCGTTCTCCTTAGAAAGCTCGCGGTTTTGCACCTCGAGTCGATACTTGATGTCTTTGAAGTCAACAGACACTTCACCCGTCTCTGCGTTGGTAGCATCGAGTAACTTCTGTAATCGAGCAAGATTATTTTGTAGGTCGTGCGTTCGTCGATCAAGTAAGGAGTTCTGCTGCTTGAGAACTTTGTTGTCGTTGAAGAATTCATCGTTATGACGCTCAAGGCTCAGATTGTCTTGCTTGAGCACGTTCTTCTCCTCTGAAAGCAGCTGGTGCTCGCGTCGAAGTGCCTCCAACTCTGTCTTAGTTTCCTTCAACTCTTGATTTAGCAACTCGTTCTGTCGGGAAATATCTCCATTGTGTTCCCGAAGAGATTGGTTTTCCTCCAATAAGGATTTCCACTTCTGTCGGATTGAGCTGTTATCTTTGCGTAGGGACATAATCTCAATCTCAAGCGTATTGTCGTCTCGGGGTTTGTCATCGCGCAGCGATTTGAGTTGCCGGCGAGCCATGTCAAGTTCGGATTGAAGCTGCTTGATCTTATCCGAGTGTTCGGTCGAAGTTTTAAGAGCCTCATCGCGCTCGGCGATGTATGATTCGGTATGAATTTCGTTGATACTAATCTTCCGGTTTGCCTTATCTAGTCGGGCCTGGAGAGAGCTGACTTGTTCTTCCAATTCTAGAATTTTGGTTAGTCTCGTTGCAGATGAATCGGGGATAAAGAACATACGATGCTTCTGTGCGCTGAGATAGTCTATTATTGAACTCTCCGAGTCGGAGCCCATAGCACTATCTTTCCGAGACTTGTATTTCGCGATCTGCACGTGGAGTTCTTCGACTTCTTCCTGAAGTTGTTCGGCCTGCTTCGAAACAAACTCATCATGCTCTTTCAAAGCGTAAACTTCATCCTTGATCTTATCCAGAGAGACGAAAATCTTCTCTTCATCCTCGGGAATCGAGAGCGCTTCAATATCAGCATGATGATCCGTGTATAGCATGGATTCGCGGTCATGGACTTTGCCATGTTTGACGAAGACAGGCATGCCATTTCGGAGGGAGGACAGCTTCAGAGCACCTGATAGGAAGTCGTTCATATAGGAAAGATTAGGTATAAAGAACGAGCGGGCAGTCTGATTAGGTGTGGTAGGACTGGCCACATGATCCATGTCCGGCTGTCGCTCCGTATGGGCCTTGGCAACATTTTGGAGCTGTGCTGATGGTTGTGACTTGGGGGAGACCTGTTTGGACGGCTGTTCCTTGGCCTCAGCCTGTTTAGTCTGGGCCGTCTTGAGCGTCTCGAGTAGGGCTGTGACATTGCCACGTCGAGGCTTGGCCTTTTTTGCGACATTGGAAGCCGACAGCTGTGGATGATTTCCTTGCTCTTCTGAATCTCGCCGCGGCTGTACAAGAGGTTCAGAGAAATCTAATGAGCACTCGGACCCGTCTTCGACTCGTGGTTGCATCTGAGCCCTTGTTCGGAGAGAGCCTCGTTCTGCCGCTGTTATTCGATCCTTGGCTGTGTTTTTTGCTTTTGCAGCCCCAACCTGGAAATACGAAGTCAGCTAGCCAATTCCCACAATCAAGAGCAACTAGATAAAAGAAGTTACATCATATTTCGTAACAGAACTATCAAAACAAACGGAACGTCGAAGTCCAGGCTGTGTTACAGAACGACCGCGCAAGCAAGAACGTAGAGAAGAAACAGATACAAATGAATTAGAAGCAGAAGCAGAAGTAGAAACAGAAGACTGAGAAAGGAAAGAATCATCAGGAGAATCGGAATAGTTGCACTGTTTGTCTGTGGGCGAGACTTCCTCATGCGAGCTTCGGGTATCTGCTGTAAATTCGCTTAGGTGTAAAGAATCGGTACTATCTTCAGGGAGAGGCGCTCTGCAACTACTCGCCTAGAGTAATCCATCTGTTCGTGCAATACGAACAGCATCCGTAGCTCGATCGACTTCCCTGCTCATATCCCGAAACTGCTTCGCAACATTGAGGATATCTTGGCTCGTGCTTTCTAGCGTCTCCAACCTAGAAACTGGCATTCGCGGTGTAGCAAATCGATGCTTGATAGTGTAAAAAATGTTTACTAACCTTATCTCTATCTGTTTCTTCCGCTCTAGGGGTAGCGACCACCGACGAGTTAGGGCTTCCAAGTGGCGTTATATTCTCCTCTCCCTTGGAGATTGGGAGGTTGTCGCTAGCAGTTTCCCACATCTCCTTCTCGTCTTCGTGTCCGTTAGGATTCCAGCGGCTCCATTCGGGGAAGGTTCGTCCTAGTACAGAAGTGTTGATGTTAAGGGAGGATGGTTGAGGGCCCTTGGAGCTGCGCATGGCAGCTTGGCTTGGTAGGTTAATAGATAGGTCATCCATTCGTCGCGTCGATTCGCCTTGAGGACCAGTAATATTTGAGGTAAGTGTGACGGTTCCGTGGGAACCAGTAGAAGAAGGTGGTGAATTGAAAGGATTCTCGGTATTTTGATGCATCTCCCTAAGGATGCGAGACTGATATCTGCTCGTCTTCGACTCCATGTGATCCGTCACGCGTTAAACGCGATTAGGATGGAACCGAAGGATATGGGTAAACTAAGATGCCAATTAGGGCGGTATAGTGATGTGTAGCATTAATAAACGCGTTAAGAAGCGCGTAAGTGTAGGTGAGCAGTTCAGTGACAGTAGGAGAAGAGAGGTGTGGAAAAAAGTGAAGCTGCAGACGATGCTGAGCAGATGCGACAAGTTGAGGAAAGACGCGTCCAAAACAATGATCAGAGTCAAAGTAGGAGCAGGAGCAGGAGCAGGATGGTAATTAATCTGGTATTTTCAATGCAGTATTTGCAATGAAGTAGAATTGGTTATGCTAGAAGAAAGCTTTGGGAAGTAGCTGGATGACAAGGTTGTTTTGTTGTATTTGAAGCTGTGTGTGTGCTTTCTGTTGATGAAGAGAAAAAAGATGGAGAAGAAATCGAGTTGATGTTTACGCGCTATGATATGGGGCATCGGAAATGCAGTGGGGGGCGGGGTGTGTTTACGTTGCCTAGACCTTTAGATAAGTAGGTACCTAGGTACTTTCCTAACTTACCTAATTTACCTTTCACTTACGCAACACTGTAAGCAATGCACTAGATATTAGAGACTTGGTACCTATTTTCTCGAGTAAGATCATTCACCTAATACCTACGTAGACTTAGGTAACGTTCAGTGAATCAGTACCGGTATTTATAAATATCTTGGTACATAGGTACTCACGTATCCAAATACCCGCAGGCTGCAGCGTATACCTGAGCACGGACTACACTATTAGATGCAGGTGCCTACCGTAGTATCTATGTACATCTTGAAAAATCCCGACTCAACCTCAAACAGCTCAACCAATTAAGAAACCTTTTAGAAGTCTAGCGTTCCAGTTATTAAATGCGAAGTGACATATGCTTGAGTTACCCAAGTAACTAAGTACACTTTCAAGGCTATCCCGGTTAAATTCAATCCGTACCTGAGTCGAAGCTTAGGTACCTATTTTTAGGGGAACGCCTCCTTCTCCCTTACACGCACACCCATAGCCAGATGCCCATGAACAGATACCCAAAGACATTATGCTTATACCACTACCTCCATGGTAAGTTTAGGACTAGAATACTTCATATAGCTTATATTAATTTATACCCTCTCTCCCTTGCCATCTCGAGCCATCGTTTATAATAGGTTTCATCAGCGCTCAGACATAGTAGCATTCTTCTTCGACTATGTACAATAGAGAGATGATATCAGGTTCAGATGCCCGGTGGTCACGAGGGACCTATCTCATCCGTACTTGTTAGGACCTAGTAATTTGCTACTGGGCTCTCTCCTTTTATATACCTACCTGGTAGGTACCTGGGTAGGTATGTATTGGTATACGTAAGGTAGGTAGTAAAAAATGTTGTCGAATTAGTGACTCGGTCATGGAAGGGACTACGTGCAGCTGGTCAAGACGCAGGTATCGTTACTCCCCAATATATACCACTACACTAGGTACATAAGATGTTCATTCACAACATATGTTAGGTAGTGGTCCCTCTGAGAAGGTTCGGCTGGATAGTCACTATGTAAGTTCATCGTGTATGCTAACATGAATTGTGATGATGACAACGTGTGCATGTAAAAACAATACATGCGTTCATCTTGTTTCAATTATAATATATAAATACGACAGTGGCCAATTATCTTTTGGGAGGTATCCATTTGAGAGTCGAAGCATACGTCGTAATACCTTCGTAGGCAATAGACATATCAAAAGTCCATCTAATCATAATGATCGCCGAACCTGTCCACGCTCTTGAACTTGGTCTCCTCTGTGGTCTCTACCTCTGGGACTACGTCGACGGCAAGCAAGGCGGTTATCTTGCCAGACAATACCGACCGTTTCCATTGCCACAACCAGGCGATGCTCGCTACCGCCCGTCCGACGTTTCTATCGTAGTGCCAACAATAGACTGGGATGATGACCTTCCTGACCATCTTATAACTTGGCTTAGCAACAAACCTCGCGAGGTAATATTCGTAACCATCGAACGCGAACTATCAAGACTGCAAAAGGAACTTGAGTCTGCCCCAGGTGTCAAGCAGGCGGTGGCCGAAAGCGGAGCGCAAATATATATCTACTCAGTAACCGAGGCCAACAAGCGAACACAGCTATGTCGAGGCATTAACCAAGCCACAGGCCCGATCATTGCACTCGTCGACGATGATGCCCTCTGGACAACTCAAGAAGTGCTGGTAAATCTACTTGCCCCTTTCCAGCGGGACGACATAGGCCTCGTCGGAGGACCCATTGACTCGTATGTACCAGCTGAACGTCAAAATTCTAAGGTCATCAGTGGCTGGGAGGTTGCCGCTCTTAGAATGCGACAGAGGCGGGAGAATGGTATGGCGGCTTTCTATGCTGCTGATGGCTCGACAAACTTCACAGTTTCCGGGCTCACAATGTTATTGAGAGCGGAGATTATAAAAGATCCTTACTTCCAGTATCTCTTCACAAACGACATGTGGAATGGAATGAAACAAAACACTGGCGACGACGGCTTTATCACGCGCTATATCCTTTATCAGCATCACCTCTCGGATCGCCACAGGTCCTCGGTCCGGCCAAGACAATGGAGACTCGGCATTCAACTTAGACCCGAAGCCCGCGTTTTGACAAGCTTGATGCGGACCAGTGCGTTCGCTCATCAGAGCAAAAGGTGGTATCGGTCTGGCCTTAGGCTGCGACTTACTTGCCTTCTTTGCGAGCCGGGGTATCATAAGATGAAGACAACGGCCCCTTTTATGACCCGCAAGATGGCTGGCGGTATGGTAACCCCTATCTTCACCATTGTTCGGGCATATCTATGGTATAAATTGTGGGTGCATTTTCCTTGGTTCGCGCTGTTACTGCTTTCCTATGTCCTGTACAATTGGTTCACTGGTCTTTATGCATTTTACCGGCGGTTCCCCTACTGTGGTTCGAAGATTTGGGCCGCCATGATCGCGGACAACTTGTATCTCGTCTCCGATTTCTATTCTTGGTTAACTTTGTCTACCGAATCGTGGAGTAATAGATCAAGTGTCTAAACATCGCTTCATAAAGACAGTGCCAGTGAAAGTGGTATTCGTCGGCCCGAGTGAACTAGGAGATATATGGCGAGTATCACTGTGTGCAAGACTGTAAACGCATCTAAGGTATTGTGTAATAGGGTTTATACAAAGGTAATTATCTACACCCCGATCCTTTTACTATCTTTCTTCGCCGTGCTTTTCGCTGAACGCTGTCTTTGTCAAACTCCTCAGAGTTTCCTCGACGAACTTAGGTACGTGAATCTCAAATAGGTATCCCCTTTCTTATTGTCATGGATGCGAGGTAGCATATTTCTTGTACCGCAACAAAGGATTGTTACATGTTAGCCTGACAAGGAACGCTCCAATAGTATAGGTAGGTAGGTACCTAGTCTAGTAGTATTCAGCTAATAAATCAAAAATCGTAATTCTCATCGAGGAAGTGATGTTCTCTTTCTTACAGTGCACGTGTGCTTTATCTTAGGCAGATACTGTACTATACAGCTTGGATAGCCAATAGCCCCTAGTAGTATGACGATTATACCAGGTAGGTAATTATTAGAATCCCTAACAAATAGGAGATTAAGCAGAATGCACAGTGTAATGCTCAGTTCAAAAGAACGAATGTGCCTACAACTATATGACGTGCATTGTGAGCTATGAAACAACTACGCCTGGAAATCCACCGCAAAGAGGCTGTGCTATATCATGGAGGTAGATCCTTTACCTTTCACCTCACCTGGCAGACTAGCAAGCATCGAAGATTAGGATGACTCCAGAAGGAATCGCATACAGATATTGCGGAGAACGTGAAGCTGGGTATAGCTTAGTATCTACTACTATAGCTCGGTACCTGACCACTCAGCTCAGAGAAACATGTCTCCATCAAATAAGAATAATTCGTAAAGTACGTCGATCCCTAAACTACGTACGATTCGTAATAGCCGTTTAGCTGTTCAGCCTGGATCCAGCTGAATCTAAAAATAGATCCCAGCCAATTCACCGCTTAACTATGACTTCAACTTGATCGGCCAATCCTTCCCGAACTTCTCGAAGCTCTACCTGTCTGATTGCGGACCTGCGCATACAAATATGCCCTTAGCTATGATTTCATACAGTGTGATTTCGTAGTACTAGTGGATTAGGGATTGAATTGAAGAAACAATGGAGGAAGAATTATTGCTAATGGAAAGTCGGTGGTGTAGTATCTCCACGAAGGTATTCACGAGATCTGCGACCATGGAGCCAAGTAGGTAGCCAAAAGCGAGGATCATTATTTTCATGATCGTCATCGTGATCCCAAATAGAGAACAGAGATTGCAACTCTGCGTAGAGAATATGAGAGACGAAAAATGTATAAGTAAAGGGATTGTTTCCTTGCCATTAGACTATTATTCTCGAACATCAGAACAACACAAGAACATTACATTGAAACCTCTTGCAAGCAAAGCTACTTCAAATATTTCACAATGGCACGGAATAAATCAGCCAGCCTCCTCGGCCTCGCAACTCTTCTACTCCAAGTCAGCGCCTACAAGCTGATCGCTTATAAGGGGGAGAACTGCGGAGGTGATGTCCAGCAGACCATTGAAGACACCATTTACGGCGACGTCTGTCACGTTTTCAAGGACAAGGCGGCATCAGTGAAGGTAGAAGGCTCTGACGACGGCTATCAATGGGTTTTCTTCAACAACTATTGCAGCAACAAAGCCCAGGTCGGTTCATTTCTAGGCAATAACTGCATAACCATGGGCGCAACAAAGATCAAGGGAGTTGGTAATATCATACCTGAAGGGTCCCCCAGCAAGCGAGCTTCTGCTGGCATTGTTAAAACTTGGAAGAACAACGACTGCTCTGGAACCTTCTCGTAAGTTGTCTTTTCCTACCTTGTACCGTTTCCTTTCCAACGACGGTTAGTCTAACAAAGCTACTCCAAAGTAATGAAAAGCGATTCGTCGGCGAAAACATACCTGAGGCCCTGAACAACGTCGGATCTATCATGGTGACAGATGTCCCCGACGCCGACATTACTTTCGCTTGCACCGACACGGACTGCCACGTCGAGAACCAAGTTACCACTCTGGAAAACGGCAAGTGTGCCAATGTTGAAGGAAAGGGGGTAAAGTCTGCCATGGTCATTGGAGTGCCTACTCCTCCTGGCCGCCGCGATACACTTCCAAAACACCGCTACACGCGAAACCTGATACTAGAGGCGCGGGAGTTGGGAAGTCTTCAGACCCGCGACGGAGTCGAGTGCGACGCGAATAACGGGGCTGACTACCAAGACGCTCTTAAGCTTGGTGACGACTATCAAGGAAGCAACGGGCTAGCGTGCTGCTGCCATATCGCTGGCGGACCCAGCACGGAGTCCCATGGCTCGGCCAAAGCATCCATTTCCGATGACATCCGGTGCCCTACTGACCCCAGTGGTCAGCCGCCGCCACCTAGTGCTTGTCCCATGAACTGCAATACGATGAGGAGCATCATCTACGCCATTGCGACTAAGTGCAAGACCGATGATGGCAAAACTGGCGGCTCCTATAAGTTCGCCGGTGGCGAGGTCAAGCTTTTTCACAGCTAAATGATATATCGCAACTATATTTCCTTCTCCTGGTTACGATGGCAATGGGAATTTTATGAACGGATACGCCTCATTTCGCCGTTCAATATAGCATTCATCTTCCCCCTTGGATATGCACATTTGTACTAGTATATATTGTTATCAGGTAGCCTGGAATACATGTTCTCTTATAGCTTTCTCCTTCAGTTAGAAATTCATATACTCATAGGTGCTTATTGCATGTTGATGATCTCCTCGTACTGTCACATCTTGTAAATACTCTAGGTTCGAAAAAGCCTTGCAGACTACCTAACCTACCTACATACCGTGTCCTCATTATATGTTGTCGTGGGTACTAAGCATCACATGGTGACAACTACCCATTGTAATTACCTAATAAAACAAATAACACTAGAAGCGAGTACGTTTATCCTAGTTGTGACAAACAGTCCAGTTTCTAACCAGTGCCAGACCATAAGGGTTAGAAGCAGGAGGGAGTAGTGTTTAGGTACGCTCTCTCAAGTGGTGTAAACAACTACATGGTATCCGGGACGATTCAAGTATATATCGTCTCAACGATTCACATCTAAGTTCGCAGCCTAACCCCGAAAGCAGGATGCAATCAAGAAAATAATGGCAGCCGGGGTAACTGCTATGTGAAAAAGAATAACCGTAGCCTACCTAAAGCAACATTTTCTGAATTGTCCTTAAAGGACATAATCTTCCTCTTAACCTCCCCTCTTTTTTCTTGTGGTGTCTCAGAGCCAACAACAGCTCAACTAGCATAAAAGATTCCCCCCAGCCTGTATGGTCTAGCACCTGGCTTAGGCAAAGCTATCACCGTCGAAAGGGGTTACTATTCCCAAGTTCACCCATACTTCAAAACCCAGGGATCGCAGTTTGATACAACGACAGACGCCCCTATCTTGTCATACGCCAATTTTTGAACCATTAACCACTAGAGGTAAGCAAGAGGATACTAAAAATGTCTACATACCCCATTACCATGCTTCACTGTATCCACTGTTGTCAACGATATCGTACATGTCTATCCATGCCGTCTAATAAGCTACTTTGCTTTCCTCCACATTAGACTCAGCCTTCATACCTCGAAGCATTAAGCAATAGAAAATGATGATTTGACCCTAACATGACCAAAGACAGGATCAGATACTTGAGCTAAAAATCCGTCAGCTCGCTAATTACCTCAAGACCTCCCTTTTCTAAGTCTGATTGTTATACCGGCAGTCTCCCACCGAAACACTATTACTGAATCCTCGCCATCGCCATCGGTATATAATTTTCCGTCAAAGCTTCCACCAAGCTTTCACGTTCAATCTCTACCACATCTCTCTATCGCTAGCCTTGACTAAGGCACCCACCCACCCACCCAGCCAAGCCTACCCGCACACACAGAGCAGCAAAAAAACACCACCAAGATGTGCGTGCAAGTCTACTGGCGCTTCACGCACTGCCCGTGCGAGCTGAAGTGCATCCTGCGCCGCTGCGAGCCCGCGCAGATGGCCCAGTGCGACTTCGTGGGGGCGACCGTGATCGACTCCGGGCTGCCGTTCTGCTGGTACCACAAGATCGCGGCGCGGGACCGCCTGCGCCGCCTGCGCATGTACCGCTCCACCGCGCGCGGCCGCAAGCTCTGGCCCGCACCCAAGCCGCGCCCGATCACCCGCGACAGCTTCGTCTCCGCGACCGCCGCCGACGGGGAGTACTTCCCACTGGGGCTGGGACACGACCCGTACGACTCGGGTTGCTGCTGGGAGATCGATGACGAGGAGGAGGAGAAGGGGAAGAAGATGAAGAAGAAAAGGAAGAGGGGAGCTGGCGAGTCTGAAAGTACGGAATCTGACAGCGAGGAGGAGTCGGACACAGAGGATTATCAGGGCTATGGCTGGGTTGATGAGGAGTCGGATAGCAGCAGCTCGGGAGTTGCGTACTCGGGAGAGGATACGGGCGAGGAGACGGACATTGACGAGTGAGAGTACGATTTTTGACTCTTCGTCTGGCTGATCTCTTGCGTGTTAAGCAAAAAAAGAAAAAAACACGACTCTCATCGTTTACCTAGCCAGTCATGAGATTGAGTTATCAGTGTGTTTCACAGCCGCATGTCTTCTACCCTATGGGCACCTTGCAACCCCTAAGCCTGAGCATCACGTTTGGACCCACCCACCATCTGTCTACCTTGCTAAGGACGACATCATGTTGAAGGGACTCCGCTGAGTATTGCATCTAGAAGAACATGCTTTGCTTTTGTTTTCTATTAGCTGTTGATTTGAATAATACCATCACGTCGAACGATGACGCAGTCTGTGATGATATGAAGCAGTCCTGCCAGGATCAAATTCTATGTATCGGACGTATTTTCTTTGCGTGTACCTAAACTAGGTGGTTTGCCTACTTTTTACTGTATTATGAACGCTAACCATTCTTATAATTGAGATTATTCAAGCTCTCTTATTCATATTAATCTTCTTAGCCTAGTAGTACGTCCTAGGACAAGTTCTAGATTTTCAGTGCCATTCACTCAGTAAAAATTCCGTGAAAACAGCCTAAGTACCTCCCTAATACATCCGATTAAAGGCTCACTATTAAGGCTGCTAATTCTGGTTACTTAGGTAGTTACCAGGTAGATTCGGCCGAGTTAGCGGCTATAGGTATAATGTGTATGCTGATGCAGGGTCTCCTAGTGATCTTCCAACAGGTAAATTATGTATATTAGAATTTCCAGCTTCATACATTTCATAACTCATGTGGTCCTTCCTATAGATTTATTTTAGGTACCTATCATAATCAAAGCAGTGAGCCAGGCATTGGCCCTTCATTAGCCCCTTTTTCAGCCAAAAGAAAAATAAATCTCGTATGCGCCATGTCGTCATTGATAGGAGTGTCGCTCGTTTATCCTATCCCGTCTACATGCATCGCTTCGGTTTGCATCGCAGAACAAATGGTATCGATATCATAAACTTCAAGGTGTTCCGTTATCCTGTGTCTGGTGGGCCCAATCTATTTCCAACCCGTTTCCCCAGGATATCGCCTGCCGCCAACGCCCGTTACTATAGGACTGTGCCTTCGATCTTTATATCGCTTTCGGTCTCGGGAGTCTCTTTCGTCGGACGTGACAACTCTCCTCCCATCCCAATCATAATCCGAATCCCTATCCCTATCCCTACGATCCCAGGTGTAATCTCTATTTCGCCCCCCAATTTCAGCATGGCTGCTTGCTCTTCTGAGCTCTGCTGGATGCAGATATGCCCTTTCCCGACTCCTTCTCCTCTCCAACTCTTCTTCTCGCGAACGATCTCTTAGAAGTTCCTTTTCGATTACTCTATCGCGAATACGCTCACGCTCACGATCGCGCCTGCGCCTTAGGGGATATTTGGGAATCCCTGCTTCAGACTCGTCGCTAGGATATGACCCTCCAGAAACACTGCGGCTAAGCCGCGAGGGATGCTCTCTCCGAAAGCGTACGGTCGGTGCAACATTCGTCGCATGGCGCTTTTCACCGGAACGACTTCGTTGCCGTTCAGAGGATCCGGAGAGAAAGGTGGTAACCTTCTGCTTTATCTCCGCCGGTAAACTTCTCCTACGAACGTCATCAGAACGTACATCCGGCCGTATCTCGCTACGATGTGAACGGATCGGAATAGGTGGCGTTATAGGAGTCGCAACCGGCATGCGGCGAATGGTCGGCGGAGGCGGTATAGGTCCGTGCATCCGCGACTTAGAGTTGGCACGAGGCGGCACATCTGAGTCAGAACCTGATGGAGAGGGAGAATAGGGTCTTGATTGGCTATGGCGGTGTGGAACATGTGGGCGGCGAGGATCGAGATGACTTGAAGGGCGGAGATCATCCATTTCAGAACGGCGAATTTCCGAAAAGCTTGGTCGTTGAGGCGGCCGATCTGGTGAACTACTACTGCTACCACCAAGAGAACTGCTGCCGCTATTACTGCTGCTCATCCGTCGCTGCCTTGGTGGGATAGGACCAGAAAAATAGGGGCCAGCGTAATTGCTTCTCGGCACATGAGCGTATGAGACGGGCCGTTCCCGCTGAAAATAGTCCATCTCTGGCCTTTGACGAGGCGTGGTAGTATTGTTTTGCGGGTTGCGCACATGCGTAAAAGTGGTATGAACCCGAGGTTCGGATTCGCGCTGTTTAGGCGGATGTTCATCTTTAGGAGTAGCCTCTTCTCGGAGCCTCCGTGCGCACTCCTTATGCCAGGCATCTGTCTCGGGATCGCATTCGGATGGGAAAGCCTCTGTTGGTAAGTCAGGTGGGAAGGGTTTCCCAGTATCAGGATGTACTAAACCCCAATTGCGCACAGCATATTGCATGAATGGTACATGTTCTTGAGGTTCGAGGAGAATCTGGATCGCCTCCCATCGAACGAACCCTTTGAGGGTTAAAGCCGGGACGGACGGCTCTTCGAAAGGATTATCTGTTGGTTGCAGCGTATGCTGGACACCCAGAGCTTGCCAGATGTAAGATATGGACTTGAAGGGACAGCCTAGAAAGAGTTGGTCATAGTCACCACCGACAGCACGGTAAAAGTCAGCCAATTTTGGGGGGTTCAGTTCAGGGACATTTGTGTCGCCAATATTAGCAGACTGTAGTCTCCGGGTCAGCACAACCACTTATTTTTTGCATATACCACCTGCGCACGAAACATGAGAAATAAAACGAGACGTACAATATATTGTCCGATAGCGCGGAGTAGCGCATCGAGGACGGGGGTCGGCGATTTTCCATCAAACAGATAGCCGTAATACTCTTTTGGGTTGGGCTCTGGCGCCTTGGACTGCGATGACGAGTTTGGCTGGGACTGAGGTGTGGACTGTTGTTTGGACTGCGGTTTGGAATGAGGTGTATCGTTAGGTGTCGGTGCGGTAGCGGCAGCGGGGGGTTCATTGGGGTCAGGCTTTAGGCTCGCCATCTTTATTTGTTCATAAGAAGTGTCGATGACGGTTGTAAAAGCATTGGAAGGCGAATCGGAAGTAGTTAGGATATAGTATAATGCGAACACGTTGAAGCAAGAGATTTGTTTCGGAAATAAAAAATAAAAGCGCGAATTATATCATTGAATATGGTGGGCTGATAGAACTGATAGAACTGATAGAACTGATGGAATAGATAGAATATAATAGGAAGATCGTCGATCCTACAGCGTCCAGGGGGTAATTGATGGCTGCGTCATTCGCGAATGGACAACGACTGCGGCCGCTGCGTCACAAAAATAAGGCGGCATTCAGAACAATACAAATTGTTTGGGAAATATAGAAGGTAGGCAAGATATAATTATATATAATTATATGTAAGCTATTGGCCAGCCTCGAGGGAGACAGACAAAAGGACAAAATGAGTCGAATTTTAATCTAGAGTTGCACGAATGCAACTGCAGATGATTCAGTCTGGCACAGCCGTAACCGCGATCGGTTGGGTTCTTGGAAGAAATATTCGGTGCACTGCATTTTTTTGGGTTTTTAAGTGGTGGGTTTATGGGTGGGATGTATATATCAAAAGTTGGTAGCATGGGGGGTTGTGAACCAGGAGCAGCAAAAGGCTTGGAAGAGAAGAGAGGATTTAAAAAAAAAAAAAAAAAAAAAAAAAAAAAAAAGGAGCCCCGCGCCAAATTGCCTGCTGACACGTGCACCCGACTTACACTAACTTGCACTTGGAATATACTATGTGTGCCTGACGTAGCTAGTGGCATATCGTACCTGCCAGTAAGAAATAGATGTATGTAGGTGCCCTTACCTAAGACACCGACTAATTGTTTTTTAGGTGAAGGCTATAGAACTTGAAAGTTGACAAATTCAACATCTCCAAGTAATACCACTTACCTATTATTTGTCTTAATTGTTACAATCACATTGTCCTACCTTCTGTCCTCATTTAGCACTTAACACAACAAGGACTAACAAGGACATCTATCTGCCAGTCGCAATATGAACTGATTTCGTATAATTCCGCCTTGTTAGGCCCGAACAAGGCACGACATGACGATGATGATGCACGCTCTTCCAAGCAACTCGCGCATAGGTAACCGAGCACATGTACATATATTATATGCGTGTTTTATATGCATGTATACATGTACGCTGGCTGCATGCTGGTAAGTTGGTTCCAGCACGCTACCTACCTAGGTACCTACCTAGGATCCGAATCTTGTACGACAACTTATGATGGTTCATTTTCTGCCACTTACGTCTTCGTGCCGTTTTCTTTCGGTATCTCATCCAACAAATTCAGAAACGACCAATCCTGGTTTGCCGCGGTGTTCCGGCGTGTATCGCTTGTCAAAGTCGATTACTCACTATCCCTGCAGCATACGAACAAACCGGAGCATCGCCATCGACGAGTATCATCTGTTAGTCAATCAATTCCTACCCAAGACTTATACTCGGCTATAACAGTTTGTCTATGTTATGGCTGTGTATAAGCTCAGCCATATATTACACCTTAGGAAATGCGGCTACCCCCCAAATCTCTTGGGAATGTTATTCTGCATCAAATAAAATTCTGCAATTCTCCGCAATTAGAGACGCGCTCTTCTGTCATTGGCAAGGCAGTTTCTTCAACGATTTAACCGGTTAGTCTTTTCGGCCGGGCGACTTAAGAACGAAACCAACAAGAGTAATACCATCTGTAACTCCCTCCCGTGTATCAGGCTCAATCCACCTTGTAAATTCTTTAAATCCAGCTTTCTCCAGGACGCGCTTACTACCTGGGTTTTTGTCATCAGCCATAGCTGACAACATTTCCGGCACCTCTTCGGACCCATTCACCTGCACCGATTCTGCAGCAACCTCAACCTCAACTTCTGAACGCGGTAAAGTCCACCAATGCTCGGTGAATGCCTTCAGGAACTCGGTAGCGTATCCCTGTCCCCAATATTCCCTCTTCAGCATGTAAGCAATCTCGGGCCATCCGAAGACTAGATCAACTTTCGGCATCCCACCCGTCCCGATTATTTCGCCGGTTGATGCGAGGCAAAGTACGTTGTGGTAGGTTCGGATATCATTAGGCGGTAGATAGCGGGCTAAATACGATGTCCGTGTCTCATCCTTACTAGGATCAATTCGACCAACCGCCGTGAAATACATAACTTCCGGTTGAGTACGTAAGGCATAGATCCCCTTGAGGTCGTCCTCAGTAAACGGACGTATAAGGAGACGCTCCGTGCGAATGGGTTTCCTCTCCGCATTGGGTGGGAACGGCCGGGTGGGCAAATGCGTCTTAATTCTGATCTTCGGAAGCTCCGCCATTGTAAGCAAGACAACTCAACGGTGCGGAGCGTTTAACTTCGGCTCTTGTTGTTTGCCACCATGACACCGGTCCCTTCCCAGGGTTTAAATAAAGAATTTGGCATCGTGTAGAGCCTAGTCAACGCAACTCGTGTTCTATTATATCCGAGGGTTATGCGCTGCAGGATTTCAGCTCCGAGGTGACTTACGAAGAAATCCGAGTTCACCTCCTAAAAAGGGATCGCGTATCTGTTATCTCCAGCGGTGTTGGTAGTGTGCTAGGTATATTTAGAACATCTCCCCGAATGCGGGTATTCCCTGGATGCGTTGGCTTCCTTGATATAGGAAAACATCCGCAAAACGAAACAGGCCACCAGCAAGGGTTCAACCCGTTCCACAACCACACCTAAATACAATTTTATGCTCAGAACATACCAAATCTCGGGTTTCGGAATTATATTACCGACCTTATATTATTATATCTACCGAAAATAAGACGCCTATTCTCTATTTTAAAGATAACCTCAGATTAAGTTAGGGTAGAGTATAATTCAGGTACCTATGGTATGGGTGATTTATCGCTGAGTATACGATCCCTGCGGAACTTCGCTGCAATCTGACATTTCTTGTCTCGTTGCTGTATCACTGGTCTACCGTTGGCCTACCGCTGGTCTATATGGCGTCCTCATACACATTGATCTGTCCGGAGAATGGCATGTCTTGCTTGAAAACGGGGTAGGTCCAATTGTGAAGGACTTCCAAGGACGGGCTAGGTGTTATGCATAAACCTACCTACCTGGTTTGTTAAGAAGAGAGTTCGTATTCATGAAGCAGGTATCTACATGTGCATAGAACATGGTGCTTCAGTCACAGTCGAAGAGGACAATGGTAAGACACCTTTCTATTGGGTACCTAGCATGCGGTTCTAATAGCACGATCATGAAGCTCTATTTTGCCTACGCATGCAGCGCGGAATAAAAGCTTGCTGATACAAATAGACACGGCGAGACGCTCTTACATCACGCCGCAGAGGGCGTAAGGGCAGACATTATAACGTACATTGTTGCTGCCAACTCATGCGACGCGTATGTGAAATAATCTATGATTCTAGGTGACAGTTCAACGTCGGTAATGTGGTTTCCAATCGAAAGCCGCAAAATTGGTACCTGATCCAGTCGGAAGCATATTAGTGGCGGGAAAGTTACGTCGGTAATATACATTGAATGTATGCACGTAACCGCAAGTCTGATCGATATATCAGCTCTCGATTCTACCGGTGACGGCTCCTCCTGTAAAGAGAAGGCTACACACATCCCGCCGTTTACGACGACCAATAAAATTTCTCACTAGTTATATTTAAACCATTTGAAATCTCCTTTTCTGATCGCAGCGGGGAAACCGTACAAGCTTTCTGAGTATTTACCTGATTGGATGCCTGGTGCACAGAGTGAGAAAGGAACAACTTGAAATCATAATCGTGGATAGTAAACAAAGAGTAAACAAAGGCAAAATGACTGTCAGTACTTCGAATGGCTCATTTAGTGGTGTATGAATTTGCTAAGCAATTCTCTAGCCACTTCCTGGGGACTCGTCTGATACCTCAAGTGTCAAGATTCAAATCGGCGAAACGGAACATCTCGTCGACACCAATAAGTTTCCTTACTTCAAAGCTTTCCTTAACTTCCAGGAAAAGTCTGGCCAGAATACTACTTCTATACCGAAACATGGCGACATCCCCTTTTTCGATGTCATCAACTACGGTGTATCCCATGGGTTCCGACACTTCTTTCGTCGTATGCCTGTCCGACTATCCGACTACCATACGCTCTGCGAAACTCTCGAGTTCCTTGCTATCGATGTCCTCGCAGGACAAAAGCTGGGTGATATCATGAAGGATCTGAGAAAGTGCAAGTCTGATTACGACTATTGTGACGGCAATGAACTTAAAGGAGACAAGAGTCTCGCGCGGGACGCCGCCTTTAGGCTCCTGTACATATTCCTCCTTGGTGAATTCGAATCAGAGGTCCGGGATAGGGTAATGGCTTACAATACGGCTTTGTTCGTCGTGTCTCACACAGGAACCTTCAAACCTAAAACCCGGAAAATGGTTCGAGAAGCGTTTGAGGAGAGATTTCTTGTTACGGAGAAGCAGAAGAACAATTTGAACCAGTGGCCTATCTCTACTTTATCTGGGGATGATGATACCACTACTGAGGAAGATTCATATCATTTCTACAACTCTGACTCTGACTACGAGTATTGGTACTCTGACTAATCTTGAATCTGACCTGTTGGGTTGTTAGTTTCCCCTTTAAGGTACATGGCGGTTGAGAACGAGCCTATGCTTATGCAGTAAAGGCGCTTTATAGGGTGATGGGTCTTATTACTATATACCTCTCTCTTTAGACCTCGCTCATTTCTGGAATAATATCCTCAGTCAGCGAGTCCAACAAGCCAAGTCGAGTCAAATAACCGTGTATATTTGGCTTATACAAGCCAAGTCAAATAATGACGTAATCGTGGCTTACTTGGCTGTATTAGAGGCTTGACTTAAGGCTAGATTTCGGAAAAACAAACCCCGGATGCTCCGATTGGCCAAACGTGGATAAATACCCACTTAGCTTCCCCAGCCACATATTTTTCAAATTACATAAAAAGTGGGTCTGGACCTGTAGGTATCCACCAAATATTTCAAAAAATAGGATTTGGGCAAGCTAAGTCAAGCTAAGCCCAAGTCAAGTCAAATATCAGCTTGGCTTGTTGGACTCGCTGTCCTCAGTATCCTACTCTCCCGCTCAGAATCGTGCAGATGCATTGACTAATGCATCCAATTTCTGGGCTTTAGGATACGGTGCATCATCTTTTAACACGACCATACTGCCTCCATATAGCGTATTCTGGAAGTGCTGCTTCGCCTTGAAATATCGCTGTTGGCGGATATCACAGTACTTGTCGTACTCTTCCTCCCCGATCGTCGCCAAGACAAATTTAGGGTGCACTCCCAGCGCTTGGGCCCCCTTTTGGCCAAAGCCAAAACTCGTCACGCTGAACGCGTTTACCTCCTGCACCTTAATAGTTCGATTGGGGAATACCAGGTTCTCCCACGGCTCGAGCGCTGCGTCGATGTTGTCCGCGTTCCTGTTGCCCGGAACCGCCCCCGTTTCGAGGATCTGGCAGCACCCGTTGAGCATCCACGCCGCGGCGGCGCCCTTGGGATGGCCGGTCAGGTATTTCTGGCACACGGCGAGCGCTGCGTTGCCGGGAGTCCGACCAAGCTGAGAGAGCTGTCGGTGGAGTACCTCGACTTCGTTTTTCTCGTTGAGATCCGTCGAGGTGCCGTGGAGCGATACGACCCCAATGTCGTCAGCTGTCAGGTTCCAGACGGCTAGGGCGCCGCGCAAGGGCGAAATCCGCGTATCATGCGTCCAGAAAGCGTTGCCGAATCTGCGTCGAGCTTCTCTCTCTTCCCGTTTCGCAGCTAATTCGATCTCGTCAACCGGACCGTCGGATCCTGCTAGAGGGCCGAAAAGTTCCTGACGCTCGCGGATCGACTTCAGGGAGTGCTCGAGCAACCGCCTCCTGTAGTCGATGTCTAGGAGCGGGGACGTGCCGAAACTGGGGCTTTCGCGGACGTTGACCATGATGCCTTTTCCTGGGGCGGGGACCGAGCGACCGACGCCATCGCTTGCGGTCTGTACATGTGCCACGATGGATCTGATGGGCAGACCTAACTCCAAGGCGACCTTGGCGTTGGTAAGTAGCTGCATGCCGCATCCCTCCGACTCGACAAATCCTTTTCGCGACGAGGCACATGGACGCGACGTCTCGTGCGGCGCGCGGCCGCGGTCAATGTCGGCCATGCTGTTATTCGTCGCTTTCATGTTGGCAAATTCCGCCGACGTATCCTGAGTCATGTCATCGAAGCCTCCGACCAAACAGATCTTCGCGGCACCGCTTGTAATGAGATCGTATCCTTGGTTGAGAGACTCGAGCGCCGTTGCGCAGGCGCCAACGGGCGTCCTGGTCGGACCCGCCGACGACATGAGCAGCATGTTCAGCCACGCGCCCGTCGTGTTGATGAATACCTCGGCTAATATGTCGCTCTGCACCGGCCGGTCGAGGAATCTCTGGCGATAGAGCTTCTGCAGGGACTGGCCGCCGCCCATACCCGATCCCACACAGTTGGCGAGTTCCGAGATGTGAATAGTTTTGTACAGCTCGTAAACATCCGTAATTCCCGCCGACAGGAAAGTTTCGGCGGCACATACCAGCGCCATCTGCGTGCACCGGTCCACGCTCTGGCAGAGATCCTGCGGGAGTCCGTAGACCGTCGGGTCCCAGCCGGCGGGGAGTTGGCCCCCGACGATCCTGTCGAATATCCTCGCTTTGGGGATCATCAAGGTAGCGCCTTTTCTGAGGCGGACGGAGAACTGGTCGCTCTTGGATATCTGCTTAATCTCGACCTTGTCTCCTTGCTCTCTCACGAACTCCATGGCCGTGTCGAACGACGCGGTGAAGGGCTCTAGGTCGTGCTGGACTATGACCTCCTGGAGGAACTGTTTGCTATCCCGACTAGGGTGGTCCAGGGAGCTTGGCTCAATGAGCCGCAGTCCGGTGTGCTCGAGTATCTGCTTCTCGTACTTCGCCTTTATCTCGTAGTCATGCACAGGCGTGCCAGTAGGCGTGTCCAGCCACGCAGCTGCAGGTCCATCTGTCGAAGGGGCCGGCTTCGGGTTATGCTTGATGAGTCCAGTCATCCAGGCTAGCTCGATGCAGCCCTGGATTGAAAGTTCCCCTTTGAGCTCCATCTCCCATCTTGTCCGAGAGTTTCCCCAGGGTCCAATTTCGGCAAAGCCGACCACGACTACTACTGATTCTAGATCGACCATATCATCTAGCCTGGAGTTCAGGGGTTTTAATTGAGTTGTATAATCGGGAAGTGCCGGAAAGCCCAGCTCAAGGTCAACGAGAGGTGGGTTGGACGGCGGTGAACTTGACTGCGATATTGTGGCGGGCTTGCCTCGAGTAGCGGCCTCATCAAGAGCTTCTTCTTCAGCAAGCGCACGCCTGATTTCTTCGTTTTGGCGCATCGAGTTCCTTATTCCGGCAATAAATACCGCTAGCTCGGGATCGCTACCCATACCTCCGCTCAGATCTGCTAAGAGGCATTCGGTTTGGCAAATCGAAACCACTGGATCTGACATGAGTCCTATTATAAGGCTTCCCATCTCTTCCGTCGAAAAGGTGACTACGCCACGTTTAGCGATTTCCTCTGCAACTGCGTCGTTAGCTGCCATTAGGCCTGTTCCTCGAGTCCAGCCGATAATGACACCGCAAAGGCAGAGATAGTCGCTCCAACTCTCAGATGACCATTTGTTCAACAGTGTCATAAGACCAATCTTCGATTCGGAATATAAACCGTCGTTTCCGAATGTGCCGTGGTTGGGAGAAAGGGGTAGCAAGACCTGCGCAGGCCTCGTACGAGACCCTTTCGATTCCTTTGCAACCTTGACGGCGCCCATGATTCTCAACACATTCGTTAGCATGGCTCTATGCGCAAGCTCCGACTTAGAATCGATATTGTCTATCTCGCGGCCCTTTTCGGGCAAGGCCGCAAACGGGATGATAAAATCGAGGTCCCACCCTAGACCGTTAACTGGGTCGTAGATATGGGCGACGAGATTCTCGATATCCTGCTTGCTGCCCTGGTTGCATGGAAGAACAACTAGCTTAGATCCGGTCGCTCCAAAGCTAGCGAATATCTTCTGGTAAATGGGACCTGCTTCGGGCATTGTTCTACTGGTCGTGACTAAGACCCTGGCTCCCCCCTGAAGAAGAGACTGAAGAAGGACAATGCCTATCGAGTTTGGGCCTGCGCCAGTCAGAAGTACATCTTTCCCGGTAAAGAGTTTCGCTGGAACTTGTTTATTAGTGCTCATGAGGGTTGTCAGTTGCTGATCCGGAGTCCACGAGGCCCCTCGTCTTCGAAGTATATGAGGTGACTGTGTACCTTGATCAACGGATTGTGGTTGTTGCTTCGAGGTTTGAAGAGCAATGTCTAGCGGCACGCCTTGGTAGGTTTCTTGTGGCCTATCCTTGATAGGTTTCATGTCTCTAGGGCTGAGCTTGTCAAGCACCGTTTTGATCCCTTCTATCCCATTGTCTCCTTTTGAGGATAATTTGCTGAGCAGGTATTGCCTAGCTCTTTCGAGCCTGCTGCTTGCCCTGTTTCTAAGACCCGCTATAGCTGATCCAAGGTCACGTTGATCTTCATTGCCCTCTACGAGTTTGTAGTACTCGCCGAGCAAGTCAACGTGGCTCCAATTCCAGACAGAGTCGTATGAACGCTGATGATCTGCGCTGAAAATAGGTTTGATACCGTTACAGAAGTCTTTGCCTAATTCTTTCTCGTACATATCGATTTTTTCTTGGGTTTCTGTGGAACTATCCATCGCCCCTGTTGATGTTGCGGTTTCATCGTCATCGCAAAGCAGAGCGGCGATTCTCTTCTTCAGCTGTGAGTGCTCGTCACGCAGTTGTTGTACTACTTTGGAATCGAGCATAGTCTGTTGCGGGCTGGACGTAGCCGCGCTCCTTTGTCGGGATAGGCCTGCGTTGTTCAGGTATCCTTGGGCGATTGTGTCGAAGAATGCTTCCGCGTCCTCGTTCTTCTTGAATCTAGCTGCAGGCTGTTGTCCGAGTGCTAGTAAGAGAACCGAGTCTTGCCTTCCAGATGCGAGACCCCATTTGTCACTCAAGTAGGACCTGGCTGAGATCAAGTCGAATGAGCCAGGCATTTTCGATCCAACCATCTTTTCAACCCGGGTACGTAAACATTTCTTCAACTTCCCATCATATGTGCTTTGGATTGTCGTAGCAAGTTCTTTGAGGGGTATATTCTCAACGTCATCCGCCAATGGCCCAAATTCCTCTAACATGTCCCCTATTATCTCGTTCTGTACAATTGATCTACCCCCCGAAACGCCCTTAATGCTTTCGTCTAATTTAATATCTGAAGCTGGCTTTTTTAAGCTGCTTGCGACAAGTGCTGTGACTGATTCTAATGCCGTAACTGGGGTATCAGCGATTGAACTATCTGCTGTTAGGATAGGTGTACTGGCAGGAAATGCGTCAGGAATTGGCATGTTCGCCTTCGGAGTTGCTTCTGAAGTATTCACTGATTTCGGCTTCTCCGCCCTCTCTGGCTCTGGGGGTGGAGGCACATCGTAACGAAGATCATCGTAGTTGGAGCTAGTCGAGAGAAGCGAGCGCTTTACCCCATTGACAGCATCCGAATCGAAATTAAACTGGCCTAGAGTTTTCTTTGCCATATTTAATAGTGTAGGAGAAGGGCCAAACTCGACTAGCTTTTCAACATTGACTCGGTCAAAGAGTATGCTTTGAGTTTCTGACCACCGGACAGGCATCGCGAATTGGTATCTGGTGTCGCTTGTGTTAGTATTGGCCGTCCGTTTAAGTCGATTGAGATAAAAGAAACTTACGCTAACAACTCCGTGAGGAGAACATGAGCAAGCTCTTGCTCATGTTTTTGGCGTGTCATCTTGACGAGTTTCTCTGTCAAACTTGTCAATTAGGGCTCAGTTACGTCCTGTCCGACTTGAGCGCCGTTCTCTTGTGAGAGGTAGGTTCTGTTTAACAATGAGAAATGTAGCTGCGAAAAATGTGTAATTCAACCTTTCCTTAGGTGCTTATCGAAAGCGGCGTATTTCTTCATGATAACAGGCAGTTATGCTGCTATTCAAGGTACCAAATGTGAGGTTCTATTCACTCTAGGCCTACTATCCTAACATCCCCAATTCCCTGAATCCCCAAATCCTGCAATCCCTTATTCTGGTTACACTGGCGACAAACTCCTAATTCATAGAACTTCAGTCCTACTATCCTCCTGTAATCCCGCATTCCAGTAACTAACAAGCCTAGCCTCTAGGTGATTTTTATTTGTTACTCGGCAAAATAGATGAAGCATGCAGCCATTTCTAGGCTTTCGCTTTTTATTTGATATACGAATAGTCAGTATAAGCTCCTCTTAGACAACCTTCATCGCTTATATACTTACAGATCACTCATATACTTATACGTCTCTCATAAATGTCCAAGGAGGATGCAAAGAATAGCTCCTTAATTGAACAACTAAATGCGACCTTCGTCATTCGCTTCAGTTCACTTCTTTCGACCTCGAAACATTTTGCACCAATCTAGCAGAGTATTTATACATATTATTAGCATTTAGAGGAGTCGATGTCAATAAGCAGACAAGATATTCAACTCAGAACCGCGACAATGATAGACCTAGATGGATCGGACTCAGGTCCGGAAATTCTTACACCAGAACCTGAGACGGGATCTCAGTCTCAACCTTTCACTCTAATTAAAAACGCCCTCGAACACACCTTCATAATACCGACCTTCTTGTACGCCAACGCAACTCAACTACGAGATAGATTTCTCAAAACGCTTATAAGCCCAAACAAACAGGACAATGAGGGTTGCAGTCCGTCTTCTATCATTGAGCTTGTCTCAGAATTTCTCTGCTTTATCGCGAAGGAAATAGAGACACACATCGATCCCAGTTTTGACAGGGAAGTGCTCAACTTCGTTCTTCAGTCATTCGAAAGGGAGTTATTACACGGCGAAGAAGTCCATGCGTTTGTTGCAGGACTCTCGGATGACGTCGACAAACTCAAGGTGATACGGTCATATTATCTTGCCGTCGGAGCCGTAAGACGACCCGCAGGCGCACCGGAGTCAGCTCTCATGCGTGCGGCGCTCAAAGGTACTGCTCGTGTGTACGCTGTATTCGGCGGCCAGGGTAATACGAAAACCTACCTTGATGAACTTCGGGACGTCTACGATACCTATCCAACACTTACAAAGCGTTTTCTCATCCCTGCAGCGCGTTTCCTTGAACGCCTCTCGCGAGATGCCAGGGCCTCCCAGGCTTTTGCGCACGGGCTAGATATCATGCGCTGGCTGGAACAACCCGACTCCCAGCCAGATTACGATTATCTAGTCTCAGCGCCAGTGAGCTTCCCTCTCATTGGCTTGCTGCAAATTCTTCATTATATTGTCACAACTTCCTCTCTTGGGACGCATCCTGGTGGTATAAGAAATCGTCTTTCGGGTACGACAGGTCATTCTCAGGGCATTATCCTCGCAGCTATCATCGCCGCGTCGGCAGACTGGCAAAGTTTTGAGACACAGGGTAAAAAGGCGCTCATAATACTATTTTGGATCGGCGTCCGCAGTCAGGAGGCATACCCTCTACCCTCTATCCCACCAAGCGCTCTGGAGGACTCGGTAGCGCATGGGGAGGGCGAGCCAACTGCAGCGCTCTCTATTAGGGGTATGACTCGAGGAGCGCTCGAAAAGCATATCACCAGGGTAAATGGAGCGCTACAGGAAGACCGACATATTGTTATAGCCTTGGTGAATGGCACGAAAAACTTTGTGATTGTTGGTCCGCCGATGGCATTATACGGGTTCAACAAGCAACTGCGCCGTGTTAAAGCAAGCGAGAACGTGGACGAATCCCGCGTACCGTTCAGCCAAAGAAAGCTGAACATTATCAACAAATTCCTCCCGATAACGGCTCCATTCCATAGCCCCTATCTACGATCGGCTATAGAAGCCCTACAACAAGACCTGAGAGAGACCAATATATCTCCCAGCGAGCTCGCCATTCCAGTTTATTCGACATTTAGCGGGAAAGATATCAGGAGCGAATTACAGGGTCAGGATGACATTGTGCCCTCTCTCGTTAGGATGATCTGCCAAGATCCGGTACATTGGGACCAGTCCATTGCAATGCCTGATGCAACACATATACTAGACTTTGGTCCTGGGCGAACTGCAGGTGTTGCTGGCCTCACAAGCCGTATTAAAGATGGCACTGGCGCCCGAGTTATTCTCGCGACTAACATCACTAACCCAACACACCCCGAAATTGGGTGCAAGCACGAGATATTTTCTCGGAAAAAGTCAGATCTTACATACGGAGCGAAATGGGCCGATCAATACGGTCCAAAACTAATAAAGACTTCTACTGGACGAACTTTCGTCGATACCAAGATGAGCAGACTGCTCGGCCTTCCTCCAGTTATGGTTGCCGGAATGACCCCTACGACAGTGCACTGGGACTTTGTAGTTGCCGCAATGAAAGCCGGGTACGAGGTTGAGCTAGCCTGCGGCGGCTATTACGACGCCAATAGCTTGACTGAGTCAATTACGAAGATCTCGAAAGAAATTCCTCCTGGTCGTGGCATTGTGCTTAATGTCATTTATGCCAGCCCTAAAGCCATTGCTTGGCAGATCCCCCTCGTACGCGATTTGTGTGCGAAAGGGTTGCCGATCAAAGGACTGACTATTGGCGCGGGCGTTCCATCTCTCGATATCGCAAATGACTATATTCACACGCTTGGAATCAGGCAAATTGGTCTCAAGCCCGGGTCCGTCCAAGCTATCCAACAAGTAGTAAAGATCGCCCAGGCCAATCCCAGCTTTCCGATAATATTGCAATGGACCGGTGGTCGTGGCGGCGGACACCACTCTTGCGAAGACTTTCATGAGCCGATGCTGGAGATGTATAGCAAGATAAGGCGATGCTCTAATATTGTGCTTGTGGCTGGCTCCGGATTTGGTGGTGCAGATGATACTTACCCCTATTTGAGCGGCACCTGGGCTAAGAAATTTGGCCTCCCCCTTATGCCTTTCGATGGAATTCTCCTCGGAAGTCGATGCATGGTTGCCAAGGAAGCGCATACATCAAAAGGGGCCAAACAAGCTATTGTTGATGCCTGCGGTCTTGACGACCGCGAATGGGAGAAAACGTATCAGAAGCCTGTCGGTGGAGGCGGGATTATCACCGTCCGATCTGAGATGGGAGAGCCTATTCACAAACTCGCCACACGCGGCGTCATGTTCTGGGCTGAAATGGATCAGAAGATTTTCGGCTTGCCTAAGGAGAAGCGTATTCTAGAACTGAAGAAAAAGGAAACTCGCGAGTATATCATTCGACGTCTCAATTCCGACTTCCAGAAACCATGGTTTGGCCTCACTACTTCCGGCAAAGCCGTTGACCTCCAGCAAATGACATATGCCGAAGTTGTTTCGAGAATGGTTGATCTTATGTTCATCAAACACCAGAAGAGATGGGTTGATAAGTCCCTTGCTAAGTTAACAGGGGACTTCATTAGCTACGTTGAGCAGCGGCTTGCCACGCACGCGAGCGCAGGTAATGCCCAACTCATAACGACGTACAAGGAGCTTGATGATCCATTGCCTATTATTAACAAGCTAGTCACCGCGTATCCCTCAGCAGCCAAGCAGCTTATGAGCTCTCAAGATTGCTTTCACTTTTTGAGTCTCTGCAAGCGTCCTAGTCAAAAGCCGGTGCCATTCGTCCCATGTCTAGACGAAGACTTTGAGGTATGGTTCAAAAAGGACTCTTTGTGGCAGTCCGAGGACCTCGATGCAGTAGTCGACCAGGATGTGGGCAGAGTCTGCATCCTCCACGGGCCTGTTGCTGCCATGCATTCGACTACCACTGAGGAACCCATTAAGGAAATTTTGGATCGCATCCATAAGGGTCATATCAAAATGCTCACCCGCGACCTTTATAATGGTAATGAGGAGAGAATACCAACTATTGAGTATTTCGGAAATAAGACGGCAGATACTGCATCAGACACTCGCTTGATTCTCGAAGGAGTCGCTATTTCCGAGACCAGGAATGAGATCAGACTTTTCATCCCAGGGTCAACGCTACCAGACAAAACCGAGTGGATGCAATTACTTGCAGGCGACCAGGCTACATGGCGTCGTGCCTTGTTTACTACGGATGTCTTCGTTCAGGGTTATCGTCTTAACGCGAACCCACTACATCGTCTTCTTGCCCCTTCTCGTGGGATGGTTGTACATATAGCCTACCCGGAGAATCCAGCCAGAACCATCATCACAACTGAGGAAAATGTTGGTGGCAAGCAATTACCAACGATGAAAATTGGTCCCCCATCTGATAACGGTATTCCATTATACCTTATCGAGCACCGGACCGCGCTGGGAACCCCGGTCGTCCTCCCCCTTTTGTTTACTTATCATCCTGAGGTGGGCTATGCACCCATCCGTGAAGAAATGGCTTCTCGAGATGAGCGTATCAAGGACTTCTACTATAAGCTTTGGTTTGGTTGCGATAGGCCCAACATTCGTTTAGATGCGGCAACGTCTCATATCAAGCCATGGGATGGCGGCGAAACCACCATCTCTAGCCCTGCAATACGCGAATTCGCACGTGCACTCGGTAATACTGCCGAGGCGTATATAGAAAGGCCTGGTAGAGATCATCTTGCGCCCATGGACTTTGCTATCATTGTTGGCTGGAAGGCTCTCATGCAACCCCTATTCCATGCCATTGACGGAGACCTATTGAAACTAGTCCACCTCTCTAACCGTTTCCGCATGATCCCTGGCGCAGCACCGTTCAAGAGAGGGGACGAATTACGTGCTACATCTGAGATTACGGCTATTGTTAACCAAGACTCGGGCCAGATGGTCGAGGTCTGCGGCACGATAACTCGGGACGGCGGAAAGCCCGTGATGGAGGTCACGTCGCAATTCTTCTACCGCGGCGTCTTCGCCGACTTCAAGAAGACGTTCCAGCGCAAGGCTGAGCCTCATTTCAGAGTAGTACTCAAGGGTCCGAAGGAGGTTGCCGTGCTTAAAGCCAAGAAATGGCTCGAGTTGGAAAAGGATGTCGATGATCTTCTGCTAGGTCATAACGTCGTATTCAAGCTACGCACCTCGACCCGATTCAGCGACAAAGTCGTATTCACCTCCGTCGAAACTACCGGCACGGTCGAAGTCGAAATCCCGACTACCAAGGAGCTAGTCCGCGTGGGGACGGTAAACTACGTCTCCGAAGGACTTTCGCGGGGCAACCCGGTCCTGGAATACCTCGCTCGGAATGGGTCCGAGCTCGACCAGCCCGTTTACTTCAAGCATCCGATCCCCATACAGAACAACTATACTAAAGCCCCCTTGGTGATTGAGGCGCCTGTGTCCAACGAGAATTATGCTAGCGTCTCGGGAGACTTCAATCCGGTTCATGTGTCGCGAGTCTTCTCCAAATACGTCAATTTGCCAGGCACTATAACTCACGGCATGTACACTAGCGGTGCAGTCAGGAGTTTAGTAGAAACCTGGGCAACGGAGAACAATGCCTATAGAATGCGCGACTACAATGTCAAATTCGTTGGCATGGTACTCCCCGGGGATCGGCTCGAGGTCCAGCTGCACCACGTTGGCATGGTATCTGGCCGCATGATTATCCAAATCGAGGTAGTCAAGAGCGACGAGACAAGAGACAAAGTATTGGTTGGAGAGGCCATTATCGAGCAGCCTACATCTGCTTATATCTTTACTGGTCAAGGCTCCCAGGAGAAAGGAATGGGAATGGAGTTGTACGAAAGGAGCGCCGTGGCTAGGGACGTTTGGGATCGTGCCGACAAACATTTTCTTGACACTTTCGGTACGTCTTATTTTCATAATGTAAACCCCGTGGCACATTCTATACTAACTTAGCAACATAGGCTTCTCTATCCTCGATATCGTACGCAACGACCCCAAGGAGCTTACTGTTTACTTTGGAGGCGCTCGAGGCAAATCCATTCGACGGAACTACATGACCATGACCTGTCAAAGCCTCGAGGCGGCAGCGGATGGCAGCCCCAAGCAAGAAAAGGTCTTCAAGACAATAACGGAGTACACTACGTCTTATACCTTCCGCTCTCCGACCGGCTTGCTCTCGGCGACGCAATTCACACAGCCAGCACTTACACTGATGCAAATGGCGGTCTTCGAGGATCTACGAGCCCAAGGCGCCATCCGGAAAGACAGCGTCTTCGCTGGCCATTCTCTGGGTGAATATAGTGCTCTTGCATCTATCGCCAAGGTAATGCCGGTTGAGACGCTTGTGTCGGTGGTGTTCTATCGTGGTCTGTGCATGCAAGTTGCTGTCGAGAGAGATGAAGCCGGTCGCTCGAACTACTCTATGTGCGCCGTCGATCCTTCGCGAGTTAATACGCGGTTCAGCGAGCAGGCGCTCAAGCACGTAGTCAACCTGATCAGTGTCGTCACCGGCTCCTTCCTAGAGATCGTCAACTACAACGTCCGCAACATGCAATACGTCTGTGCGGGTGATCTACGCGGCCTCGACGTGCTGGGAGGTGTTATGGACGGTATCAAGCCGCACAACATAGACGTGCGTCAACCTGAGAAAGAAGAGAGCCACAACCTACTAGTTAGGGTGATCCAAGAGGCAGATCGGCACTCGCGAACCAAGCCTATGCCACTGGAGTTAGCACGAGGCCGAGCTACGGTGCCGCTCCGGGGGATCGATGTCCCGTTCCACAGCTCGTACCTACGCCCCGGAGTACAGTCATTCCGCTCGTTCCTGCTCAAGAACCTGGATGAGAAGAGCATCGACCCGGAACAGCTCGTTGGGAAATACGTACCGAACCTGACGGCCAGACCGTTCGAACTGACAAGGGATTATTTCGAATACGTACATGAGATGACCGGGTCACCCCGCATCGGCAAGGTTCTAGAAGGCTGGGAGTAATGTAATTAGGGGTGATGGTGATGGTAATGGTGGGGGTAAAGATGGCAAGAAGAAGATGGGGGCTGTCAAAGGGAGGGTGGCGTAGCTCGAAAACCGGCGTTAAGAGGCGTTCCATTGGGGTCCGTATTAGAAGAAGAATCCAATTAGGAAAATAAATTCATGCCCGCCGTCCACGATATTATAGTTAGAAGTTGTATCCCGAAATTCCTCGCTATCTCATAAGTTCTAAGCGAACTTACGACGGACCTTTCTTTCTACCCCTCGCGCGCATGGTTAGGGATATTATGCAGATGCATGATGTGCCGTATCACTTGACTCGGCGGTTGGGCCCGAGGGCTCGATCGTGGGTGATGTCGAGACTATGTGATATGCGTGCTTGGCCGCAGGGTGGCCACGCTGTTCTGCGGATACGGTTACCGGCCCTCACTGTATACCCTTTTTGGATTTGTGTTTACATTCAAACTCATCAGGATTGTGTGAATTGAACAACGTGTTTTCCCACGATATGGTAACTTGATTTATGTCTCTCCATCCATAGCTTCATGCATACTTTCACATATAGTCTAACGGTAGAAAACCATTAATTCAAGTTATTATAGATGCCATACTAGACATGTTCTGACTATATGCCGACGATATAAGGGCTAATAGATTCTACGTTGTCTAAAATTAACAACAATAGAAAAAAAGACATAAAAATAAATAAAAGAAGGGTCTAATTTTTCTTTTCAACCTGAGTTCTATAGGCTGATTAATCCTTGATCCCAGCATTCCCAATTTGTTTTTATGTTACCTATTTTAAAATGCGTACTCTTTAAAATATTATAGTGTTTATCTATCCCAACTGGCGGCTCTTCTTACGCTGTTGGCGTTGACACCGTTATTATATCCGTCTTGGTACGCCACCGGGTCATAGGTACTACATAATACGGAATATATATGATGACTCGCTTCCTATAATTACGCTTATCTTGACTTCCTTCGCATAATAGGTACAAACAAAGAATAACGCTTGCATGTGGTCAGAATTTTACGGGCCGGTCCGTTGTTAACGTTTCAACCGTCCTGCGTATCTTGGTTGGCTGGTTCAAGTCTATAACTGTGACAGGGTCGATTTTAACCGACGCGCCTGCATCAAAGTCACGTTACTAGACGGTACCAATAAAACGATCGTTGTACCGCAGCTTGGTTGGGGAGTCCTCAGACAAGCTGGATAGGGGCATGACCAGAGGATGATACAGATACCCATCCCTTGTGGATCTACGCGGGCCTAGATTTGATGCGGGAGTGGACGTAAGTAAAAAGATCCTAGAGTCTGACGCTGCAGTAAGGCTGGTCTGGGGTCGTTGGCAGACCCACCACTCCTCGACGAAGCTCCCTTATCTCATACAAGTAGTGGTAATAATGGTAATAGTTGTAATAGTGACAATCATGGGGCTGCTCTGAGCTGTGCAAAAAAAAAGGACCGACCCCTGACGTCCCAGGTACTACATATGTTCTAGACCGGATCCCGAGTTCTCGAATTGCTGTGAAAGATCTCGTGGCTGGGCTCTCTCCAATGTTCGTCTCTAGGGGCCGCAAAGGTTCGTTGAAACCTATGTCAGCCCAGAAGACGTTCGATTCTGAGGTATTCCTGATTTGTCAAACTCGGTAGGTAGTCAGCGCTCTATTGATTGGGGGTTCGTATTACTGGTACTGAAAACCAATAAGCTAGACATATTGCTAGACTCCCCGTGATAAGATACATTGCCTTCGGCTAGGGATGGACTCTAGCCGGACAGATAGTTCAGGGTATTAAATATCTCAGAAGTATTTAATATCCGGCCTGGCGGGTAAGACGACCACAAAATATTACGAAGGGTCTCGAGTAAGGCTCTCTCGCTACCAAGATACAGTTACTAGAAATCAGCCACAGTAGCGTAGCGGAACTTCTTCAACTTTCTCTATAGTCACCGCGTGCTTCCTAATATTTACCTATAATTCCTCCTCATCAAAACGAAAATGACGAGACAGAAGCACACACATAGCTCGAAGATTAGGCCATCTTATGATGATGCCGACACTGTAGACTACTACGACTCGGCCGTCGCGGCAGACTTCGCCGGCTTTGTGGATCCCATCTTGGACGGTTCAGCTATCTTCGACGAGCTGTCTCAAAAAAGGCAAGCTGACGCCACGGACTACGCCTAAGAACATCTATCTAATCTGTTTATAACAGTATATACTGGATCGACGATACTGATACTTCACGGAATCGTATCAATGGGGACGAAACGCCAATAACGTCGATACAACACATATCGGGTAATATGGCATCGGTAGACCCCTATCCCAATGCCCTGGACAAATTGAGCAGCGGGATGTCAGATTTTCTACGCAACCCTAGCACAGACGATCAATCAGCAGAGAGGGGCGGAAAGCATCGGTGCTGGGACCATGGATGCAACGGACGTGAGTTCTCATCCAAGAGCAACTTCGTGAGGCACGTGAAGGAAAGGTCAGGGGCCAGCACTAAGGGTGTCTGCCCTCTATGCGGGGCGATTTTCACCCGTAACTCTGCCAGAGATACACACTTGGCCAAGCAGAGCTGCAACAGGATCCGTCGATATTCCAATGGTCGACCACGCCCCAGCCGGCTTGCAGTGTTAGGCAATCCCCGATTAGCAGCTGCAGCGGCGGCAGCCACCCAAGATATTTATTGGCAGGCAGTCGACTGGGGCTCATGTTCCATGGGCGACTCAAAGGCGGCCGGATTTCCACCTCCGAATTGATGCCTAGGATCTAGGACCTAGGACCTAGGCACGCAAGGCGCGTAGGGTGAGACAACTTCGATGGTACTGTATTGGTAGTTAGATGGGAACGCTCAGGTACGAACGAACTTCAGACGAAAGGCTAGGAAACAAACTGGTTATACCCCCCCCCCCCCCCCCCTGCTATTGAAAAAGACCCGTCATCGAATTCGAATTTGAGACGGATACATACGCATATGAGAATATGAGAACTGTTGCTATGCAACATGTCGGTTATAGTAGCAAGTGCAGATCACGATCACATCAAGATAATAAGAATAATTCCATCGATCACTGTAACCACACAAGTTTGGAATGTGGAAAAGATCGGTGCCCAATTCCTCCAGAGCCTTTAAGGTATTTATTAGGTGGGGGAAAAAAAAAGGGGGGGGGCAATATTACGTTAAAAACTCTTTGAATTCAGTTATGAATTGTTTAAATTAAAAAAAAAAAAAAAAAAAGGGGGGGGGGGGGGGGGGGGGGAGAAAAAAAAAGTTTTATTTTAAGGGTAATAAAATAATAGTGTTTTAAAAAAATAAAAAAACCGTTTTTGTGTTTTTTCACCCAATAACCG